AACTGTCCTAGGCTGGCTACCAGGCTAGGAAGGCTGAGACCTCCGAAACTTCCCTCAGGCTACTCCTTGGGCCGAAAACTTGAGCCAAGGGGGGGGTTCGAACCTGGGTTCAACCCAGGTTCGAACTCCCGGCCCTCCGGGGGGGGGCGGGGGGGGGGGCGGGGGGGTGGGAACAACAACATCGAGAACCTGGGTTTAACCTGGGTTCAACCTGGGTTCAACCCAGGTGCAATTTTTTTCCGAGTTGAGCGAACAAATGCGATCCACCGTCTTGGTGTTTGGGTTGTGAAAACCGTGCCTCTGTACTGGCACCACTGATGGCCCTCTTGGCCCTAATGTACAGGGGAGGAAACCACCTCCTCCTAAGCTACCATCCTCTTTGGGATGCTACCAGAGGTTGTACCTCATGAGAGGAAAGAAACCTCCTGGCAAAAGCTCCTCAGGTTGCTGGTGCAGGGGTTTGCAACCGTGAGAGAAGGGGCCCGGGGTGATCTCTGGCAGCGAGGATGAACCACAGCTTGCATCCTCTTCGGGATGCTACCAGAGGCTGGTACCTCAAGAGAGGTTAGGAACCTCCTGACAAAAGGTCCCTCAAGGCCTTTGGTGCACTTTGTGCAGGCTGTCAGAGGGAGGCGGTCAGGGTTCCGCTCCGGTAGCGAGGATGGTACCAACCCAGGTGCAACCTGGGTTCAACCCAGGTTCAACCCAGGTTCAACCTGGGTTCAACCCGGGTTCAGAACCCGGGTCAGAATCCAGGTTCAACCTGGGTTCAACCTGGGTTGAATCCGGGTTCAACCCAGGTTCAACCCAGGTTCGACCTTTGAGCCCCCCTTTAAACCCCCGACAAGCCTCCCCCTTAAGACCCCCCTCACTTCTCAAATTTCGAATAATGAAATCTAAAAAACAAATAGAAAAATAAAACAAGATTTGAAGGGGGCGGAATTTAGACTAAATTTCCTTCTCTCTCTTCTTGAAGAGAAGGTAATGTTTAAAGTCTCACTTCTCTGGCTTCGAATAATGAAATCCAAAAAATAAAACAAGATTCGAGGGGGGTGGAATTTAGAGTAAATCCCTTCTCTCATCTTCTTTCAGCCCCCCCCCCTTAAGACCCCCTTTAAGCCCTCTTCAAGGCCCCCTTCAAGCCTCCCTTTACGCCCCCTTTAAGCCCCTTCAAGCCCCCCTTTAAGCCCCCCCTGAAACCCCCCCTTAAGCCCCCCTTAAGCCCCCCCTTAAGCCCTCCTTAAGGCCCCCCTGAAGCTCCCCCTTTAAGCCCCATTTTAAGCCCCCTCTCTTTACTTCTTAAAACAAAAACAGTCTCGTCTCGACTCCTCTAAGTTTTGAACAATGAAATACAAAAACAAAACAAGATTTAAGGGTGGTGGAATTTAAACTAAAGTTCTTTCTCTCTTCTCCCCTCTTTCCAATTCACAACAGGCAAAATGGGGGGGCTGTCGTCTCTACTTCTCTAAGTTTTGAACAATGAAACACAAAAACAAAACAAGATTTGCGGGGGTGAAATTTAAACTAAAGTCCTTTCTCTCTTCTTCCCCTCTTTCCAATTCACAACAGGCAAAATGTGGAAAGCTGCGCCCCTCCAACTCCCCCGCTCTTTACTTTTAGAAACAACTGATTTTCAAATAAGAGAATACAAAAACAAAGTCGAACTTAGAATAAATTCCCTTCTCCCTTCTCCTCTAAGTTTTCGAAAAATGAAATACGAAAAACAAAAGAATATTCGAGGAGGTGGAATTTAGAATAAATTCTCTTCTTCTCTTTTTGCTTTAATTCAACCTAGTTTTCAAATAAAGCCCAGGTTCAACCTTGTCAACCCAAGTTCAACCCTTCAATTGATTCGAATCCAAGTTGAACCCAGGTTGAACTCCATTTTCAAAGGAAAAGAGTTCAAACCTCTTTAACAACCAATTCGATGATTGGAACAAGCACAAGGTTTGTCAGAAAACCCGGTCGCGTGTGGCTGCCAAATGGCATCAAGAGTCTTCCATTGGAATTTCCAATGCGACATGCTGCCGCTTCTCGGGCATGTGCAGCAGTGCATCCAAAAGCGAAGTGGTGCTGCTCATCTGTTAGAAGCAGGGCAATGGTAAGATTGACTGGCTGCATTGCTTTGCTCCGCCCGGGCCGGTGCGGAAGGTCCGACGGAGGGGTTCGAACTGGGTTCAACCCAGCATTAGCACGATTTATGGACCCAGTTTCATTTGGAGGTTTACCAAGTTTGCTAGAAGGGATCCACAATCCCTTGAACCTTTCTCAAATTGGCTTGCCAAGAAGCATCTCCGGCGGCGGCACAACTCTTTCCCGCTTGCTTGGCTGTAACCCGATGGCTCTGATGAATCAAAGCACTTTTCCCTGGAGATCCTTGAGATTTGGCACGCAAACATAATGTGGGCCTCCCATCTTCAAACTGACAAACCTCGGGGGTTAGTGAATTTTTAGGGGCAGACCGATGTTTCAAACCTTCGGGTCCTGTCCTGTGAACGGATGGCCTGCTTGAGCAACACATAACCCTTCAGAGCCTGGAGTTCAAAGGAACCTGATGCAGTGATGCGCAGGGAGAGCAAGATTCAAACCACCTTTCTAATGTTGGGGAACACCTGGGAAGATGCATTTCGTGCACTGCCGATGCTATTGTGTGAGGCTGCCCACAGGGAAATCATTTTCCCTGTTCCCCAAATGGCCTTAGGTAGCCTCCCCCATTGCTCTAGAACGTGCTGTGACAAGACTGTTTTTTTGCGTTCATTATTTGGTCTTCAAGAATTCAAAGCCCCCTTTGCTTCTTGTCGAGTGGGAGGAAGGGGAAGAAAAATCATTCTAAATTCCCTTTCAAGCCTTCTTTTTTTAGAATTTCAATATTCGAAAATTAGAGGACATGAGACTTTTTTGTTTCTTGTTGTAGAGCGGGGGGTTGGGGTGGACGCAGCCCATTTGCGGATTGGTGAGTGGGAAGAGAGAAGGGACAGATTCTAAATTCCACCCACCTCGAATCTTGTTTTGCTTTCGTATTTTAGTATTCGAAATTCAGAGGAGCAGAGACTTGGTTTCTGGAAGAAGGGGGGGCTTGTTGTGGAGTGGAGAGAAGGAACTTTATTTTAAATCAGAGACGAGGAAGTGGGAGGAGGAGAAGAGAGAATGTGGAGTGGAAGGAAGGAGAAGAGAGAAGTGAATTTTGTTTCTTTATTGCCAGAAAGCACCAAACCGCTAAAATGCATCAGAGTGCAGTTTCGGGTTCACAGGAGCATCGCTGCGGGCGATTTCAAGGTCAGAAATCTGCGGGAGGAATCGCAAAAGGATGCAGTTTGCGATTCCTCTCGCAGATTTCTGGCCTTAAAATCGCCGCAGCGATGCTCCTGTGACCTGAAACTGCACTCTGATGCATTTTAGCGTCGAATCGTCCGAACCTCCTACCCTGTGGATCCTCGATCCTCTCAGCTGTGTTGTGGCGGGGTTTGGCGCTTTCTGTCTGAGAGAGAGGTGCCGTCGCCATCCATGAATTCCGTCTCAATCACTCTCAGGAGCTCTACGCTCGTGGTCTGCGACGCCTACATGGAGGTGCTTCACCGATGCGGGTTCTCGGAGTTCTCGGAGTTGCAGAGCCACTCTTTCCCTCTGCGTAAGGCCCTGGCACGAGACGTACGTGATCGCGTGGCAGCGTGTGGCAGCCTCTTGTTCTCCCGCTCGTTGATGGCTATCTTGCGGGCATGCGAGATGCCAGGCAGAAGTCGGGGTGGCTCCAGCGCGGGAACCGCTCCCGGGCCGCCCGGCCTCCGGCTCGTCCACGCGCAGCCACCGCACGAAGCGGAAGACCGTCTCGTCGCTGCGGCACGGCCGCCCGCCAAGTCGAGCGCTGCGTGACCTGCTCGACGACGAGCCAGTCCAGCTCGCAGCGGCCATTGGGGGCCCCACAGCGTTCCTTTCTGCTTTTGTACTGCTGGGATTTCGTTGGTCGAATTGAGAGTCGCAAGCCGATCGTACCGCTTCAATCGAAAAGAAAGGCATTTATTGATCTCCACAGTTGTTTCCAGTGGTTTTGCATTTAATTCTTCACGTGTTGCTTTGCCGCAGTTTTACAGGTACAAGAAACGTGTGATGAAGCCGAGACATGATGTTTTTGCAATTGCTTTTTGCAGATGAGTTCTTCAACACAGAATTTGGCATGAACCCGAGTCTGTCTCATGATTCTTATGGGAAAATGACGTTCCAAGCTCGTTGATTGCAGCATACCATGGGAGTTCCCACATTCCATTTGTTCCTTCTTCTTGTGCAGCTGGGGGAGTTGCACGCCCAGCTTTCGTGCCTGGATGCAAGGATGCCAGCCGAAGCCAGGATCGGGGGCACAGGTCTGAACATATCGGAAAGGTTCGGAGAACAGGTCTTTCAAGGCATAGGGTAAAGTTGTGGATTGTTGAGCTACTTTGAGGACCATTTTGTCCGCCCTAGGAGGCATTTCTGATGTTGCTAGGGTGTGGGCTACAGAATGATGGAACCAGGTGTTCAAAAACCATGGACTTTAGGGTGCTTAGCGGGCTTAACGGCAAACTTTCTCCAGTTTGCAAGCTGAGGTTGATCTGTTCAGGCATCTCACCGACAATTCCTGGTCGAGCCGCTTGGAAGCATGTAATTAATGTAACTTGCTGTTGTGGGTTTTTGTGTTTTTGTGTGAACAGTTCATAAGACTTGTTCTCGCCAAGTTGCCAGCATGTTTCAGCACTAGATTTTGAGGGCTGAGCCTAGGCAGTTCTGCCAGTGTGCATACGGAAAAATAAAATGTGCATGACATACAGAGAAACACCGGAGCCGCCTCCATCCGATCTGGTTTTCCCCTTAGCGAGATCCAGTATCCCAGTACGCAGGCTGTTCTCAAGCGGCTGAACGGTTTTGCCCTTGCATCGACGTGAAGTTAATCTTAGTGCGCCTTTCAGTTCCTGTTTATCCCAGGGTGAGTGGCAGGCAGCAAGGCACAGAACCCAGAACAAGCCTAAACCATGAACTCTTGGCCTCACCCCGTCGTCTCAATCATCTCCCTCACCCAGCAGGTGACCTTGTATTTCGGATCACGTGCTGCGCCCTCCAGTGAAGTCGCTGGCAGTGTCAAGTTGCGCAACTCAGCAGGCACGGGAGCAGCAGCGTTGTTGATTGAACATACGCTGTTGCAGAAGTGCCAAGGGTTGGAGAATCAACATGCTTTCGTGCAGTGGTTTTTTTTCGGCGGAAATTGACAGGTGTTGAAACTGCCGACACAGGCAGGTCAATTCTTATCACGTGTGCAACGAGGCATAAAGGGAAGCAACGTGCTGTGAAATATGTCATAAAGCGCTGTCTGGTCTCGCGGCAGGCGCGTGTGCCCGTGCTTTGTTGGTAGGGATTGCTTACCTGGGGTGAGGACCTTACGGTAAGGAGTATATCCAAGCACGAAATCCCGAAATCCTGCATTTGCCAGGGAGGCATGCCATAACACTGACATTCTGACATTTGCAACAGGTGTGGAGACAGTTCAGAACTTTGAGCTGCAATGTGCGCCTCCGGAGCCTCTGGATCCTGCGCTGACGACCGCTGCACAGTGGGCTTCCTGTCCAAGACCGAGGGCAGTCCGAGGGCAGTGGATATTTTTTAGCGTCGTGTTCTTCCTGGCCTTGTCGCACTGGCTCGCGTCGTCTCGTAGGAGTATGTAGGAGTACAGGATTGCAGGTTGAGCATGGACCATTCTAGACTCGAGGCCCATGCCAGAAATCAGTTTCTCTAAACCCACGTTATCGGTAAGCAGAACTCCTGCAGCTGCCAGCTGTTCATTCCGTTCTGAGCGCAAGGCAACAGCAATCATAGATGGATGCAGCGCCTTGGATACCGCTCAGTCTGCACCTTCAGATCCGCTATCATTTCGTGTTGTTGTTGCTGTTGTTGTTTCCCTATAGGCAGATTTCCCCAACCAATGTCGTCGACAGGACCTGGTGCCACTGCACAATGCTAGGTATCCAAATGCTGACATCCTCAGCCGGCTGTTCTCAGCCGGTGTCTTGCGCTTCATGTGCCGGTCAGGCTCTGGCGAGGCAAAAGGCCGGCTGATTGGCGACAGCTCTTCCAAAATCACTTGTTACAAGCACTACCCGGACATCGAGGCTTTGGACTATGCTCCGTGTCGAGCAAGGTATGCATTTTCATGTGTTTCTTCCAGCAAGCTGAAGGGGGGCAGGGTGCAAGGACCATGAGGGCATGAGGAGACTTGGATATTCCCAAGGAGGTGCGCAGCAACCTTCACTTCCTGGCTGTGGGGGAGACGAACGGTGCGGCTACTGACCTTGTCCCTTCTACGGCTGCAGGTGTATTGGGCTGCATCCATGTCCGGCTTGAGCCGGGCTGCACAGTGTCCGGTTTGGGCATGCCATGGCACCTGACAAGTGCAGGGTTAGCCACGAGCTGCAAGCAGTCATTTGTGCTGCAGACCAAGGCTTAGTCAGGAGCTTCTGGGTGGTGCCCATCGACGGAATCTCAACTGGGTGGTGGGCTATCAGTCAAGCTTTGGACCGGCCGATGGAGCATCTGCGTAGCCAGAAAGTGGGGTGCTTGTTTCCATCCAAACCCACTGTGGCTCTTGAGTATCGGGTCTCAGAATCCGTTCTGGTGTAGACAAGGAAGGCCATGAGGATATCCAGGCGGGGCATCCCCCTTTACTTCGTTCTCATAGCAGGACGGACCGCAGCCCGTGGAGCCGTGTCCGGACTTGATCAGGGGGAGGCTCCGCAGGGCTTTCGGGTTTTGAGCAGGACTCCGCAGCAGTGTGGTGCAGGAACAGGGCACTACATGAGCGATAGTCCGATAGTCTAAACTCCTGACATAGTTGATTATCTTGGGCGTGATTAAGGGGGAGGCTCGGACTAGGAGTTTAGATCATGGCTCACATGCTTCGTTCTCCGTTGAACCTCCATGTGCGCTCGCCGAACTTCTCTAAAGATTCAGTCCCGTAGCAGAGCAGCACATGCCCTGGAAGCATGGTTGAAAGCCTGCACAGGAGTTCTCGTGTTCCTTTGATGCACAGAGTATCCAATGACTGGCTGGGTTGATCAAGTGTCTTCATCGCACTCCTCTTGAGCTGAGGTTCGCAAGCTTCCTAACAACATCTATCATGACTGCGGTTCAAGTGCCCTAAACCCTAAAAGCTACGACCCGAGGAGATCTACCCCTGCTCCTTAGGGCTTTCTGGCCGTTGGTGGTGGTTCCATCTTGCGCCTGCTGGTGCAGGCAAAGGCTGCAACTGAACGGCATCCAGTGGTGAGTCATGCACAGCCTGTCAGAGACAATGCAGTCTGTTGCTGAGGCAGTACTCCCGTCAACTCCAACAAGGGCCGAAAGTCTGATATCAAGAGCGACAACGTTGCGGCTTTCTGTGCCCGTCCCGAAATCAGACTCTTGCAGCATGTCGACCCTGACCACCGACGAGAACTTCACGTTTGGCGAAGCTAAAAACACGAGTTTGACATCATGAGTCCATGCCAGTATATAGACGCAGTACAAGGACAGATTTCAAGGTCTGGTGTCCTCATTTGCCCGGCTGCATTCGGTTGCGCGAGCATCTGTGACCAACCATGAAGCTCGTGTTCCAATCTCATCTGGTCACCAGAGCATCCATGCTCAAACCACAAAAGTGTGCATTCAAGCTGCATTTGTGTACCGCGGTTACCGGAGTCCATTCCTAAACCACGAGATTTGTCACTCTAAGCGTCAACTTCTAACCGTATTCAGTTACCGTGGTCCATGCCTGAACGATGAGCACGTCCGTGTGCCATTCGGTTAAAGGAGCATCCCTGCCCGAAGCCATCAGAACTGTCCATGTTTCAATGCATCTGGCTCCCAGAGCTCCCATGCCCAAACCGCAGTGATACGGTGTAGGGTTTAGGGTTTAGGATTTAGGGTTTGATTAGGTTTCCAGAGCATCCATGCCCGAACCATATACCCAAACTATTTCGGGACTCTGGACGGCTAGATTCCACGCATGAAAATGCTGCGCGTGCCAGTGAAAGAGGACGAGCACCTGTGGTGATGGCAAACGGGGCTCAAGTAGCAAGCGCACAAAGAAGCCACACATTGTGCAAGCCTTTGCTCAGCCTTTTGCTCCTGACCCCAGCGATCCTTGGTGGCTTCCGAGGCTCCAGCGCCCCCGACGGCTTCCTTTGTCCCATTGTGTGCAAGAACAGTCGGAGACCTGTGGGAGAGGTCCAGTGTGAGGCAGGGATCCACAGAGCGGCACTCGCTCCATGCAACACCAAGTTCAGGGTTTAGGCTTTGGGGTTTAGGGCCTAAACCCTAAACCCAAAACCCAAAACCTTAAACCCCAAACCCTAAACCCTAACGGACCTGATCCCTCTGCCCTCAGGATGGTTCATGGTCCATCACATTGAAGTGCCGACCTGAGGGCAAGGCACGCTCTGAACGCCCCATCCAGCATCAAGAATGCTCAAGTCATGTAGGCCCAGAGGTAGACCGCAAGTTTTCGAGCGACGTGCTGCTTTCCTGCAAACTCTAAAGGCATTATTTGCGACAGATTTCTTAAATGGTGTCTTCGTGCAAAGATTGGAAAACAGCTTGTGAAAGGTAGTTCCATAGTCTTTGAGCGCCAAGAGCCCGAATGGAAGAATTTGGGCAACAAATCTTTCTTTATGAAAACGACATCATTCCGGAGAAAGGAAGCTCGCTCTTGCAATGCTTCAGTCAATTTACGTGTGCGCAGGTCTGCTTATCTGGCCCGTCACACGAGACATGGCAGCAGGGGTCTTGTTCTAGCTCCCACCAGCTTCCTTTATCTCAAATCAAAGCCGAAGAACTTGGAATTGATGAAGTTTGCAGGGAAAAGCTTTGGGTGCAGGACGGGCACATAAAGGGGAGAAGTGGAGATTGGTGTTTGACAGAACTGGCTGCGTGGAGGCCTATTTCAGTTCATCTTCAGGGGGTTGGGAAGCTTGACTACGGTTGATGGTCAGAATCTTGCATTACCCATAATGAGGAACATACCGCAATTTTATCGCTAACGCGGGGCCGCCTCGGCAAGGGTACCGAGGCGGCAGGAAGCAGACATTCCGGAATGCAGGTTTGAGGGTGTAAAGTTGAAAGCTTCGGGGGCCTTGTGCAGGATTGCAGGCCTTGCAGTCGAAGCCCCCGTACAAGGGCTCTGGGACTGCCTTGCGGTCGAAGCGCGCAGCGTGAGGGTTATGTGTGTTGGGGGGGGGGGGGGGGGGGGGCGCGAGGGCGAGAAAAGGGGAACGGGCGAGGGCAGGGCAAGGGGGGGGGGGTTTGGGGACAATGCGGGAGGTCGGACAAAGAAGGGAGGGGTGGGAGCAGGGAGTTGGGGGGAGTGGGGGGACAGGGGAAAGGGGGGGGGGAGGGCGGGGAGGGGGGCAAGGGGAAGAAGGGGAAGTGGGCAAACGGCGTGTCCGTCGCACGAGCTGATTCTCGGATCCTCCCTATACCTGGGCCCAAATCCCCCCCTGGTCCGGGCACGTCGGCCGCGACTGGATGCAGGTCGACTACTGGGGTACCCATTCCGGGCCAAAAAACTCGACCTCCATATACCAGTTACTTCTTAGTGATTAGTGATTCCCTAGACTTGGATCCAAACGCCTCAGGCCTCCGGCCTCGCGGATTCCCATAGTTTAGGGTCCTCAAGGTAATGCAGGATTTTGACCATCAACCGTATCACCTCATGAAAGGAGGTCCGAAGCGGAAATCTGACATGCACATCTCAGGTGTATGTCGATAAGGATGGGCAGAGTGCCTTTGCTGCAGCGAGCAGTAGGTTGTGCGAAACACTTCCATGCTCTCATGCTTTCATACTCACAAGCATTTCGAGTCACGATGTTTCACAGGGCTGTTTCCATCCGAGGTCTGCAGCTATCCGGCATAATTCCAGATGCGAGCCTCAGCAGAAAAGCTGCCACGCGAAGAGCTACACTTCGCATTTCGGGCCCGTTTACCATCATCATATGCCCTGCATTTTGCATTGCCTGGAAGTGCAAAGCCAATCTGGCTGCTGGCTTGTGATCCCCCCCACTGGAGATGTGTGCCAAGTCATGAGCCTTTCTGCCCAGTCATATCATGCGAACAGACCGCTGCGATGCCTGAGAGTCAGGGGCTGCCAGGGATACCTGAGATCTGCCCTACACCTGGCGTAACCCAGGCTCGGCATCACCCAAGTGCTAGCGCGCCCCTGCTCGACTCTGCGCCAGGGATCTGCCCCCCCTGTGCTTACAGAGTTACATGTTTGATTACGACGTCCGCCTTCCACCAGCTTCTCACAATGACAAGTGTACGGCTGCCTGATCTTCCTCAGCGAGGGCGTTCGCAGTCTTCCACTGCTGCCGTCAACCCTCTCAACAGGCGCTGCAGCTCCCCAGCAGCGTCAGCAGCGCTGGTCTGGCCAACCCCTCCAAACAGCTTGCTGCACACAGGCGAGCACAACGTCCTGCAGGTCCACCCCTTCCGGGTGGAGGAAACACACTTCGCATCCACATCGCCCCAGCCGTGAGGCCATAGCGGAGGCGGCTGACGAGGTAGCGCGAAGCTTGCTTTGTCACGCGATAGTATCGCGTGTAGGCCTTTGGGCATCATGACCTGAGGAAGTAAAGCATGCGGACACGATATGCCCAGCCCCAACCCGCCCCAATGCCCACTGGAAGAGCGGGGTAGGGCGGGACGCGTGCACCCTAAGGGCTGTTCACATCATCTTCTGCAGCTTTATTAATACAATAATGCAATAATATGACAAGATAATGACAGAACAATCTCTTAATATGGTGCTATGGTGGTTTCTTGCAGCATCTTTGGACTGTTACCGACGGTAGAGCCTGCACTTGGGGTCAGCACATGCCACCTCGAAGAACCAAGCCACCAAAAAGTGCATCGGTGTGCTGTGCACTCACGCGGCCTTGGCGTGCACAAGGACTTCAAGCATGGATACTCCTTCTGTCGCAGTGATGCCATATCTGTGTGCCAAGTGCGCCTGGATGTGGGCAGCTGCAATGCCAGATTGAAAAGGGCATGGCTGACACTGCCAGACAAGATAGATACCTCCATTCTGCGACCTATAGCACCGTGTCATCCATCTACTGAGCTCGATGTGGAAGCCCATAGGTTCACAAGTTCAGTACAAGTTAAGCCCTAAACCGCCTAAACCCGAAAGATCACTAGAGATCTTGCTCAACGCAAGGAGATCAGAATGTGATCTTTTCACCCGAAGGGGAAAGAAGTGTGGAGCCCTCTGCGCCCCACGAGGCAAGGTGCTACTACTATTTTTCCGAGTAAAGGTCTTACAGTCGTGTATGATTATGTGGGTATTAGTTCTAGTATTCTGTTATTGCCAAACTGGTTGTTGTTACTGTTGCTATTTTTTCTGGGTAAATTTCGCAGCGCTCGAGTTCACGCAGCCAAGGAGGTAGTCTTTTGGATCAGGGATGCCGGGATGCTGTCCACTGTTTAAGCTTAATATCAAAGAATGTTAACAATATCAACACAAGTGAAGCCATACCAATAATAGTACCAAAAGAGCAAATAGTAACAATAGTCGTAATAATCATTGCAACAATAGCAATAGCACGAATAACAGTAGTCCAAAAGTAAATAGCAATTCTAGGAACCAAAACAATAGTAATAGTAACCATAGTAACAGTAGTTGTAATAACATCAATAATTGCAGCAATGATCACAAAAGAGTAAGTAATGATAGTAACACTAGCAGTAGAGGTAATGAACTTACAGCAAGTACATGAACATTAGTCAAAAGAGTGATAGTACTAAGAATAGTAATGGTCGCGTAAGAATGGGGCTCTCTTGCAAGCAAGTGGTTTGGTGTAAAAGCTCTGGCTTTGCGCAGGCGATGTCTCAACGGGGCAGGTCAAGTGCAGAAGACGCTTGTACTGAATCGTTCTACCTTCGCTGGTCGTTAGGGTGGGTGGTTGATAGCTCCTGCGATGAGCCTATCACTCAGAACAAAGCCCTACACTCATGTTGCCAGCTTTTACGTGATGTCCTGGATGGCCGAAACTCAGACTCCTGATCCCTTGCATGCTTGTGGTTTAGGGTTTAGGGTGCATTTCACCTGCACACTAGTCGCTACAAGGCTTGACTTCGCCGTGCTGGGTTCTCGTTCCGGTCAGATCTTTCAGTATCATATATGGGATCACAAGTGGGTGGTGGGATAGTAAGTGGGTGGAAGAATTGAGCAGGAGAAAAGATAGAGTACGGAGATAAAGCAGAGGGAAGCAAAGTTACTACTGCTACTACTACCACTACTACCACTACTACCACTACTACTACTACTACTACTACTACTACTACTACTACTACTACTACTACTACTACTACTACTACTACTACTACTACTACTACTATTTCTACTACTTCTACTACTACCATTCTTATTCTTATTCCTAAAAGCTGTCTGGTTCTTAGTAGGGAATGGGGGAATGGATCCCTATGACCCTTAAGGTCCCTTAGAGTAATCCCCATAACCCATTCCCCCATTCCCTACTAAGCACAAGACTGTGGGGCTTGAGGTTTTGGGGCTTAGACTCTAGGGCCTTTAAACCCTAAACCTTAGGGTTTCAGGGCCAGGATTTTTCGTCCAGCGCTTCGACTGAAATTGCTGTCAGTGAGGAAGTGGCGGGAGCGCCGCATGGGAGGCCTGGTCAGGGTTTGCTTCTTGACGGCCTGATCACGAACTCCAAGTTACTCAGAAGGATTAGGGTTCAGGTTTAGGGTTATCAGAATTACTCAGAAGGATTAGGGTTTAGGGTTTAGGATTATCAGATGGCTCCCAAGCGATTTGCGAAAGGCATACTTTGTCTGTTTTTTGCTCGAGTTGAGCTGATGTAGAATGACTTGCCTTGGTGTCCTGCGTCAAGCTCTTGAAGTTTCCAAAGCCCTAAACCTTGGGTGCTGCCCCCACTCAGTAACAGTTGGAAAATATTCATAATACGATATATATATATATATATATATATATATATATATATATTAGGCCCTTAATAATATCCCTATGATGGACTGTTACTGTACGGGGGCAGTACTAAACCCTAAACCCGAAACCCTAAACCCTAAACCCTAAACCCTAAACCCTAAACCCTAAACCCTAAACCCTAAACCCTAAACCCTAAACCCTAAACCCTAAACCCTAAACCCTAAACCCTAAACCCTAAACCCTACACCCTAAACCCTAGACCCCAGACCCTAAAACGCAAAGCCCTTGGGAAGGCATTGAGAAGCCTTGATTGCCAACCGGCCAGCACGGACGGGCTGGTCAACCAGCCCAGGAGCCTTGCAGAGCAGCCGCTTCAGGGCTCTCAGGTTCGCGGTTTAGGGTTTAGGGTTTAGGGTTTAGGGTTTATACGGTGTTTTGTAGCTTCTTTGATTCGGGCGGCATCAAGAGTTGAGCCGGCAAGGTTTTTTACTTGGGCAGGAATGAGCTTGTTATTCTCCCCACTGCCAGTGCTGGTGCAGGATCTTTTCCTTCCAGCCTGGCAGCGGCAGCCTTCAGATCATAGCGGACCTGGTCAGGGATCCATCGAAAGTGTTGTCTCCAGTGGAGATGCCGCAAGTCTGCACGCAAACCTGGGCATGTGTGTGAAAGAAGTTGCAGAGATGTGCTGCAGACAAGTACCGGCAAATGAATGCATCCTGTTGTCGTATATACCCTTCACCCGGAAGCCAGTCTGAACCCTAAACCCCTAAACCCCTAAACCCCTAAACCCCTAAACCCCTAAACCCCTAAACCATAAACCGTAAACCCTGTCTCATGATGTATCCTGTCCAAGGTTTTATTTCCGGGATCCGACTGGCACAATGACCTGTGCCTTGGCTGCAACGATCAATTACGTTGTAGGGTTTAGGGTTCAGGGTTCAGGGTTTAGGCTAAGAAACCCCAACCAGTCCCTCAACCAGAAAGCCAGCAACAAACACTTCCAGGGCTCCCAGCCTAAGGCACCGCCGTGCAGAATGTCCTGGAGTTGACAAGGACATCTGGCTGTCGTGACCCACGGACAGCTCTGACCACACCCCAAATCCCTGTCTCATCCCCCTAAACCCTAAACCCACCATGGTTTCGTGACCCTAAACCCTAAACCCTTAAACCCTAAACCCTTAAACCCTGAACCCCTAAACTCTTAAGCCCTACACTACCCCGGAGCTCTTAAAGGAACAGCCAGAATGATGAGCCCGACGAGCCGGACTTGGACCAGGAGGATGATGCCGCAGAGGGCGGATGGGAGCCTGGACTTAGGGGGCTTATGGGTTTTTGGGTTTTTGGGGGTTTAGGGGGGTTTGGGGGGTTTGGGGGGTTTAGGGGTTTAGGGGTTTATGGGCTTAGCGGTTTGGGGGTTTAGGGGTTTAGGGGTTCAGGGGTTTGGGGGTTTGGGGGTTTATGGGTTTAGGGGTTTACAGTAGGGTTCAGGGTTTAGGGGTTTAGGGGTTTAGGGTTTAGGGTTTATGACCCGAAGTGAGCTGCAGTCTAGCAAGCCCTTCAATATGGGGAGGGTGGTTTGCATTACAGGGGTCATGAAGGGGGAGCAAAGGACTTTGAGCATCGCTCAAATGAACTTTAGGGTTTAGGGTTTTTGGTTTAAGGGTTTAGGGTTTAGGGTTTCCATATCATTTCTATTCTCTTCCCTGCTGGATTTGCACTCCATTTCTGAAGTCTGTGCCTTAGCTGCAGGCCAACCTGCGTTGCTTCCGGGGTGATGCCATGAAGTTTGTCGCTCTGTGCAGGACGTACATGAAACCAGGATTTCAGCTTGACAACAGCTAAGGACTCCTGTGAAGCCGACTCAGACTTTGAGCTCCAGAATCTTGATGGCCTTCAGCATGGCCTGTTTGTGAGAGGCCGTCTCCTGAACCAGAAAATGCTGACCAAAAGTCTGGCTCAGGAGCAGCCAGTGCTTCCCGGACAGCGCTGGGGGCAGCGAGTGGCTTGCCCAAAGTCCAAAGTTGATCCTCGTCCGTCTGATGCCGAGTAGGGAATGGGGGAATGGGTTATAGGGACTACCACAAGGGACCTTGAGGGACTATCCTAGGGATCCATTCCCCCATTCCCTACTAAGCACCCGACAGTCGTATTTGGTTGCACGTCTTTTTTGCTGCGTGCATCAAGCAGTTTGGTACTTCTGCAATTTTGCTTCAAAGAGACTTTGCCGTAAACCCTAGAAATGGTGGTGCCTGGTTTGGGTTGGCAAAGGACCATGCGTTTTCAGAGCACGTATGCCGAGGTGTGCATCTTGCTCGGGCCTTGATCTGGAGAATCGGGAGTGCTGGTCCAACAGCACCCGAAGCTTGACTGCAAAGATCTTTACAGAACATATCCGAAAGCCTCGGGATGAATCCAAATCGTGCTTTCCGGTGTTCAATTCTAGTTGAAAGGCAGTCGTGACTGTGGCAATAACCCACGCAGCGGCGACTACCTGAGCTGCGCCTTCACTGGCAGCTGGGTCTTCAGTTCATTTTGGTGGGCCGTTCCGGTAGATCTGGAAGAGTAGAACGTGGTCTGTTTAGACCTTAGACAAACAGATTTGGCTCATGCTGCATCCAGGTGCACAAGCCTATAGAGACTAGCGCGAAAAATGGAGCGGCGAATTTTGAAGATGAGGAAAGCTCTCAGTGAGCCTTTCAAAGCACACCCACCATGGACCTCTCCACCCTCAGAAAATCACGTAGCTGAAACACCAATCTCAGGTCAATTTGCAGGGAAGGCGCATGCAGCATTTGAAGTGGAAGGTTTGTCAGGGGCCGCAGTACAGACAGGGCAGAGCAGAAATGTCAGCAGTTCAGTGGGGTATCCTAGTTGTTGAGTCGCACTATGTACGCATGTCCCGTGCCGCTTGTACTACTAGCACAGTCCATGCTTCACTCTCGGTTCTGGATGAACTGGATGCTTGGGCAGGCAGAGGTTTGCTTCGCGAAGCCGCCGGAGGGCTTCTGTGTGAAAAAGGCCGGGGATTGAGGGGGTGGCCATCGCGAGCTTTCAAGCCGCACAGAACCTGCTGCAAAAGCCAGGTCATCCCTCGTGTAACAAGGACTAGCAGGCTGAGCATGTGCTGGAGATTGGATGACCAGACCGGCGGACCAAACTGTAATCCATGCGCATTCATGACATGCACAGTGGTGTGTGTTTGTGTGTGTGTGTCGTCGAACTAGGAGAGCTTTTCATTTCACCGCAGAAGTTCCGCTCAGCATTGCAGGTTTTTAGGGGTTGACAGGTGACGGAGACAATTCGAATGAAACAAGGTGATGCAAGTTGGCTGACCTTCACACATGTTCACGCTGAGCTCCTGCCAGGTCTGTGCCATGCACGGCAACCAAAAGTCATGCAGGTTGGGGCATTTTGCACACATACCTGGCTCATGGAATACAGTTTTGTCCGTCAGAGGACAGAAAACCAATTACTCATAGCCGACTCATAGCCATGCAGGCTTGTGACGCATGAGTGCAAGCTGCATGCTCAGACAAGCAGGAAGATAGGTTTTGAACTCGATTGCTCAGCGCTTCCATGAATGACATGGAAGAAATGCAGCATAGAGCAAACTTTAGCATTCACAAAGAATCATTGAACAAGAGAACGATTCTTGAGTTTCTGGGGTCGAAGCTGTTCAGCAACATGAGGTGCGTTGAAGAACTGTAAAGGGGTTTGGAAAAGCGACTTATACAGGGTCAGGACTGTAGGGCTTATTAAGATTATGGCTCAGATGAGCTGCATGTGCACCAGCAAAGCTCGGGCGCTTGTGGCAGAACCAACCGTTCTCGTACTTCCTTGGCCAAGCATCTACTGTCAATCATCTGCTCTTGTGACCCTGCAAGTTTTGGACGAAACGACTTCTGCCGAGATCTGTGGCAGTGCCAGGTCATACAACCCTCCGAGCTCTGCGCAATTCTGCGCCGGGCAGGTGGAAATCCAGGAGCCCATCGACCACGTGGTGATTCGCTACACTTGCCACTTGCTTGTGTGAACACGGCCTGCCTTAGAACTGTGTAGCACATGTGCGCACGAACATGATCAAGCCTTGGTTAGTATCGGGTGGCTGCTGGATTGCAAAAGCTTTACAAACTTGCAATGGCTTGGCTCATCACAGTTCATCAAAGTCTTGCAATCAAGGCTGCAACCCAAATCTTGTGACTGTCGTGGGCAGCTGCGGTGGTGGCATCTACAGCCTCGTGGATTGTTAGCGGATAGGCAAGTTCTCGTGTCAGACGCTGCGGGAGCGGCGTCAAGAAAGTCCACTGTCTTCACTGCATCTTTGGGCTGCGTCCACTGCAAGCCCATTAATTCATCAGATTCTCGTAAAACAGGAATCCCTTGTGCGGCACGAGCGCGCTGGAGCATGTTGCCGCATGCAGTCAGGTTCTGGACGAAGACTGCAAGGCGATCCAAACGCCAACGTTCAGATCATGCCAGGTGCAGAGCCCCCTCGCTCATTTATGATTGCTATGATGAGTATTACCCTTACTATAAGACCTACTGACGAGCACGATGACTATGATTTACGATGATTGTTCTGACGATGTATGGCATCCTGGCCCTGTGGCCCTGTGGCCTTGTATCTCCCCGGGCTGGGCTAAGGCCTCCCTAAACCCTGAACCCTAAACCCTAAACCCTGAACCCTAAACCCGAAATCCTAAACCCTGAGCCCTAAGCCCTGGCTCCTGGGTCTGAACCTCCCCGGCCTCCTGAACCCCGGATCCGAGCTCCTGAGCAGATCATCTTACCAACGCCAAGGGTTTAGGGCTTAGGGCTTAGGGTTTAGGGTTTAGGGTTTAGGGTTTAGGGCTTAGGGTTTAGGGTTTAGGGTCAAACTCTAACCCCAACCTAAGTTCGATGGGCCCCCCTGTACCGGTAGTGGGGATGTGCAGTTGTTCGCAATCCCTGCTCCAAGCTTCGAAAGGAATCGTGCTGGCACCTCCTGGGGACTCCCTGCACTTGTAGCATGTGCTCCGATTTCCCTGGCCAATGAGCTCAACAAAGATCAATACGTACCGTGGCTGAAGAAGTATGATGATGTTCATTATTATTCGCACCATTGTGTCTATGATTATAGTGGTTCTAGTTACTATTATCATACATTATTATGGTTATTGTTGTGATGACGATCATTATTATCACAGGGACTGTTGAGACTGGCTTGGAGTCGTAGAGCGTCTTTCGTTGCCCTGCCTACAAGTTGTCTTGAGTGGGAGCTGATGTGGAAGAGCTGGGCCTTTGGGTTCAATGTGTAGTAATAGCACTCATAATAAGAGTAGCAGCATTGGTAACCTGGTAGTAAAACGCGAAATGATAACAGCAATAGCAACAGGCAAAGGAAACTTGAGGGCAACGAGCTGATTCAAGAGTGCGTTTGTGCCTCTGAAAAGGAGATTCCCGAGAAGTGTTCCCGGCTGATGCCTGGGGAGAGCTGCGAAGTGGGCTGCAGCTCCAACTACATCTTGCAAAGGAGCCCGTTGAGGGTTTAGGGGTTTAGGGTTTAGGGTTTAGGGTGTGGTTTAAGGGTCTAGGGCTTGGCTTTAGGGTGTGGGGGGGGGGGGGGGGGTTTTTCAGGTGAAGGGGCGCGGAGGTTGACTTGAAGCAAGGATAGATTTGGGAGTTTCCGAAAATAGGGGACCCTAATGTAGTACCCCTAAATAGTAGGATCCTTATTATTTTAAGGGGCTGCGCCCATGGGCGGGCAGCGCAGGCAGAAGCGCGGGGCGAGCAGTTTCTAAGCATTTTGAGGCCCCTAAACTCCCTTAAAATCTCTAAGCGTTTGAGGCTCCTCAACCCTCTCAAAGTTTCCAAGCATTTTCAGGCCCCTAAACTCCCTTCAAATCTCTAAGCGTTTGAGGCTCCTAGACTCCCTTAAAGTTTCTAAGCACTTTATAAGGCCCCTAAACTCCCTTTTTCCTGCCCCAGGCTTAGACACGTCGCTTATGCCCGCCCTTTGGGGGGCATCATGCTCCTGATGCGCCCCCGGGGTCCCGCCCCGGGAGCCGCTGATGCTCCTGATGCGCGCCTGGGGGTCCCGGGCTGGACCCGCTGATGCTCATGATGCGCGCCCTCTGGGGGCCTCCGTGGCGACGCAAAAAACCACGAAAAAAAAACCGTTCACCGGCGGCACGCGGGGGTCGGCGGCACTGGCGTCCGGCCTAATTCTGCTTCGCAGAAGGCCAGAGGCCAGCAAGGCTATTCCCGGGACGACCCGGGCTAAAAGGTCCGCATTTGCTCGGTCCTTTGGGGACCTCGCGCTGCCCGATTTAATGGCTACCGCCAGTGCCGCCGACCCCAAATTTTCCAAGGTGGGTGGGGTGGGGGGGGTGGGGGGTGGGGGGTGGGGGGGGGTGGGGGTGGGGCGGAAGGGCGGAGCAAGCGGAGCGGGCGGAGGGGGCGTGCAGTCATCTGATCGAGTCTAGAGAGGCAAAGGGCCAGAGGCCCGTAAAACTGTGGGGCCATGAGCCAGTAGGCACAGGGCCAGGGGACCATCAAGGGCATGGAGCCATTATCCAGCTGGCCAGGGGGGGGGGGTTGGGGGGACGGTGATGGTGAGGGAAGTGAGTCAGCTGATCGGCGTGGATTGGCCCTGAAACAGCAGAGATAGAGGGTAGGCCTGCATGGGGAAGGGGGTGGGGGGGGGGGGGGGGGGGGGGGGGGGGGGGGGGGGGGGTGCCGAGCGGGTGGCAAGTTGGGTGAAAGCGGTGAGAGGGGGTACAGAGATGGGGAAGGGGAGCGGTCGGGGGGCGGGGGCAAGGGGGAGGGGAGCGGGATGGGGGTGGAGTGGAATGGTTGGGAAGGGGGAGTGGGGGGGGAAGGGGTTGGTGGTGGGAGTGAGGGGGGTGGTGGGGAAGGGGAGGGGAGGAGGATGGAGTGGAATGGTTGGGAAGGGGAAGGGTAGTGGGAGGGGGGGGAGGGGAAGAGGGGCGGGATTGGGGGTACGGTGAGGGCAGAGATGGGGAAGGGGTAGGGGAGGAGGATGGGGAGGTAAGGGAGGAGGATGGAGTGGCATGGTTGGGAAGCATGGTGGGGGTGGGAGGGAAGGGCGGAGCAAGCGGAGCGGGCGGAGCGGGCGGAGCGGGGGCGGAGGGGGCGGGCATGCACTGGAGCCCTTTAAAAGTCAGTCATCTGATCGAGTTTAGAGAGGCAAAGGGCCCGTAAAACTGTGGGGCCATGAGCCAGTAGGCGCAGGGCCAGAGGACCATCAAGGGCATGGAGCCATTGCATGGCCAGCTGGTCAGGAGGGGGGTTGGGGGGGACGGTGATGGTGAGGGAAGTCAGGGGTGATGGGGAGGGTGGGCGGAGCGGGCGGGAAGGGCGGGCCATGAGCCACTGGGCATAGGGCTGGGGGGGTGGGGTGGGTGGGGGGAGGGTGGGGGGCACAGAGAACAGCTGCATGGGGAAGGGGGTGGGGGGGGGGCGTGGGGGTGGGGGAGCGGGTGGCAAGTTGGGTGAAAGCGGTGAGAGGAGGGCAGAGATGGGGAAGGGGAGCGGCGGTGGGCGGGAGGAAGGGGGTGGAGTGGAATGGTTGGGAAGGGGAAGGGTGGTGGGGAGGGGCAGGGGAAGGGGTTGGTGGTGGAGGGGGGTAGGTGGAAAAGATGGGTGGGTCGGGGAGGTGGGGTATGAGGGGCGGGGGGAGGTTGGGGGGGTGGGGGGGGTGGGGGGGGTGGGGGTGGGTGGCGGGGGTGGGGGGAGGGGGGGTGGGGTGTTGGGGGGTGGGAGGGAAGGGCGGAGGAAGCGGAGGGGGGCGGGGGTTGGGGGGGGTGGGGTGGGGGGGGTTTGGGGGGGTGGGGAGGGGGGGGGGCGGGCATGCGCCGGAACCCCTTCAAGTCAACCAGCTGATTGGGGGAGGGTGGTGGAGTGGGGGGCGGAGTAGCCGGGAAATGTCTGGGGAAGGGTGGGTGGGGGGGGGGGTGGATGCGGTGGTGTGGGGGGGGGTGGGGGGCGGGTTGGGGGGGGGGGGGGTGGGAGGCGGAGCAAGCGGAGGGGGCGGGCATGCATTGGAGTCCTATAAATAAAGTCAGTCATCTGATCAAGTCGAGAGGCAAAGGCCCGTAAAATGAGCCAGCCAGGGACCACCAGGTGGCCATGAGCCTGGCATAGGGGTTGGCAGCCCCAGCCCCAGCCCCGCCCAGCCCCAGCCCCGGGGGGGGAGGGTGGGGGGGGTGGGGGGTGCGTGGGTGGGGGGGGGGATTGGGGGGGTGGAGTAAGGGGAGCGGTGAAACAGCGGGGCGGAGTAGGCGGGAGAGGGGTGGAGTGGAATGGTTGGGAAGGGGAAGGGTGGTGGGGAGCGGGGGGCAGGGGGAAGGGTTGGTGGTGGGAGTGGGGGAGGGGGGTTGGTGGAGGAGATGAGGTAAGTGGCTGGAGAAGGGTGGATTGGGGGTGGGGAGGGGAGGGGAGGGGTAGGGGAGGGTGGAGTGGAATGGTTGGGAAGGGGAAGGGCAGTGGGAGGGGGGGCAGGGGAAGGGGTTGGTGGTAGAGGGGTCAGGGGCGGGCAAGGGGTTGGTGGTGGGTGGAGTGAGAGGGGGGGCAGGGATGGGGAAGGGGTAGGGGAGGAGGATGGAGTGGAATGGGGGAAGGGGTAGGGGAGGAGGATGGAGTGGAATGGTTGGGGGTGCGTGGGGGGGATTGGGGTTGGGGGGTGGAAGGCAGGGATGGAGTAAGGGGAGCCGTCAGGGCGGGCGTGGATTGGCCCTGAAGCAGCGGGGCGGAGTAGGCGGGAGAGGGGTGGAGTGGAATGGTTGGGAAGGGGAAGGGTGGTTGGGAAGGGGAAGGGTAGTGGGAGGGGGGGAAGGGGTTGGTGGTGGAAGGGTTAGGGGCGGGCAAGGGGGTACGGTGAGAGGGGGGCAGGGATGGGGAAGGGGTAGGGGAGGAGGATGGAGTAGAATAGGGGTAGGGGAGGAGGATGGAGTGGAATGGTTGGGAAGGGGAAGGGTAGTGGGAGGGGCAGGGGAAGGGTTGGTGGTGGGAGTGGGGGGGAGGGGGGTAGGTGGGTGAGGGCAGGGAGGGTCTTCACTGACGCCGCCCCGCTGTTGCTGGGGTCGGCGGATAAGGACCCCAAAGTCAGGTACCCCTTGTTTTCGGAAACTCCCATTTACTTCAACTCAAGCCTTTCAGGTGCACCGGTGGAAATCCCCACTCCGTTTGAACTGATTCCAGTAGAATGCTTGCATGCACGTCGTTGAGAGTGCACACATGTACGATTACATGTCGTCGTTTGCGATGTTGACTTGGCATCTTCGATGCAGGCCTCTAGAGTCAAGAGAGCGCGCGGTGCTCTCTGAGCAGTAACTAGTCCACAACCTGGAGGTCCATCCCTGGATCTTTAGGGTTTAGGGTTTAGGGTTTAAGGTTGGCTTTAGGGTTTAAGGGTTGAGGGTTTAGGGCTTAGGGTTTAGGGTTCAAGGCTGGATGATGGCCGGAGTATCCCTACACACACTCCAGTACTTGAGGAGTACTTGGATCCACTCCCGAACGTCCGAATCCCCGTCCGTGGCGCTAAATGTGAAAGAAGTTTACCATGTGCCTCATTCCCCCTCTACAAACCCGAAACCTTAACTCCTAAAACCAAGACCTTGAGCCCTTAAGCCTTGCTGCCTTCCAGGAAACCGGACCAGGGGATCTTCACATGCGATCTTGGGATGGACAGGTGGCTCACTTGCTTCCCTGAGATACGGTCAACTGAGCTATGGTCCAAACTCCTGAGGGGCGTGAATTTTCGGGGATGCTATGGGCTTCCCTTCATTTGTTGTATAGGAGCATATACTGCGCTTCAGGATGGAGGGTCTGCATAGGGTGGTTCAGTCGGAGAACACTGGGTGATCATGAGCCGTGCCGCGGTTGGAGGCTTGGCACACAAAGTCATGAAACGTCTGTTTGCCAGCACGCGGTTCTGCAAGCATCTGCAAGCATCACAGGGTCGCGACAGGTTTACTTGAATTCCTTGGGCCACTTGAATGGAGTCCCTGGCGCTTGTGACCGGAGCAGGCCACCTACTGGCACCTTCCCCGAATGTAAGCTGAAGCCGCTCCTTTGCTGCAGCCAGAAACTGCGCTTACCCAAATTCGCACCATTCGTCTGGCTCTCGTAGGAGGGGTTTGGATTGGCTTTGCAAAGGCAATCTCAAGGTCGCCGTTGGATAGGCAAGTTTTAGAGTTGTTCGATTCAGGGGTCGGGGGAAGTGCAGTGTTCAGGCAATATGCTTTGGCAGCTTGCACGCTCCCTTAAGCCTGTCCCGACTGCTGCAGTGACCAGGACTGGGCAGAACGTGGTTGCTGGGCTCAATGCGGAGCAGGCTCGGAGTTCGGATGTTTGGCTATGGGTGGGCTTCGCCTGGAAATTTCAACACAGAGACTGCAGTTTCAGGCAAACAGTGAGGATTATGTGTGGAGGCGCCCACAACGACTACAACGACCATACCAGCGCTCTGTCAGGCCTGTGCGGATATTGGCAGCTTGACAGGCCATTCAGAATTGAAGGGGCCTGTTATTAGCATCATCATTCGTATTATTCTTATTGCTATTAATATTATTTATTGTCATCGTTAATCGTAATGTCATTTCCAGTACTTGACAAGGTTCTATAGTGGCAGCCTCTTTTGTAAGAGGGGGTATGTGATTGTCTGATAAACGGGGAATAAGAAGCGGTTTAGGGTTTAGGGTGCCAGGTAACTTCAACGACGCGCGCTTCGAGCAGTGTCGGTTTTGGGGTGACCCGCACATCACGAAGAGCTGGCGACCCAAGTCGCGTTTCAACTTCCAAGGCTGGGCCAGGTCTTGAGGTCTTTGCTGCGATGGGTAGTTTAGGGGTTTAAGGTTTTGGGGTTTAGGATTTAGGATGCAAGTGTGTCAATCGGAGCCCTGCAAACCTGCGTGCTGAGACACTGGCATTCATCGCTATGCCCGCACAAACCAATGTGCCGGCAACTTCGAGATCCACGTCTTCCAGTGCCTGCTGGGCGGCGTTTCTTTTTTAGAGTGCAAGATGCCCAAAAATGTCACAATCATGCATGTTGTGGTGTCCTGTGCTTGTCTACCAAGCACCAGGAGAATCAGAGCTGAGGTCAGTACAACAACGGGAGGAATGCAGTTGCCACAGGGTTTGCTGCCAGGCACGCCGCGTGAACAAGTTCTTAGAAGTTGTCAAGACCCCATAATGCCATAGTCCTAGACTTACAACCTTGCTCATTCCTGGGGTGTTAGGCATCATTCCATGTCTTTTCAACAGGAATACTTGACACAGCATTGACCTCGAAGACCTCGGCGTGTGCCAAGCCTCAGCTCTGTGCCTTGTCAGGATGAATGGGAACGAGACCATTTTCATCAGCGATCGCCGCGTTGAAGCCAGTGGGGGCATATACGCCACCAGGATCCAACGCTTGAAGTGGGCCAGGTAGTCGTGGTTGATTTCTGGGTCACGTACAATGAGCAATTGCAGGCGGTGCATCCCCGCCTGGCCTAAAACTTATGAGTGTTGCTTGTGTGTTTGGGGGGGGGGGGGGGGGGGGGGACGGCCCTGAAGCCTCACACCTTGGCGGTCAAGTAACGGCCAATCCTCGATTAGGCAGCTTATGGAAGAGGAAGGTGAGTTGAAAGTGGGTTCGAAAGGCTTTGAGGCTGGAGAGGCTGGATGGCCCCATGAACTTGGCGGCGCCGGACTCAACGAGCTACCAGTCAATGCGATACCAACTTACCGTTTAACTTGTCTAGGACCGAGACCCCCAGCTGTGATGGTATTCCAGCAGACCTCTCTCGGTCTGCTTTCCAACCCTGTCCCTCATTGCAAACATGAAGCTAGTCTACCTACCATCCGCCAACAATGTACTTGGACGATGCGCAGCATGACGCAAGCATTCGATCTCGATGTGCGCAGAAGCGTGTCTGGTCGTTCCTTGTGCTGCCCAGTCAATGAAGGCCCGGAAATTCTGTGATGTTCTGCAGTGCTCGGAGAAAGCGAGGTAGAGCCAGACTCTGGGGCCATCTTGAACGACAAGACTGGCGTGAATGTGCAGAGCAAGGGCCCCAAGACCTGCCAAGTAGTGGCCAATTCCAGTTTTGGTGCCCTAAACCCTAAACCCTAAACCCTAAACCCTAAACCCTAAACCCTAAACCCTACACCCTAAACCCTAAACCCTAAACCCTAAACCCTAAACCCTAAACCCTAAACCCTAAACTCTAAACCCTGGTTGGCTGGATTTTGGAACATCAGTCCTACCATGGGCAGCTCACGCAGCTTTATGAGGGACCTACCCCCCCCCGAGCCCCAAGATCTAGATTCCTGCCACTTGTGCTGACAAAGCTGTCTGCAGGTCAGGATGAGTGTGTCTTCTTCAATGTGAATGTGAAGCAGCTCAGACAAAGAACACGCCTCCAGCAAGTAAGTCAATGCGGCTTCCTGCTGATATCTTGCATTCTGCCTTTTCACGCTTCGGACATGCATCCTCCATGACCTGAACCCTAAACCCTAAACCCCAAACGTCTCTGAGGGTGTCATCCCTGCCCCCCAATATTAAACCCCCCTCCCTAACAACTGATTTCCGGGGGGTTTAGAGGGAGTTTCGGGCGGATCCGGGCATACAGGAATAGTGAGCCAGACACAAAGCCGGCCATCACGCAGCCCTTGAGCCCTAAGCCTTAAGCCTTGAGCCCTAAACCCTAAAGCCCTAGACCTTGAGCCCTAAGCCCTAAACCCTAAAGCCCTAAGCCTTAAACCTTGAGCCCTAGACCTTGAGCCCTAAGGCCTAAACCTCTAAACCCCAAAGGCCTGGTACTAGTGTAGTCTTATTGGCTCTATTAAAACTAATTCTATCCCAAGCCCCCCCCTTCTAATGCTTTAAGTTAACTTTCAAGTGTGGCTCGAAACCGCGAAGTTCCGGGGCCGGGCGGTTTTGAAATTTAGGGGGATTGGGGGTTTCTTGTGAGGGGGTAGATTCTTAAGGTTTAGGGTTTAGGGGTCTTAGGGCCGGGTCACCGTTTGCAGTGCGGTCTGATACGAAGCCCAGGCACATCACCAAGCAGCCGGGCCGCCTGTCTTTCTGAAGCCCTAACCCTAAATTCTAAACCCTAAACCCTAAACCCTAAGCCCTAAGCCCAACCCTAAACCCTAAACCCTAAACACCATAAACCCTAAACCCTAAACCCTAAACCCTAAACCCTAAACCCTAAACCCTAAACCCTAAACCCTAAACCCTAAACCCTAAACCCTAAACCCTAAACCAGCAAGCATGCTTGAGGTCCGGCAACGACAAGCAGCGAGTTGTCCAAGTACAGTGTTCTACTTGTGGGGACGGACTCAAATGTAGAGAGCATCTTGAAAATCGATCACGTACAGCAGAAGATTGACAGCGTGTATCGCGTGGGGACAACCTGCCAAGACTTCGCCGGGAGCAGGTTAGCAAGTTTCTGCCATCTTTGCTGTCCGAGGCTTCCTGCACAATTTCAAGCTGAGTATGTTGGCGGAGGAGTCATCCCGTGTCAGCGCTCATCTTGCACATGCTTTTGAGACGTTCACGTTCATGCTTCTCATTGCTTGCCATGTAGCTGCCAGAGCTTCCAAAACTCTATGCCCCCTCTCAGTAACTGTTGAATAACATCTGTAATACAGATACACAAGGCCCTTGAAACTATCCCCATCATGGACTGTTACTGTATGGGGGCAGTACCCCAACCCTAAGCCCTCAACCCCAAATCCCTAAATCCTAAACTCTAAACCTTGAACCCTAAACCCTAAACCCTAGACCCTAAACTCTAAACCTTAAACCCTGAACCTAAAACTCTAGGCGTATCAGGAAGCCTAGGCCAGGTAAAGGTGCGCCCCTGCAGCGAAGGACATTACTGCGGATGGCATTTGTGGAGCTATTGATCTCAAGTCCCAGTGCCTTGCCTTAGGGTTTAGGGTTACCTCCTGCATCAGCATTCTGAATTTTCAGTTTCTGGCGACAGATGTTCCCAGCACTCCTGCATGGATGATACGAATGTCAAAGGTACAGTGACCGTCACATACGAAACGTATTGAGTAGCAAAATCGAGTACCATAGCACCGTGGTCATGACCACAGCACTTGCCTCAATATTGAATAGAATACGTACAATGACATTTTTTGCCATTCTGTCAGGTACATTGACCCGAACTCCTCGCAAATGATCTTCACGCCGCAGCAACACGAGTACCTGCAGCTCGGAGCACTACAAGGGGATATCTGGTGAATGGCAGCAACAGTGGTCGGTATGCTAGTTCTTATGGGAGATATTCAGATTATGATTATCATGTGTAGTTGTGGTAGTAGTTGTTGCGGTAGTAGCAGCAGGGAAATAGTGCTGCGGAATAATCGCCGCCGCCGCCGCCGCCGCCGCCGTAGTAGTAGTAGTAGTAGTAGTAGTAGTAGTAGTAGTAGTAGTAGTAGTAGTAGTAGTAGTAGTAGTAGTAGTAGTAGTAGTAGTAGTCGTAGTAGTCGTAGTAGTCGTAGTAGTCGTAGTGGTAGTGGTAGTGGTAGTGGTAGTGGGAGTGGTAGTGGTAGTGGTAGTGGTAGTGGTAGTGGTAGTGGTAGTAGTAGTAGTAGTAGTAGTCGTCGTCGTCGTAGTAGTAGTAGTAGTAGCAGAAGCAGTAGCAGTAGCAGTAGCAGTAGCAGTAGCAGTAGTAGTAGTAGTAGTAGTAGTAGTAGTAGTAGTAGTAGTAGTAGTAGTAGTAGTAGTAGTAGTAGTAGTAGTAGTAGTAGTAGTAGTAGTAGTAGTAGTAGTAGTAGTAGTAGTAGTAGTAGTAGTAGTAGTAGTAGTGTAGTAGTAGTAGTAGTAGCAGTAGCAGTAGTATAAGTAGTAGAAGTAATAGTAGTAGTAGTAGTAGTAGTAGTAGTAGTAGTAGTAGTAGTAGTAGTAGTAGTAGTAGTAGTAGTAGTAGTAGTAGTAGTAGTAGTAGTAGTAGTAGTAGTAGTAGTAGTAGTAGTAGTTGTAGTAGTAGTAGTAGTAGTAGTTGTAGTAGTAGTAGTAGTAGTAGTAGTAGTAGTAGTAGTAGTAGTAGTAGTAGTAGTAGTAGTAGTAGTGTAGCAGTAGTCGTCGTCGTTGGCGTTATTGTAGTAGTGGTCAGTCGTTTTCGTTGTCACTGTCGTCGTCATTGTAGTAGGTAGTAGGTAGTAGGTAGTAGTAGTAGTAGTAGTAGTAGTAGTAGTAGTAGTAGTAGTAGTAGTAGTAGTAGTAGTAGTAGTAGTAGTAGTAGTAGTAGTAGTAGTAGTAGTAGTAGTAGTAGTAGTCGTGGTGGTGGTGGTGGTCGTAGTAAATGGTAAGATTGTAATTCAGAGGGAAGAGAGATATGCAGCTGGTTTGGAGGTCTTGCAAAGGGGATGTGCAACAAGACTGGCTAGAATGACTAGACATGGGAACGATGAACTCCGCTCGACTTGCATCCAATGTTGCCTTTGCGCCGTGCCCTTGAGGTGCAACCAGTGCATGGGTGCAGGCAGGAGGGAGCTTGCTTACACTTGAAGGCTTGTCATTCAGGGTGTGTTTTCTGGATACGGGTCCCTTTGGGCTGCTTGCAAAGGTCGTCACCTGTAATGTGCCCATGAGGCTCATGAGGGTCCAAGCTCCTGATGCCAGGTGCCACTCCACCTCGTGGATGCGTGCCGGACGCGAATTCCCCAGCGCCGCCGCCAGCAGCAGGGAGCCTGCCACCAGGCGAGGGCATGTGATGCCTGGATTGTTTCTCCTCCACCATGCCTGCAAAGAGATCAGTACCGCAAAAGCTGACACTGCACATAGAAGAGGCACGGTTCTGCACATGTTCTGGAGCTTTTGCTCTGGCTGTGGAAGTCCTTGATCGCCTGGGCCGTTCCCGATGGAATTCTGTTGCACTGTGTCAGAATGCAGATTATGGGTGTCCCGACATCAGTGGCAATTTGTTTTCTGTTCATTCTCGGAGTAAAGGCTGCGATTTCGTGGCGCCATTGACCGGCACCGATCAGGCAGGATGCTGCCGAAGGTTTGAGCTTGTTTCCTGTCAAGAGGAGCAGACTTGCCTTGCAAGGTGTGCACAACAGACGATGACCCACGTTACTCCCAGCTGGAGGATGAGACTTGTGAAGCACACAGCGCATTCAAACAGGCAGTCAAGCAGTCTTCAAGTCTGTGGGCCTGGTTGCAGGACAATGGTCAGAATTGTGTGGTTTATGCTGAGCCTTGCCCGCTTTAAGTTGATGTGCAAGGTTGGCACGGTGAGTCCAAGGCTGTGGTGCTTCTGAGTACTTCCGAGTTCTGGGCAAAGACTCTGAGGTGCTCAGAAGGAGAAAGAGCTGCAATGACTTCTGCCAGGAGAGGGGCAGCATCTGTGCCGGGGCCTCTTGCATGTTGCACTTGGTGAAGTAACGTGTGTTTAGGCTGTTTAGGATCAAGACGTCTTTTTTTGATGATCTGGGTGCGGGAAGTGTTCAGCATGACGGAGGGCCTCATGAGTGCACAGACATGCCTGACATGGATAGATGATGGTGTGCTTAATGGGTTCTTCAGCCTGATCGCTTCACCAAACTGCACTTCAGTGTCGTCAAGCAAATCATGCATGGCCCGAGCCTTACCCCGGCAATCTTGAGTGAAGAAGTGTAGCAGATTCTTAGGGTTTCGGGTTTAGGGTAGCCTGCTGGCATGATTCTTGGCGTTTACGTGCTCTCTTCACCAAGCACAGCTTTGCCTCCCATCTAATGCATCTTCAAGCCTTGGCACAAATCTTCTTCCACATTGCAGCCCAGAAACTCAGAGAAGGTATGGGCAAGCACAAGGATGCTGAGTGTAGCCAGCCCTTTCCCACCCCTTGCCCGTTTCAAGTCAGAAAGCAGATCTGAGGAGCTGAGTCTGAGTAGGGTTTAGGGTTTAGGGTTTAGGGTTTAGGGTTTAGGGTTTAGGGTTTAGGGTTTAGGGTTCAGGGTTCAGGGCTTAGGGTTTAGGGTTCAGGGTTTAGGGTTTGCCAACGTCAAATGCAGACTTCAGGTGGATGCCAAGGACAACTATAGACGGCCTTGCGTGTTTGACGAGGGCAAATACCAGGCGCGACTTGCGCTGGCAAGCAAAGTTTTTCCGTTTGCACACGTCTGGCCGTCTGGCTTTAACAGCGAGTGATATGCATGCCAGACCTTTTGCACCCTAGACCCTAGACCCTTTCTGGGGAGGCTGGAGTTCGGTGCTCCGGAAAGTCGCTGAATGACCTCATGTGTTCCTCGGCGGAAGTGGGCGTTGGAGGCTCCAAGCTTTGACTCTTGCCTGGGGGTTTAGGGTTTAGGGGTCTGTTTCTGTGCGGTGAGTGATTTATTTGCTGGGCCTTGGATATGAATGTTTTTCATCACACAGTGACACCCTAAACCCTAAACCCCAAACCCTAAACCCTAAACCCCAAGCCCTAAACCCTAATTGTACACGTGTCCGGACTTGACTCTGAGGTGTGTGTCGGAAGCCAGACAACCCGGCCTCCGGAATGCAAGAAGCTTAATGTAGTGGCCTTGATTGGTAGAACAGGCTTCCTTTAAGGAGGTTTAGAAGGGCTACTATAAGGGATCCATAAGAATACCATATAGTATAGGGGCCTGAATGATTAGAATGGGGCTTTGGGGCCCATTATACTTTTCGTACAATTATTATTGGGAACCCCTGAAAGAGCATGGGCAATTTAATTACCAAAATTATGAAGGCCCTTACATTATTCATAGCTTGGCGAAGGGATCAAGTGTTGTGGCATGTGCACAACAGCAGAACATGATGCTCGAGTCGCAACAGTTTTTCTCTCCTGCTGAGGCATGGATAGGGCAGAGAGGAAGGTCGCAAGCCAAAACAACAACTCAAACCCTACATCCTGAACCCTAAACCCCAAAACAACAACTCTCTGCCCGATACTTCTCGATCTCTTGGGAGGGGCCTCGCATTTAGCTTTATGGTTGTCTCCTCTACTTCAAAAGCAAGGCAGCGCAGAGGGAAGGGCGGGGCAGAGGGCAGGGGCAGGTGCCAAGTCCGCGAACTCTGCTCGCCGGAGGCTGCGAGGGCCTCGTCGAGGGGCCCATTTTGCAGGGGGTGCCAAAATGGGTTTGGGCCGCCAGGGCGTGGAGCTTGGGGTTTCGGGAACGGGTCCGGTACCGCATGCTGTGGAGAGACGGGCAAGCGTCGTTTAGGGTTTTGGGGACGCATGGGTTCTCTTTGTCGTGCAGCTTGAAAGAAAGCTCCCTCTAAACTTCTCTGAGCTTGGGGCCCACTGAGCCTTCGTCAAAGCTTTTCAAAGCAGCTGAATTTGGACAAAGGAGCCAACGCTTCAGTCGGACATTTTGAAGTCAGAGCAGTGCCTGGGAGACCTCGGAAAAGCTTTCCACACGGCCTCCTCGGGTAATGTCCCATGCCTGCCTAAACTCTGAACCCTGAACCTTGAACCCTGAACCCTGAACCCTGAACCCTGAACCCTGAACCCTGAACCCTAAACCCTAAACCCTGAACCCTGAACCCTGAACCCTAAACCCTAAATCCTAAACCCTAACCCTAAACCCTAAACCCCAAACCCTAAACCCTAAACCCTAAACCCTAAACCATAAACCCCTGAACCCTAGCGACTCAGCTAAGAACCCTGGCACGACGACCATCGAAGCGTGCACAACCGGCGATGTCACGCTTCAGACCCTCGATCTGGCTTTGGGGTTTAGGGTTTTGGGTTTCGGTTTAGGGTTTTGGTTTTTGGGTTTTTGGGTTTAGGGTTTGTTCAGGGTTTTAGGGTTTGGAGCGGATCATGACAGTTGGTGTGGCGGACTGGCCAGGTGAAAATGCTAGTTGCTAGTTGTAAACAGAGACCGCTGAGAGTGTTGCTGCTCTAGCAGATGTCAGCACCGAAGAGTTGTTCACATTTGTTGGATGTTTGAGGCAGGCAGAGGCCCTCTGCAAAGCCAATGACTTCCTCCAGGGTGCCGCCTGGCCCCCACGCTATGAGGACCCGGCTTACAGCGTGATGAGTGCATACTGGAAAGGCATCCATATGACACCTTTGGAGGAGGCGGGGCTCGTGACCACCACAGAGCAGGATGAGCTGGATGACATGCTCAAGGCATCCTGGTCATCCTCCGGTCTTTGCCTAGCTTACCGAAGGTTGATGGTCAAAATCCTGCATTTCCTTAAGGACCCTAAACTATCGGAATTCTGGCATATTCCCTTTTATGCGGCAAAGCAGGATTTTGACCATCAACCGTACAAGCATGCACTCCAACCATGCACTAGTGATTTGCACAGGGGCCAGCAAGCACTAGTGATAAATCCACAAGTTGACAGAGTCAGCCTTGAGGACTGCATGATCGACGCCTGCAGTGGAGGCAGCCGATGTGAACATCGTATGATTACATTATTGTATTATTATAAAAAATAGTAGAATATTATTATATTTTTTATTATTATTGTATATTATTATTTTATTATTATTGTTATTTTTTATCACGATAATACTTTATTATTATATAATTAGATTGTTATATCATTATCTTATTATCTTATTATCTTATTATATTAATATTATGCTATTATTATATTATGATTGCATTATATTCACTATATCACTATATTATTTTATTTTTATATTTTTCTATTATATATTATTCTATATTATATATTCTGTATTATTTCATCTATATTGTTTTATTATCATATCATTAATATTGTTATATTACTATTTTTGATATTAATTCTATTATTATTTATAATATTATTGATATTATTATATTATTATATTATTAATATCTTATATTTCTTATCTTATTACATTATATTATTACATTATTATAGATTATATTACCTTATTATATATTATATTATTTTTTTATATTATTATTATAATTATATGTTCCTTATATTATTATTTGTATTTTTTATATTATTATATATAAATTTCTTATTTATTTATTATTATTCTTAATTCCTATTAATATTATTAATTATATGTATTTGTATATTTATTATTATATTATTATATTCTTATATTATTATATTATTACACACTTATTACATTATTATTTTTATATTTATTATATTATTATATCGTTATATTGCTATATTTTTGTATTATTACAGCATTATTAATATTATTGCTTCGGAGGAGAGTTTCACGGGGTGTCAGCGAAAGGAACCTGGCCTGGCCATTTGTCCATCCTGTCTTATCCTGTCCTCGTTTTTTGTTTGAGTCGGGATCGTACTTGAATGTTAAAGGACAGGAACAAGCTTCAGCATGAACGTCTCAAGGATGTGGTGCTAAAACATGAAGGATGGCAAACCTTCGAGAATCACAAGTTGCAGGTCTTCGATGATTGATAATTCTTCAGTCACTTCGTGTTTCAGTGAGCCCCTGAAGAAGATGCAAACGTCAACTTGCTACGGCCAGGAATTAGGCCTTGGGTTTAGGGTTTAGGGTTTAGGGTTTCCTGAACCTTAAACCCTAAACCCTAAACCTGCTGGAGTCCTCAGTTTCGAGTTTCGCCTAGGGCGCTGCTGTCGGTTTTTGAAGGCCAGATGCGAACCAAAGAGATGGCACGGTTTAGGGCTTAGGTTTTATAACAAATCAGACTGCCAGAAATGAGGGACCCCCTGTTTTTGCGCCCCATGACGGGCAGCATTGAAGTAGCAAACTTGGACATGTGTAGTGGGACGTTCATGTTGGAAGCTACCAAATCTGCATGTGGCCTTTCTGACTTCAATGAGCATTTTTGATTGCAAGCCTTCTCTGGCCAAGCAAACTCAACAGTCCCCTTCTGTGATGTCGGCGCTCGGCAACGTCAGCCATTTCGGGAAGGGGGAGTCACTGACCCGTGCCCCGCTAAACTTAAAACCCCAAACCCTGACCATCCTTGAACGCTTAAAGCCCTTGGACCCTAATCCCTGACGTGTCCATGCAGGTGCGGAAGATGCCGCCATCTTGGCCCAGAACCTGGTTACGGAAAACCCGCAGGTACCGGTGCGGTCCTGTTGCTCTGATGGAATTGGTTTGAGGCTTTAGTGTCTGGGCGAAGCGACAGGCCATTCAAGTTCTGACTCGTGTGCAGCTCTCTTGGTCGATAGAGACAGCCCTGTTAAACCAACACTGTTACAGGGCTCAGCAGCGTTGCACAGGTTTGGGCGCTCCTCTAGTGTATGGGGGCTTCAGGATACGGCCCAGCAGCTTGTGCTAGGCTGCATCGAATCTCAGGCGCTTTTACTGAAGGGAGGCAATACGAAGTGGGCAGTGGTGCGTATCCCTGCAGCTGCGGAGGACGCAATCTCACAAACTGCTTGCGAGAGTTGGATGGGGCATCAAAGCAAGACTTGTGAGCAAGCTTAGTGAAAGCTTAGCTCTACAGCAAAGTACTGCCAAAGGAAGGAACCCTAAACCCTAAACCCAAAACCCCAAACCACAGCCTGTACCAGGAGTGGAGTGCCAGATTGGGGAGGTCTGTGTAATCTCCAACGACACAGGCAACTTGTCCGACTCCATTCTCAGGACGTTTCCACACCCTAAACCCTAAACCCTAAACCCTGTAGTGGTCCTGACATTTGGCTCGGTCGCAGCGACCGAGCCGCGCTCGATCCACATGCAAAAGACGCAGGTTTGGATTCTGGATGACTCTGGACCCATGCTGAAGCTGTGCATGTCAAGCCGCGCTGCTCCCCAGCACGCCACTCCTAAGAACCCTAAACCCTAAGAACCCTAAACCCCTCTTCTCGCAGTCTAACGCAAGAGCTGCGAGCCTTCGAAGGCAGCTGCGAGCTCCTCACGACCACAGCAACGGTGACAACGTTTACGGTGACTGTCCCATGGTAGCCATGGCATAGAGCTTCCCTAAACCCTAAACCCTAAGTAGAATCGGCTCCTCGGACCACTCATGCAAGCTTCCTCCTCATTGTGCGTCTGTTGAGAAAGCTTGAAGCACCTGCGCGACAGCGACGGTCACACTGTTTGTCACACTGCAACATCTCCACAGAGTATGTTCGGGCAACCCTTAGCTCCCTTCAGAGTGCTCGTAGCCCTCCATTCGTGAAGCTTCTCTGCAAGTCGGCCTTAGCTACAAGGGCAGTTGTCAAAATTAGGGTCCTGTGTTTGGTACCCTAGATAATGGGTGCCGTATTGTAGTAAGGACCCCAAAAGAGACCCTAATTTCACAACTAGCCGACAAAGCTTCAAGCATCAGCTTTGGCCCCGAGTCTTCTGCGACGAGCACCAGCAGCACGGCAAGCACCTTCACATCCTCTTCTACAACAAGGCCGGGGCTGGCAAACACGCTGGATCTGTGCTTCTAATGTAGGAACCTGATTAAGAAACCCTGGTCCTAAAACCCCAAAATAGTAGATATACTAGGATCCATAGAAGGAACCCTAATAAGGAAGCAGGGTTTCTTAATCAGGTTCCTACATTAGGCTGAGAGGCTGAGAGGCTTCAGCTCCGGAGGATACAAGCCGACTCAGCTGACTGCTGATTGCAAACGTAGAGATAGGTAAGCACCCTGGGACACAAACTCACCCATGTCCTCGCACTAATCGAAACTTTCAAGTGCAGTGCGTTCCACGGAACTGTTGCAAGCCTGAGGACACTGACACGCAGCTCTACCACGAGCCTCACGACCACCAGCCTGTCAACTTCCTCAACTTCCAGGCAAAGGTGTGAAATATTGTGAAACCTTTCGGCTGCCTGGTTTGGCTCTGGTTCTTCAGGCACCTTACAACTTGTCCCTGGACCCTCTGACATGTCCTCAGTGGCTCAAGCAGGACCTTGAGCATCACTTCTACGACTTCACTCTCAGCAACCAGCACTACGTCAACATCGACGAGCCTTTGCTAGCCCTGCTGACCATGAAGTTGAAGACTTTGAGAAGCTTTTGCCTTCACATGTCAATGTAGCTTTTGCGTTCAAATGAAATATGGGAACTTGAGATGTACTCCATGTAGTTATGCTCTGAGAGCTCATACAGAAATTTCAGATATCTTGTTCGTTGGTTTTCAGTTGCAACAAACCGCTACTCACAAGATGGCGCATCAGACTCGACAGTGCCTTCCTTGTTCCTCCACGCTCTTTACTTGGTTCATGATCTGGCATGGATAAGAGCTTGACGGGAAAAGGCTGTACCGGTTAACACGCAGCTAAACCATAAACCCTAGAAGCTCAGTTGTAAGTCATACCTGTCCCTTGCAACCTGCAGGGAAGCTCAGGTTCTCAAACGAATCCCTGGATCCTTCATGTGAGAAGTCCCAGGAAACCCCAGGCATACCTAGGGTTTAGGGATTAGGGTATAGGGTCCTCATATTACTTTGAGAATGTTCAAAACGCTTGCCCTAAACCCTAAACCCCAAAGCCTGAATCACCGAGGACGTCCGGCACGTCAAGCTCTACCACAGCTTGCCGACGGCAAAGGGGGGCAATCCTTGGAATGGTTTAGGGTTTAGGGTTTAGGGCAGCAAGATGCCAAAGCGTAGTAGAAACGCTCTATGTTAATCCGCTTAGCTATGGAGTTTTTGCGCTTGCATGCATTCCTCGAAACGTGCATCCTTGTCCAGAGAGGGGTGTGATGAGACTGAACGACAGATTTTCCAAAGAGTTTGTCAGGTCAGTCCGAATTCTCAGCAAAGAGCTTTGGTTGGAGTGCTCAGGCCACTGGAACCTCGACAACAACAGCTTCCATCTCTAGTGCCTTGGCGGGCACAGGGCCGACGGCTGTTCGGCTGAAGGAATGGATCCGGATACACGAAGCCCTGCCCTCATTTGACTTCGCTGCCGGACATTGCTGGTACTGTGGAGGTACTTCCACATCTACGAGTAGGACGTCTAGCACCACAGAAACCAGCACGAGAAGCTCCACAAGTGCTTGGGCAGCAGTCCTCCATGGCCTGCACGAATTTGCCGTCTTAGTGTTTACAGCTGTGCTGTAAAGGCAAAACCACCTCTTCCACCTCCTCCGCAACCTCGACAGCAACCACCGCAACTGCAGCCTAGCTGCACGAGGATCCGCAGCCTGTGATTTCCGCCCGCTCCGCAACGCTGTCGGTCTTTGCGGCACCAGGTCACCACGACAAGCTTTACATCTACCCAATCCCAGACCACAGTGACTTCGACTTCAAGCACCGCCACATCTTTGGCAACTAGGGCGGCATCTTCTTTCAAGTAGCGAGGCAGTGCGATGCGCGACCTTGTGAAATCTTGTAAACTGAGCTCAGAGTCGATGTCCCTTGCGATGCAGCACGTCGCGCCTTGCCGAGACTGCGTCTTCCACCTCCTCTACAACGGCAAGCACTAGCACAACAACAGCGACAAGCACTGAGTCCAAGCTGAAATCGTGTTTCTCTGGTTTCTCTAGGGCGCTCTTGTGTTGGGTGTCAACTTCGCAGCGGTCAAACTGTCTTTCACCTTGGCCGCATTGGCCATTGTAATCACGTGGCACAGCGGCAAGTTCGGTAGAGTGCGCGAATGCTTTCGAAAGAGTTGAATCTGGGTGCTGCCAGTTGCACTGACCAAAGCACACCATGCACAGAGCTGTTTCCTTGCAGTCCACGATCACGGTGACGTCTTCAACCACGTCCAGCAGCAGCAGTGCAACTTCCAGCAGCTCCTCTTCAACAGCGACCTCAACAAGCAGCACCTCCACCACACGCACCTCCTCGTCGAGTTCTTCCTCGTCGAGTTCTTCCACCATCACATCTTCTACCTCGACCTCATCCACAAGCACTACAAGCTCGAGCTCTTCCTCTTTATCGTCCACGACGTCAACGATGCCCGGCATGGTGCAAATGTTGCAGGCTCAAGCCCACATGCCAAGACACAAGCGCCTGCACCCAAGCCGCGCTCTCACCTAGCCAAGGACTGTAACAACGTCAAGCACCACGAGCACCGGCAGCACAACTTCTGCTACCTCGACAGTCACCACTAGTTCGACTTCCACCAGCACTGTATCGCAGCCGGCAATCTGAGAGTGGGGGGTGGGCATGGGAGAGTGAGTGATGGCTGCGGTCATGTTGTCTGAAAGTCTGCTGTGAAACTGAGTCATCCACTTCATTGACATCGAGCAGCTCAACAATGACAACCACATCTGTCACACAGACCTTCACCACCAGCACCACGGCCACAATCACGCAAACGTCCACAACGTCAGTGTCATCAACCTCCAGCAGTGTAACGGGCACGACCAGCAGCAGCACAAGCAGCTCCACAACGGGAACTTCCACATCGACCTCCCAATCTTCTACCAGCTCAACGCTGTCAACCAGCACATCCCTAACGGCCACCACAACTTCCAGGCAAGTCCTTGTGCACAGGAAGAAAGGGTCAGATGCAGGAACCATTGTAGTGGAGGGTGTTGGCATTTTTTCATAGCTCGGGGGGCCAATCAGAGCGCGGGAAATCTGGCCAGGTCCTTTACCTCTTCAACGAAAACGACGCTGACAAACACATTGAAGCCTGGCTGGCAGGTGAAGTATGATAAGGGGCCCTAAACCCTAAACCCTAATATGGCCTTTTCCGTCTGAAGCAACTCCAGAAGGGTGATCTCTGCAGTGTTGACCTGCTGTTAGACAGTTAGCAGAGCTTTTCCTCCTTAAGCTGGAGATTTTCTCATGGCAACAAACGGAATCTCCGGGTCATGCACAAGGAATCTCAAGCTGTGCCTAGGACAGGAACCTCCAGCACGATGACGGGCCTCCCGGCTTGTCCAACGTGGCAAGCCAGTTTCTTTATAAGCTTGGATCTCCGGATCGCAGAGATTTCAGGTCTTCGGTTCATGTCTTTGGCAAAGAGCAAGGTTCCAGCACCAGCACCACGTCTTTTACAGCGCGAGCCTCAGAGTTGGGGAAGTGCCAGGATGTTTGGTCCGATTCCTCGTTGGCTGGAGTTTCCTGAGAGACAGACGTCAAACTGTTGCTTGGAGCACTGTGACGGGGAAAGCGCGACTGCGTAATGTGAATGGCGGGCATGGCGGGCAGCGCCGGGTAGCGCCGGGTAGCGCCGGGTAGGCCCGGGTAGCGCCGAGCAGCGCGGGTAGCACCGGGTATGCTCGAGCATGCCCGGGCGGGCGCCGGGCTTGCCGTATGCAAGGGTGAAGTCATATAGCGCCGGGCATGCCCGGGAGCGGCATGCGTGCGCCGGGTACAGAGGGCTCGATCGCAAGGTATGAGTCGAAATGTGCAGGGTACGAGTTCATCTCTTGGAGGTTTGTGTATGTATGTATGTATGTATGTATGTATGTATGTATGTATGTATGTATGTATGTATGGATAGACAGATATATAAGGTTGATCGTTTAGGTCATAAACGTCTCCCCTGAGGAAGAAAGAGGCGGAACTTTAGGTGTAGATCTGAAAGTCCGTACACGTGCAGGCGGATGTTCTCATGCAGACATACTGGGCACTTTCGCGTGTACTCCGGACCGCATGGGTGCGGTCGGGGCTCGACCCAGGCTTGTTTGGGGCTGTCCGGGCTTACTGTGGGCTACTCGTGCGTCTTCGTACCTTATCCGAGCATACTCGAGTGCACTCGTGCGTACTCGAGCGTTTGATGCTTCAGTGCAGTCGCCCATCGCGGCCGCGATGGGACTGTTGTACGCTAAGGGATCGTCCGATAACCAAAAGGTGCATGTTGCCTTGTCATGTAAAGCATGCCCAAGCTCTCAAGCATCATCGGGCTTGGGGGGGGCGAGGTCACTACTAGTGTGACCTCAACATCAACTCGCTCAATGACGGGAACGTCCACAACCAGTCGCACACATAGTACCACTACCAGGACTGTCACAAGCACCTCAGCAAGCACGACGAGTTCCACCACCACAATCACGGTTTCAACCACCTCCACCTCCGCGACGACGCCCTGCTGCACTTGTGGCATGATGGATCATCAGTGGCCGCGTTGAGACTTGCTTCCAGTAGAGGGAGTGCATGTAGCAAGGACTTCTACTTCGCGCACCAGGACTTCGTACACGACGTCAACAACAACAACGACTGCTACTGTTACCTTCGTCAACACGCTGGCGTGTGGCAACGGGTTTTCAACACAGTCAGTTCCATGGTCAGTCTGGATTCTATTGAAGACCCCGCTAAACCCTAAACCCTAAACCCTAAACCCAATGGTGCAGGCTCTAGGGTAATTGTTCGGCAGTTCCATGGTCAGTCTGGATTCTATTGAAGACCCCCCTAAACCCTAAACCCTCAACCCTGTATAAACCCTAAACCCCAAAACCCAAAACCCAAAACCCTAAACCCTAAACCCTAAACCCTAAACCCTAAACCCTAAATGTGAAAGCAAGCATGTGAAGCTGTTGGTCATGACAGGTGCTGGCAGGCAAACCGACACGATCGCTGGCTCAAGCGAACGCAAAAGGGATACCTTTGCACATGCATTCGCGCTGTCTACTTTCAGATTGGCAGCGGGGCCTTAGCGCTCGATACAGGACCCTTTGGGACTTGATTTCATATTGCAGGGTTGGCAGCTTTCTTAAGTGTAAGTCCTAACCTCTGAACCGGCGACGCTATGGCTTTGCTGGAAGGCCTGACATGGGCCAAGTTCATGGAGATATCCGAGACCGAAACCACCGAGGGCAAGTACGGAATTCCCAGATTCGATGGCAGTCCCCAGCTTCTGCAAGAGTACTCCTTTCGAGTGCGCATGCGAGCATTGCAGGAGAAGTCGATGACTGAGACAGAAGTCAAGAAGCTGGGACCCTTAGGGGTCAGACTGGTCGAAGGCCTTCGAGGGCCGGCGCTCCACATTGTGAAGAACATCTCTCCCGACGTGCTTGCTTCCGAGAAAGGCCCGGACACCATTTTGCAAGACCTCACGACTGCCCTTAGACCGAGAAGACAACAAGAAGCTCGTGAGCTGTACATGGCCGGTGCCAAAGAACATGGTCCGTTGAGTCGACAGCATGGAGAGCCTATGTCCACGTACATTCTTCGGAGAAAGGCCTGGTGGGCTATCTTGCAAGACTTGGACAGTGAGATCAAGCTGCCCGAGGTGATACTAGCCGAGCAGATTCTGTCGAATGCCAAGGTTTCGGAGGACCACATGCTGATGATTCGGACCAGCCTGAACCAAAAGATCACTGTACAAGGTGTCTGTGACGAGCTCTTGAACCAGCATGGTGGCTTGCATCAGCGAGAGAAGCGTGGCTCTTTTGGCCAGCCCAGTTCATCCTGGAAACCTCGCGCCTACAAGGGCAACTTCGGCAAGTTCAACATCGGCAAGGGAAAATTCAAGGGCTCCGGCTATTGGGTTCAAGAAGAACAAGATGATGGCGCCGAGGAGGCCTACCATGGAATGGCTTGGAGCAATGAGGCCTGGGACAACGTGAGTCAGAACTTGGGCTACGAAGACGACCTTGGCAACCAGACGGCCGAGACCTACCACGCCGACTATGAGTACGTTGAATCCGAGGACGTCGCCGGGACGGTGTTGGCAGCCATGATCGCGGACGGCCTGGATGAGCAGTACGACCAGGAGAGCGCAGACTACGCCGCGGACATTGCCCAAGCGGAGGCTGAGGCCTACTTCCTTCGACAGCAGGCGCAGAGCAAAGGTCACAGCGGCTTTGGTCACGGGCAGCGCTACGAGGTTCGCGGCGAGTTGTCCTTGGAGGAGAGGAAGGCCCGCGTGACGGCTTTGAAGAGCCGAACTTCGTGCCGGCGCTGCGGCCAGAAGGGGCATTGGTCTGGCGACGCGGCGTGCCCCAAGGGCGCTGGAAAAGGCAAGCGGCCACACAGCAGCGGATCTTCGACGACTACCTCTTCGAGCAAGAGCAAAGGACTCGGCAAGCCAGGAAGGACCAGCGGACCATCGAAGCCTAGGCAGGTCTACTTCGCCGTGACCGAGGACGTGCTTGAGGACGGCCAGGCATTGTTGGCGTACAAGGGCGACTTCAGTAGGGTTCCCCCTCCGAGCAGCTTGAGCGCCCAGCAGGCGCCGACAACGTTGTCTGGCATGCTTCAATGGCGAGGGCCTCAAGGAACGTCGCAGTCGGCGGATGCTGCCCTGAGCACGGCTTCACAGGGGAGCTGGCAGCTCACTGAAGGGCCTGACTGGGACAACCAGATGCTCTTCGAGGCGCTCCAGGCCAACAGAGACGTCGTCATCGATCAGATGGTCGCAGCGACGCAGCAGATGGAGGTGGACCAAGGGCCTGGACTCTTGATGGCGCAAGGCGAAGAGGAGATCCGGACGGAGCCGGACAAGGACGAGGAGGAAGAACTGATTCCTGTTCCATCAGTTCAGCCGAGACGCCTGTCAAGATTGTCGAGGAGACGCCTGCGCCTTCCACTTCTCCACAGCAGACGACATGCCCGCACAAGAAGGTCACCACGAAAGGCACCAATGGCTACATGTGGAAGTGGCAGTGCCTGGAATGTGGTCTTCGACGGCAGGGCAAGAAGGACCAGGACGACAGCAGCCCCAAGAAGCAGAATGAGCTGGACAATCATCCCGCCGACTGTCGACATCGCAACGTTTCTCGCCGAGGCACGAACAGCCATGTCTGGAAGTGGCACTGTCTCGACTGCGACCTGAAGCGAGAGGGCCGAGTGGATGAGACGCCCGGCTTGGCCACCGCCATGGGACATGGACCTATTGGACGTGCTCACCTTGAGGGCAAGGACACCGAATCCGTGAAAGTGCTGGAAATGGCGGGCACTGTGGTCATGGTGCAGGAGAGCGGTGGTCTGCCCGTTTCCTTGGAGCGATTGCCAGACATCGTCAAGAAGTGTGCCGAGATTTATCGAGCGCGACACCCGCCGAGCATGCCGGTAGACAAGTCGACAACAAGCAAGTCATCCGGAACAAGCAGGGCGGCCCAAACTCCTACGGCTACCGAGAAGAAGATCAGGAATGCGCCACAAGCCCCGTCTGCCGGGGCATCTGAAGAGCCGCCCGTGGTGGCCCAACTCGACACCGGCAACCACGGCATCGTGAAGGACGCTGTGTTGTATTCGGGCAAGCACCGCGGAAGGACCTTCGGCGCCGTGTACGACAGCTACCCCGACTATTGCACGTGGATTTTGAGCCAGGGGGACCAGCTTTCAGCAAAAAGCCTGGTGGACTTTGGTCGATACATTCGTCTGAGGAAGAACCAAGAACACGATCGACGTGTGCAAGGCTACATGGCTTTTGAGGACAATGGCTCGGAGGACATCTTGCTGGCGGTCCTCGACACGGGGTGCAACCAAACATGCCATGGAGCTCTGTGGATGAAGAGGTACATGGAGCATTGTGGCTTGGAATATCAGCCGCTGGACCAGACGACCGGAAGATCCCTAAAAGGCATCGGGGGCCCCGTCAGAGCTCTTGGCAAAAGGGTCCTCGACATCTCGTTGCAGCTGGCCGACGGCACCTTGGCGCATGGAACTGTGGAAAGCACGGAGCTGGCCGATTCCGAGGCCCCGCTGATGAGCTGTCAGGCCCAGAAGCAGCTGGGCATCGTCTTGGACATGGGCGAACATAAGGCCTACAGCAAAGTTTTCCGGCAGCACCTGGACTTGGTGGATCGGGATGGACTACCTGCTCTCCGTCTTCTACCTTTGGCGGAAAATGAGACCAAGACCTACGCCATGACAGCCGTGGAGGAGAACGAAGTCGACGAAGACGAAGCCGACTTCTGGGAACAGCATGGCGAAGCATGGGTCCGAGTGCACGTGGCGCCCCGGAAGGAGCTCTACAATCCGAGACGAGAGCCGAGCCAGGAGGTGGACATCGAGGAGAAGATCCAAGACTACCTGTTTCGGAAGACTGTGGCGATAGCAGTGGCGTCCGGTGAGCGAACGGAATTCCGAGACACAGATTGGCGCATCACACGAGAAGAAGAAGATGTGGCAGAAGAAGTTGGAGGCATCTGGAAGGGCTATACGTACTTCTACAAGGACGTTCAGCACTACCACGCAGAGACGGATGTGAGACAGGCTGACATTCCGGGGCCTCCAGAGGCGATCCACTCTGCCTATGCCAAGTTCGATGAGGAAAAGCCCATCACCATGAAGCCTGGACAGAAGAAAGTACTTGGCGAATGTGCACGGGCCATGGAACGGAGTGACACAGTTCTGTGGGCCGAGCTTCGGGACAAGAAGCCGTACCAGAAAGTCAAGCGACTTCTTCCTCGCGGGTGTCGCACATTCCTCTTGGAGATCTTCGCTGGTGCAGCTACCCTCACTTCGTTGGCTTTGGGCTATGGTCTGCCTGCAGCGCAGCCCGTGGACCTGATGTTGGATGGCAGCAACCTTTTGGACCCGAAAGTTCGCCAGCAGATCTGGGAGCAAGTGGAGTTCGAGGATCCTTTCCTGACGGCTATTGCTCCTGTGTGTGCACCCTGGAGCTCGTGGCACAGCGTCAACATAGACAAGATTGGGGCGGAGCGGATATTCGCTCAGCGCCGTTTGTGGTATCCGGCGCTTGAGTGGGTCGCAAAGCTTGTGCGTCAGCGAACTGAACGAGGCCGAGAAGTGGTGCTGGAAAATCCATGGGGAAGTCTTCTATGGCACTTGCGTTGCATTGAGAAGCTCTACGGCATCAGCCACCCTGTGACCGAGGAACTCTTGGAGGTGGTGGCGTTCGACCAGTGCGAGTACGGCTTGTGCGATGTGGAAACCGGGCTTCCCCACAGAAAAGCGACTGGCATGTTGACGGCTTCCCGAGCCATCAAGCAGAGGCTGAGCCAGAAGTGCAGTGGCATGCACCAACATCAACCTCTTGAAGGTGGACGGCGCGCGAAGTTGGCGGCGCAGTGGCCAGTGGAATTGTGCGACGCTATTCTCCAAGGAGCCATGGAAGAGCTGCAAGCGGTGAACTGTTCAGTGGTCTTCGCGGCGGAGAACTACACCGAGGAACAAGAGGAGTTTGGAATGATCGACGGCGTCTTTGGCGAGAACGATGTTGGAGTTGGTTTTCCGTCACCGCTGAATGGCCAAGAAATGCAACGAGAGGAGACGCTAGAAGAGAGCACGGAGGTGCAGCAGCCCGAGTTTGAGAAGGAGCGACGTCGAAAATGGTTGCGGATAGATCGCCAGAAGCGCTTGGCCATCCGTAGGCTCCACCACATGACGGGGCATGCGTCCAACGAAGCCATGATGCGGGTGCTACGCAGTGCCGGGACCGCGCCTGAGGTCGTCTCCGCTTGCCGTAGCTTCAGGTGCCAAGCATGCCTCGAAAGGAAGCGGCCACCTCCGCCCAGCTCGGTGGCAACTGCACCACCCTACAAGTTCAACCATCAGCTTTCTTGCGACGCCTTCGAGATCGTTGACAGCGCTGGGGCGAAGCACACTGTGTTGAGCCTGGTGGACTTAGGCACAAAGTTCCACGTAGCCGGAAGGGTGTCGGATGGAGGCACGCCAAGCTCAAAGGTCTGCGCGGACTTCATCAATTTGAGTTGGTTCGCGTGGGCCGGGGCGCCGAAGTACTTCGTTTGCGACCAGGGCGTCCACAACCGAGGCAAGGTGGCTTCTTTGATGCGATCGTTTGGGGTGGAAATTCGTCTAGCAGGGCGTCAAGCTCCATGGCAAATTGGCCGTACCGAGCGGCACGGAGGCATCCTGAAGTCCATGCTGAAACGTGTCATGACGGCCCAACAGGTGTCTGGAGAGTCCGACGTCGCCGCAGCCATCTCCTACTGCACCCAGACCAAGAACAACTGCTACAACCACGACGGTTATGTTCCGGCGCAGTGGGTGTTGGGGAAGATACCTCCCGACATCAGCTCGTTGACCGAGGACACCGAGACTGAAGCTTTGGGCGTGCACCAGGACATCGTTGAAGAAGATGGTGAGTATGGACGACGGATGTTGATTCGCCAATGGGCCAAGGAAGCTTTCATGTACGTCGACTCGAGCCAACGCCTTCGAAGAGCAATGCTGCGCCAGTCACATCCTCTTAGGGGCCCGTACCACACTGGCGATTTGGTGAGCTATCATCGTCGAGGACGTTGGTTTGGGCCTGCTCGAGTCTTGTCGATGGAAGGCAAGTCGATTTGGCTGGTGCATGGTGGCATGACCGTGCTTGTGCCGGAAACGGCGTGTCGCCCGGCGTCCGTGGAAGAGATTCGACGAAGGCAGGCTCTGGAGACACGGCCGGCCGGCGCACGTGCCAAGCGGAAGTACGAGGACTTGCTGGAAGACGAGGAGGAGCAACTTCCCTTTTCAGAAGAAGCGGTGCCGAACACGGAGGTCGAGCAGATTCCCTACTTCGACTTCGGCCGTCCGAGTTCGACCGCTGCCAGTCCTCTTGCCGAACCGAACACCGACTTGGAAGCGACGGAGTCCCCCAGGGCGCTGGAAGACCTTGGCGAGGAGGCGAGGGAGCCGGAGCGCCAAGTCACGCAGCCAGAACAGGAGCCGGGAGAGAATGTGGCCGCGAACCCTTCGACAACGCCTTCGACGTCAACCACAGAGAACCAGAATGTGAACGACGCCTCTGGCGTGACTGAACCAGAGAATGTGGCCACGAATCCCTCGACAACATCGACGTCAACGACACAGAACCAGGATGCGATTGACACCTCTGGCGTTAGTGTGTCACCGCTGCAGTCGGCTATGTGGCGCTCTGTAGAAGGTCTAGATGGGCATCCGAGAGCTCGAACAGTCTCCACCAAGGGCTCGGAAGAAGTACAAGAAGAAGGTGGCTAAAGAAGGCGCTGGACGAGAGATTCAGTACCAGCACGCGAGCCCGGAGATCAAAGCCGAGTTGGACAAGACGCGCCGCAAAGAGTGGGATAATTGGAAGGGCTACTCGAATATGGAAAAGATCACCAAGGCCCAGTTCGAGGAGATGAAGGCGGCAGACCCGAGCTTAAAGATCATACCCACCCGATGGGTGGACACAGACAAAGCCGAAATCGGGCAGCCCAGTCGCTTGAAGAGCCGCTTTGTGGTGAGGGGCGACCTGGAGGATGCGAGCATGATGCGCACGGACTCGCCCACTGGCTCTCAGGTAGCCATGGGCCTACTGCTCAGCTACGCTGCCGCCAACAACTCCACCCTTCGCTCTGGAGACATCTCGGCGGCATTCCTGCAAGGATCTGTGCTAGACCGCAAGCTCGTTCTGAGCATGCCGAAGGGGCAGGCTCCCTACGACGTTGCTGAAGATGAGCTAGTGGTAGTTTCCACGACAGTCTATGGCACCAAGGATGCTCCACGTGGATGGTTCAAGAACTTAGACGGCACTTTGCTTCAAGGAGGTCTTCGGCGTGTACCACTCGAGGCCGGCTTCTACGTTCTTAATGGGAAGGACGGCAAGGGCGACATGCAGAAGCTCATGGCGCAGGTGCAGGCCAAGTACAAATTCGGATCCTTGGAGGAGCGCAATTTCAAGTACTGCGGACGTTGGATTCGACAGACTGACCAGGGCATTCTGGTGAATTGTCCTGATTTGATCACCAGGGTGCGTCCGATTCAAATGGAGGCACGACGGCGAAACCAAGCCGGCGATGTCGCTACCGAGGCCGAGCGAGGACAACTACGATCGGTGGTTGGTTCGCTCAACTGGCTGGTTCGCGTGTGCCGACCAGACTTGGCTTACTCTGTGGCCCGTCTTCAGACCAGCATGTGCAAGCCCTCAGCCCAGGACCTCAAGGAGGCGAACAACTTGATCCAGTATGTGAACAAGACAAAGGATAAGGGCTTGTTCTACCCCGCGAAGGCGATTAACTTCGATGACGCGATGATCATGGCAATCCAGGATGCCAGCTATGCGGCCGACTACGACCAGAGCATAAGCGGGCTGAAGATGGGACATCGAAGCCAAAGTGGTAGGATGCTGTGCCTCACCGACAAGAAGTACGAATGTGAGATGACCGGCCACCTCTACATGATCGAATGGCACAGCACAGTGATCCGTCGAGTATGCCGCTCGACTTTGCAGGCCGAGGCTCTGAGTTTGCAGCTTGGAGCGATGGAAGCAGACCATGCCCGGGCCGTCATCCATGGGCTCTACCTCGACATGGGCAAAATGAATGCGACGCAGTGGATGGTGGAGGCTCAGGACAGAGTTTCCGTCACTTGGGTGACTGATTGCTTCAGTTTGTGGTCACATTTGATGAACCCTGCAGCTGGATCTGTGGCTGACAAACGTCTTGCTGTGGACTTGTGTGCATTGAGGCAAGAGCTTTGGCGTGAAAAAGGCCAGAGTGTAGGAGACCCTTTGGCCAGTGATCGGCCACCGGATGAGCCCAGTACAAAGATCTTTTGGACAAGCACAGACCGCATGATCGCGGATGGCCTCACAAAGAGGCTTACATATTCGGAGCCGCTAGAGAAGTTGATGAGCGGCAACCTTGTTAGCCTCGTACCAAGTCATGACCAAAAGAATAATACCGGTGTGAAAGCAAGCATGTGAAGCTGTTGGTCATGACAGGTGCTGGCAGGCAAACCGACACGATCGCTGGCTCAAGCGAACGCAAAAGGGATACCTTTGCACATGCATTCGCGCTGTCTACTTTCAGATAAACCCTAAACCCAATGGTGCAGGCTCTAGGGTAATTATTCGGCATCCCTGGAGGTGGCCCTTGGAATCCCTCTGGCGGAGGTGTTGTTCTTGAATGGGACGGCCACTCGCCTAGTGACGGCCTTTTAGCTACTTAGGGTTTAGGGTTTAGGGTGTTGCAAAGCCAGATAGCTTCAAACCTAAGGTTTCCTTGCTTGCATCAATTCATATTGACGGGGGGTTGCCATTCCTTCTGCGGCCTCAAGCAATGTTTCGGTGCTAACGAAGACACATAGACAAAAAGCGCACGCAGGGCTGCGGTTTGCTGAGCCCTAACCCCCTAAACCCTTAACCCTAAACCCCCTGAACCCCTAAACCCAAAATCCCCAAATCCCCTAAACCCCTAAACCCTAAACCCTAAACCCTAAACCCTAAACCCCAAACCCTAAACCCTAAACCCTAACTTGCTAGCAAGTCATGGCCCATCTGTTGCTCGAGTCCTGACTTGGAAGCTGCCGACATTCTCGTCGAGGTCCTGGGGCTCTACTGCATGACGGATTAGACATCTGAATGCCGGAAAACCTAATGGTTTAGGGTTTAGGGTTTAGGGTTTGGGGGTTTAGGGTTTAGGGGTTTAGGGTTTAGGGTTTAGGGGTTTAGGGTTTAGGGTTTAGGGCCCTAAACCCTAAACCCTAAACCTCCAGAGCTTGAACTGTTGAATGCAGGCAGTGAGTCTGATAGCCCCAAAGCGCGGTGATGCTGGCATTGAGGTGGGGACCTGTCTGTGGATCTCCTCAACGATGGCAACGGCTGGGAGTGGAGGGTCGACATGCGCAAGCAAGGGGAAGGACCCGCAAACCTGGAGTTCGACAGTCTTTTTGTGAGGAGGGTGATCGAAGCCTTCCCCAATGTTTTTAGGAGCCATAGGCCTATGCCATAGGGACTTGGTGGACTCTGACATGCACAGATCTAGGGCTGTAGAATGCAACGGTGGATATCAGAACCCTTGACTGCAGGAAATGACTGGTTCTTTGTTGGTCACTGCTCAGACTTTGCGTTCACCCACTGCGAAGTGTGGTGCGCCTTTGCCAAGAAATGGGTTCAGTTGCAGTGTCTTTCGGGTCAAGGCTAAAGGTGCGACAAGATTTCGCTTCAAGTTTTGTATCGGAGCCCTACTGCCCTAATGGCTCACCACAAACTGCCGGCTTCAAGTTAGCTGAGAGAAAGGACAGCAAGAAGTGAAGAGCCACTGCTTACAGCTGGGCTCTGGGTCTCGATTTCACGTTTGGGCTGCTAGCTGACGCCGGAGGTGGCTGGCTCGTGACATCAATAAGGTTCCTTGCGTGCGCTAGGCGTGGACATGCGGAGCGGCTATGTTATCGTGTTGACAGAAACCCTAAACCCTGAACCCTAAACCCTAAACCCCTAAACCCTAAACCGTAAACCCCTAAACCCCTAAACCCTAAACCCTAACCGCTCCCCTTGCTTGCACAGCTTATCAGGTCTAGAGCCTGGAGCGACATATGATGTTCGTGACTTGGCCTGCCAGAGCTAGGGTTTAGGATGTAGGGTTTAGGGTTTAGGATTTGGGATTTAGGGTTTAGGGTTTAGGGTTTCGGATTTAGGCTTAGGATTTTAAGGGCGCAGGCTGGAAGACGGATTTGAGCCATCTGCGAGGCGTTAGAATCAAGGGCGAGCTGCTTCTGAGGAGTTCAGCTGGCATCAACAGTGCCAGAACTGATGATCTACGACATCTTTCTGAGCGTGGTCCGCGTGCCGTACATACGCGCAGGTATGCCTGAGGACTGAGCCAGCAATGCACGGCCCTGAACGCTTAACCCTATAGACTTTAAACCATACAAGGCCAAAAAGAGAGCAACGAGGGCGAGAGAAACCAGAAAGGAGCAAGCAGATAACTGAAGGTCACTGCCTCTGTAACCACCCCCTAATGTGAAATATTCCCTTTAGTATAGTCCAGATATCTGGGGCGGGGGGGTAATGTTCAATATCAGGATAAGAATGGAGTATAGTATAGCAACAAGGAATCATGGCATAATCTAGTAGTAGCCGCATAGTAGCAGTAGCATCGTGATACTAATAGTTATAGTACCATGTAGCAATAGGATCATTCCAGATTGCCCTGGCGCAAGGACTTGAAGGTCATGGAACCCACGTCCAGCTCACTACTGATCTCCTGGAATGCATCAAGCCAGCAGGCAGGGCAACTTTTGCTCAAGAATCTGCTGAAAGCTAACGCTCATGACTTCGGTTGTTTGCTTGTGAGTGATCCAAGAGCCTGAGCCATTCCCCTTTGCACAGATCATCTGCCGCGCTCTGCTGGAAGTAAAACATCGGAGTGCGCAGAATGCTGCTTTTGAAAAGGATAGCATGGGAGAACTACGTCTACGTCAACTTTCACATTCATCGGCAAGCACTATTCAATATCAAGCTCGGTGGAACCAACCCCCACGCAACTGTTGTGATTAACTAATGTTCAGGATTGATAAATTCTGGATGAGGCTTGCCGATATGCCAGTACACTTTCTGTGCATTTGCTTGAGCACTCTTTCCACGTAATGTTTTTGTTACCTTGCCGCCCTCCTCCCTACAACTCTCTGTAGTTTGTATGAATATGAGATTCTCGTAGTAGCCAATTTTGGGTCACTACTTGAAACAATTGCGTTGACTAATCCCTGAGGGCGGACTGTGGCCCTTTTGTGATGTAAGATGTGGAAGGCTAGACGCCCAGACATGGTCTTTGTAGTCCATCCTGTCTGCCACCCATACTCAACGTGAATGATGAGCCTTTCTTCAAAAAATCACATGTCAAGCATTGCTCGCCGTTTTCTACCGATGCTTCTTCTCATGCTGCTCAAAAGTTTGTTGCTGCTACCGCTTATGCTACTGCTACTGTTGCTCACCACCACATAATCAAGTCACTAAACCCTAAGCCCTGAACCCTCGAACTTGCCAGGGAAACTGCACTTTTCGAGCCTGGCAAGTTGAGACCCGCGATCCCAGTGGTGCCTGGACAAAGGACTTCGCATGTCTCTAGGAAGTGATGCGGATAACTCTGACAGCTTGGCAATATAGGCGTGAGGTGCCTGTGATTGTAGTTTTGAGATGTAATGGGATTTAGTTTCGTTGCGCCTGGGAAGTGTTGTGAAGGCGTGAGGGCTTGTCCAAGGTTTCACAAGACTCAAGCAGAACATGACCTGGACAGTAAAGACCATAGTGCAAACTGGGATTATGCAGGGACGGCTTCCTGGTTTGTTATCATGGGTTGCATCCTGATTGGCAGAGATCTTGCTGGAGGCATGTTTCTGCTAGCAGCTTTTGTGACAGGACCCTCCTGCGTGCACGTCCCTGAGTTCCTTCGAGGAGCCTTCCTGCAGCTTCCACGCGCAAGGGGGACGTTGTTTCACGTGCTTTTCAGATGACTGTTGCAACTTTTGAGAAACTGCAAGTGTCATTGCGCAGACGCGGCTTTCCATCATAGGCCTGTTTAGTGGCCTCGGGATCAGTGGACCGGCCGGAAATCTGGGGCCGCACTCGATATAGTGAAGCTCTCAGCAGAACCATCTTGCAGCATCCAACAAGGTACGATCATCAACTTGCCCTGCCAAACGGCTCACATCATCCAGGCTGGGCTGAACTGAACTGTTGTGTCTGCTTTGTCAGCTCTTCCGGCCCAAGGAGGTTTGCAGGCCTCAGAGTTATCCCCTAAACCCATAACCCTAAACCCTAAACCCTGAACCCTGAACCCTGAACCCGAAACCCTCAACCCCTAAACCCTAAACCCTAAACCCCTAAACCCCTAAACCCTAAACCCTAATCCCTAAACCCTAAACCCTGAGCCCCGAGCATTCTTGGTCTCCGATGAGGTCCGTCAGCTCTGTTGGAACGAAGAGTCGACGTCGGAATGGAGCCGGCCCATTGCCGGAAGCACCTTAGTACCTGGATGCAAATGGACATTCCTCCAAAGAGTTCCAAGCCCAAGCTGAAGAGTGGCTTCGGCAACCCTAAAACCTACACCCTAAACCCTAAATCCAAGGTAGCAATTGGGCCGAACTGCCTGCAAGCTGCCACCCTGCCATCAAGCCTGGCCGGGGGCTGAGCCTCTGGCCAGACAAGACGACTCCAAACTCTCAGCTTTTGTGGAGTTTAGGGTTCAGGGGTTTAGGGGTTTAGGGTTTAGGGTTTATGTGGAATCTAACGCAGCCGAAGTGAACAGCGAGCTGCCAAGGTCGCAACTTCTCCAGCCGATGGACAGCAGCAAGCTTAGTTGCGAGCGTTCGTTTGTCTGGTGTCCCGTAGTCCGGAATCTGCTTCCAGCCTTACCTTTCCTGGCTCTAGTGCTTGTCCTCATCTTATGGCGCTCGCCAGCATAGCAGTGAGTGGTCGTATCCGTAGGCGATTATATGCGTCGTCTTCTTCATCATGGTCATGACAATCCTCAGCATCACGCTTGTTGTGGTTATAAGTTGGAATCGTGGTCGTATGGCAGCAGTACCCCTAAACCCTAAACCTGAACTCTGAACCCTAAACCCTAAGCCCCCAAAAGTCAAGGGAGCCAAACTCGCACTCCGAAGGTTGTAACCAGTTGCCCCGACGCTTTTCTAGTGGAATGGGGTACATCCTTAGGGTTTGTAGGGACTGCAGGGTTTGCCAAGACTAAAGGGGAGGACCCTTATAAGGGGACCTTAGGCATGCGGGGACTGCGTGAGATCTATTGAGTCCAATGGGGGGTCCCCACATCGGTCTTAGCAGGCGAGTTCCCATGTGTTAGAAGCCAGCAGGTCAGAAACATGTGCGGAACTGTGGAAGCTCACGGAGTGCAGAGGTTGGACATGAGCTGGACAGCTGGATCGCAGGAGGCCTGCTTGCGAGCGTGGCGTAGCTATTCAAAACTGAGTATCCTGCCCTTCGGTTGGGATATGAACGGGGACCCCTTTGGAGCATGTGTAGCCAAGGGCGGGTATACCGGAACCCGGCAGCCAGGATTCCCAGTTTATCACGTGGAATGTGGAGCTCTACAAGACGACATTTGCGCAGCGCTCAGAAATTGCAGGCACCAAGTCTTTGGAGTTCCATGCTTCAGACTGCTGTTGGAGTTGGGCTCCTGGTCTGCAGCTCAACTTTGTTTACTTTGTCCGCAGGTCACAGCCATGTTTTGCTTGCAGAATTGCAGCTCTCTCTTCGTGAAGCCAGCACGGTGAGGCCGGCGGACAACCCGACCCCGAGGCGGAGCAGCAGATCGATGGCGTGTGCCAAGGAGAGGGATTCCTAAGCTGTGCGATCTGATCTCTAACCCCTAAACCCGAAGCCTCTAGGCCTTGTGCTGAAATGGACTCTGCTCTGGAGGACTCCTCGATCGCACGGTGACGACCTGCGAAATTTCAGGCCGTGGGCAGCTGTCCTGGAGCGTTCCACGACACGGTTTAGGGTTTCGGGTGGGCGGGATTACGCAAAGAAGCACCCTAGATTCCTGCTTCGTGCTTATCCGCTTTCATGCATGAACCCTAAACCCTGAACCCTAAACCCTAACCCTTAAACCCCAGTACCCAAAGCCCTTATTCCTGGACCCTAACTGACCAGACTTCAGAAGCGCTCGCCCTCCTCGTGGCTTTTGACTTGTCTACTTCCTTCTACGGGACCCCAAACGCCTAAACCCCCAAACCCTAAACCCCTAAACCCCTAAACCCCTAAACCCCTAAACCCCTAAACCCCTAAACCCCTAAACCCCTAAACCCCTAAACCCCTAAACCCCTAAACCCCTAAACCCCTAAACCCCTAAACCCCTAAACCCATAAACCCCTAAACCCCTAAACCCCTAAACCCCTAAACCCCTAACCCCCCTAAACCCCTAACCCCCCTAACCCCTAAACCCCCTAAACCCCCCTAAACCCCTAAACCCCTAAACCCCCTAAACCCCTAAACCCCTAAACCCCTAATCCCCTAAACCCCGAAACCCCTAAACCCCTAAACCCCTAAGCCCCTAAACCCCTAACCCCCTAACCCTAAACCCTAAATCCCTAAGCACCTAAACGCTAAACCCCTAGGCCCCTGAACGCCTCATCTTGAACAACAGAAGCGCACGCAGTGATGAGAATGGCTCAGCTCCTCGTCTCGTCTGCACCACGCCAGGGAAAGCCGAATTTCCCAACCTGGAGTTTGCCTTTGTTTAGGGTTTAAAGGTTTAGGGGTTCAGGGGCTTAGGGTTTAGGGTTTAGAGGTTTAGGGGTTCTTTAGGGTTTAGGGTTTAAGGTTTGCGGTTTTACGGCTTTAGGGTGCAGGGTTTTAACATTATCACAAGATTGAGTACAGGGATGGGACTCCTTTCAATTGCCACGACCAGTTGATGTTGGTTTTGGGCCTCCCGCAGCGCGCGGCGGTGAATCTGCGCTCCCTTAGGGTTTAGGGTTTAGGGTCTACTGACATCTGCTATGAGGGCGGGTGACCAATAGGGGCTATGCAAGGACTATAATGGATCCCAATAAGGCACTTTTTGAGATTCTTTTCGGGGCTGCTGCTACTTCTAGCCACGTGTTCACACTATGACTGCGAAATGTTTGGAACCCAGGTCGGCTTAGAAACGTTCTGCGCAGGTCTCAGCTGGGGGATGTACAGCTTTGCCGTCCAGGAAGTCAGTGCTCTGCCCCTGCCTTAGCATGTGCTTCGCAAGACTGGGCTTTTTGTAGTGGACCTACGGTTGATGGGGTCACAATCCTGCATTAGCCATAATAGGAATATAACAGAATTCGGACCAGCGATTTGGGACTCCCAGCTTGTTTGAAAAAGGTTTGGATGGGAGAACACAAGCTGCAAGAAACCCCCTGTGTGACAGGTCAGGTAACCTTCCGCTAGAGTGGTCGGCTGCAGCAAAATGGCTACGGGGGTTCTGTTACCTACTCGGTTTCCGAGAACCTGCTCACAAAATCTGATCATACTCGGAGCCTGGAGTTAACAATCTTTACATGCAAATCTATTCGAAGTGCCCACTGTTCCCTGTCCTGACTGGAAGGCCTGCAACTAGCTCGCCTCTCAGCGCTATCAGCGGCGCGACCTGGGTTGCCCGGACCCGCATTGCTCTCGACTCACGCCATCTGCAAAGACCGCAGAATCAGTCCGGAAGTTTCGTTCTTGGCCACTCCTAGTATTGGATGGAAGTATGGCGCTGTGGTCCCTAAACCCTAAACCCTAAACCCTGTCGTTCATAGCAAGTGAAGCGAAAATCCCAAAGAACCTCCAAGCCAGGTTTTCAGTCCCTGTTGCAGGATTCCGGCTCTTGCGCCGACGGCAGTCGCCTTTGGCGAAGCCACCCAGACCAGCTTGCAAGCAACTTGGCCATGAGGGTTTAGGGTTTTAGGGTCTAGGGTTTAGGGTTCAGGCCTTGGGTGTGAATCGCAGCAGACTCATGGGTATTCATGTGGCAGTGTCTCGGCCACTGCATGGAAGCAGTGGACTTTGTGTCAAGACCAGTCTTGGGAGTGTCTGGAGCAAGAAGCATCTAACCTTTGTGGTCCAGTCCCTGCCTACTATGGTTGCTCAGCCTCTTTTCGGGCTGCGGAAGCTCCTGTGTTAGCTTAAACACGAGCTTCCACGTTTGTCTTGGTGCAGACAAGCCCAGACTGCCCAGGTATCCTGGACCAACAGCCCACTGAAGGAGACCTTGGCGTTGCGCAGGGTCCAGTTGCATCTGCGGTGTTTTGAATGTTGCACCACTTTAGTATTTTGGGCAGTCAAGGTTTCATAGCACGCATCCTTCCTTCCTTGCGTACGCATTGGTTCCTGGTGCTACAGAACTAATCCTGTCCCCCTACCATTCAACCCCCACCCGCCGTCCTTTCAAGTGTTCCCCAGAATGCTTTGGCCATTGTAAGGAATATTTCATACTTAAACGTGCACCAGATGCTCAACATATTGGGGAGACTACATGTCAGCCCCTGACTAAGCTGGGGTTAGATTGACGTTGTACAAGGACTATCGTAGGATCCTAATGAGGGACAATATTGGGGCTTCATGTTGGGGACAACGATAATTTCGTCACGGGCTTCTTTGACTTGATGAGCAGTCCTTGCTGAGCAAAAGCCACAAGGAACGATCCACACCGTTTTCATTGAAGTTGTCTACCTACCGTCTGTGCAAGCTAAAAAGGACTCTATCCGGCTCACGTGTGGCAAAGCTTCACCCGACCAGGATTGCATCTTCCAGCGTCTTGTTGTGGAGATTGCAGCGAACGGCAGCGACACCTGGCCACTTCCAGGGCATCAGGAGGCAAGTTTGACATTTCGCATTTCACTCGGTGCAGTCAAGCTTCAAAGCCCCAGAATGCCCAGCTCCTCAGCTCCTCCTGAGAGATCAGAAACGGTGAGGTGACATGCACGGAACTTTGGGGGCAATACAGCTTTACAGCTGCAGCGCAAATGTCTTGATGTGAGCTGCGCTCTTTCAGCCAACGGGTGGCCGATCGTGCCATGTGGAAAAATCTTCCGAAAGTCACATTTGGATCACGTTGCTCAGCCAAATGCTGTTCAGGCTGCCTCAAGCTAGAGTTGTCCTGGCCCTTAAAGCAGATCAAGACATAACACGTGCTCACAAAGAGAAAGCTCAAAGTTGCAGGCCCCACTCAGCAAGCGCCAATGTCAAAGGAATTGCGGCAGATCTGCCAGCCATCCCAGATATCGAATATCAGTTTATCTGTCTCCTCATTTTCCTTGTTGAGCTTGGACTTCATCGAATTCTTAAGGGCATCATGCTTGGTACAAAAACCCCGAACTCTTGACGCGTGAGTGATCCCGACAGACTTGCGTCCAAGGATTTTGTGACACCGGCTGGCTGCAACTCTATCACGGACTTGGCCACCACGACCTGTGTGGCAACAGGCAAAGCGCTGCCCCTATTCCTCTTGCTTTACACAACCAAGAGGCCCCTCCCACACCTTACCTTTAGCCGTTGTGTGGAGTCAAGTCTCGTTCGTCTTCTTGCCAGTAGTAATGATAGTGGTACTCGTGACCATAACAATAACAGCAAAGCTTACAACAGCATATAGTACAAATATCCACAATAAATGAAACAACAAAAATTGCAACAATGGTGAGCAATAAAGTCTTATTGTCAGTTCCGAGATTCCAAGACTGCGTTACCCTGCGAGGGCCTTGCCTCCTTCTCAGAAGCTTCGGGGCTTTCAACTGGCTTCAGCCCCATGTAAGTTGGACCTTTCTTTGGCATTCTTCTTCTTCTCATTATCATCATAACTTTTATGCATTCGCCTGGAACTGCGGAGGCTTGCAGTCTTGGACCACCTACACAGCGCGGGTCGCCGTGCTTTGTGACGAGTGTAGCGAGACACCGACCGCCGAGCGGGCGCCTTGTAGCCCGGAGGACCCTGATGAGTGGTAGCTTCTGCCGGCAGAGGTCCTCCCAAACTTACAGCACCCTAAACTTCCTGTCCTGACAAACCTGAGCTAGTGCTTCCTGCACTGTGGAGCTGCTTCCATGCTCTTATTGTCAGCCTTATTGCATCTTATTGCCATTAATATGGCCATTATTATCGACAATAGTTTTACGATGTTTCTTATTCACATGATTTTTTATGATGGTTTTTACTATGATTGCTGCTGTTGTTATGTTGCTATTTGCCTGGGCTCTGCTATAAAGCTTTGCCTTTCAAACGTCCAGGGGGATTCTGACCTGACTACACACAAGTAGTAGCAACAAAAATAGGAATGGTGATCAGAACGATAACAGTAAGACTTATAGCAGTATACAGTAACAGTTCATAGTACGTGCAATAATAATCCTGCCTTTGAACTAAATGCCTTCGTCATTGAAGTTGCAATAGTAACCCTGTCTTAAAGCCAAACGCTTTCTTTAAAGCCTGGCAAAGTGCCAGAGCACCCTAAACCCTAAACCCTAAACCCCAAACCCTCAACCCTAAACCCTAAACCCCTAAACCCCTAAACCCTGAAGGACGGCCCCGATGATCGCTGCTTGATCCCGGTGGCTGGTGGCTTTACGCAATGCTTCCATAAGTTGGCGGCCTTCAGGCCGTTTAAGGGTCTGGGGTTTAGGGTTTCGGGTTTAGGGTTTAGGGGGTTTAGGGGTTTAGGGGTTTGGGGGTTTAGGGTTTAGGGTTAAAGGTTTAGGGGTTTGGGGTTTAGGGTTTAGGGTTTAGGGTGTAGTGTTCAATGTGAGCAATAGTCTAAACTCCTTAAATGGGGGGATTCTATAGGGAATTGCGTAGGAGACCATTAGAAACTTTAATGAAGGGTATACTAGGATTGTAGACAATGGCTTAATGTTGCGGGAGGCTAGCAGGGCTGGCAGCATCAATGCGCACAATGTTCTTCACACGTGGGATTTTCCGAATAGGGGACCCTAAGCTAATACCTTCTGCAAGCGGTCGCTTCCTCAAGAAGTGAGCCCAATGCTTTGCATATCCTGGCCAACGCATACACCTGGCGCTGCGGGGCTCCGGCTCGCAGCTCTGTCTGGCGTGAAGGGTTTGGAATAGGAGCTGAGGGTTTCCTGTCTGCCGTTCTCACCCCCGGTCGCAGCGCAGGCCCTGAGTGCCTTGTCGCCAGGTCCTTGGCGTGCCGGGTAGGTTGAGGTGCAGTTTTAAAAGTATCCTTTGGCCCAAGCGCCAAGTACTCAAGAGCGCGTTGAACGCACCTTCACGCGGGGCCAGGGAGCAGCAGGGAGCGAAATCGCGAACCTGAAGCCCATTATAAGGACCCTCAAAGAGGCACCCCTACTTGTCGGAAACTCCCATGTAGAGCGGGGTGGTAGCCGACAGCTTGTTGACTGCCAGCTGCAGGGCTTCGAGCAACTACTCCGCGCCGAGCCAGCCAGCAACGACATTGCCAAGGCCGAGCACAGCACGCGAATCCCTAAACCCTAAACCCTAAACCCTAAACCCTAAACCCTAAACCCTAAACCCTAAACCCTAAACCCTAAACCCTAAACCCTAAACCCTAAACCCTAAACCCTAAACCCTCAACCCTAAACCCTCAACCCTAAACCCTAAACCCAAAGCTTTAAACCCTAAACCCTAAATAAGCCGAAGAAGTCCCTGGCCTGCAGGCGAGAGGCAACAGTGCTTTCCGGGACAGTGCCTCGTCTGGCAATGTTGACATTTAGGGTTTAGGGTTAGGGGTTTAGGGGGGCACCAGCACTGCTTCAGCTTTCAGAGTAGTTGTGCTGTTCTGGTCGCGGTTCCATCACGTGGAACAAGAGCGGAACAAGATGCCTTGCTGGTCTCCTGAAGGCATGATCCTGAAAGGTGCCTTGCACAGCAAGATTACCTGAGCCATCGCAGAATTATCACGGATGTGAAAGTGCTTTCCGCCACGACTACTCAAGTTTGGGGGTTCCAAAGGGCGGTTGCGAGCGTCTTTGGCCAGGTGCAGGTGCCGGCCGACTCTGGTCAGCGCGTGACGCTCGAGTGGGTTCCAGGCCGGCATTGGGCGCATTGGACGCGGCAAACCATGACACATGCTGCTTTTGACGATGCCGGCAGGTGTGGGCTCAGCGGGCAGCCCTAACATCACCTCAGACTGCACCTTCCAATCCTGGTTGGTTGAAATTCAGATCCAGAGCGAAAGCGACACTCGGTCGAAGACATCACTCTTTCACACTGACTGTTTCACCTGCCGTTTTGGGTGTCCAGACCTGCCACTGTTTGCGTTCAGGCGCATGCAGTTGCCTCTAGCATGTTGCTGGTTAAGGTCTGGGCCAAGCCGGAGGGGTGCTTAGACCTCACGGATCCAATGGTCACGACTTGTACGGTGCAGCCCTGAGTTCAGTGAACTCCTTTCGTCCGTCAAAGTTGGCGGGAGCTTTTGCTCATGTTTGGTAAGCCCTGTCCTGTTCAAGAGGGGACTGCACAACGAGCCAGCTGGGCAAGGCTGACCGAAAGGATTTGCAAACGGTCCACTGTTAGCTAGCCTCGGAAGGATGCGATGTGCAAAAGCTGGCGGCATTGAAGGAAACATGCTAGAGGCCTTCTTTTAAGAACTGGACCCCTAAACCCGAAACCCTAAACGAAGGGTTCGGATTGACCGCCTGCCAAGGCCATAAACCTTCAATGTGACACGGCCTACAACGCTCGGGTACAAGCGCTGCTTGCTTGGAGAACTGTGGAGTTTAAGACCGGGAGGTTAAATGCTCCCTGAACCTGTAACAAACGATCCCCCTAAACCCTAAACCCTAAACCCTAAACCCTAAGCCCTAAACCCTAAACCCTAAACCCTAAACCCTAAACCCTAAACCCTAAACCCTAAACCCTAACCCCTAAACCCTGTTGTGTCCTTGACGTTGGCCAGCGGCGCAACATGGACAGAGGTGGAAGCCTGCGCAACGGCAGCTTCCCACCCTCTTACCAAACCTCTGAAGCAAGGAGGGAAGAGACCGAGCCCAAACCCTAAACGGCCCTAAACCCTAAACTGCCCTAAACCCGAAAGATCCCCAAAGGATGTTGATAACATTGAAAGGACCTGTACGTCGCCCCCGGCGAGCAGTGATTGGTTTGCCTTCCCAGCCTTCCGCACGGCTTACGCTGGCTCCCACCTCAGCCAAATTGTGAGGATTGAGCTATTGTCGCCTGAAGCTGTGGAGGTTCATGCAGGCCTCCAATTCCACAATGCGGTTGACATTGTAGAAAACGGCGGTTGTCAGGAGGGAATTGTGATGAGAGTGATTGCAGGTATTGCAGAGCAAGGCGCTGTAAGGTTGGAAGACCCATACTTCGGCGGCACAGCTAAACTGTGGAATAGAGCGTGGCGCAAGGAAAGTGTAGCACTCAATCCTAGCGGGTTTAGGGTTTAGGTAAAACCTGCCTGGATCAGCAACGAGTCAAGATTGCGTTTTGCCTGTGCTACCAGCGTTCAGGCAATTGTTTGCGGCCGGCATCGCCTCCATTGCTGATCCGCTGCTGGGCATCTAACAGTGGGTTGGAGGAACGATGCCGCGAAAGCTGACTCGGGGCTTCGTGATTTGGCAAATGTTCTTCCAATGGAAGAAGGTCCTTGGACAATGCTGGACCCCTAAACCCTAAACCGCGTAGGAAGATGCGCCTCCCCAAGCCCTAAACCCTAAACTCTAAACCCTAAGCCCCAAACCCTAAACCCAGGCAACACGAGCCGCACTGCAACCAGCATCACCGTGGGGTTCATCGCCGGGTCCGGGGCTCATGGGTTGCGTTTGCCAATGGCTACCTATAATGGTAATCGTCGTAATCATAGTATTTAAAGGGTAAGAAGGGTTTAGGGGGAAGGATTAATGGGGAAGAATCACAATGACAGTGATCATCTAATGAATAACTAGGTCTTCGTGCCGAGGACTCATAGTCTCAGCATTGTCAGGGTTTAGGGTTTAGTCAAGCCTGGGTCGAGTGTGGCCCACACAGTGTCACGAGGTCACCCGGGGACTGCGTGTTTGACCGGTTCGAGCTGACGTACCGGGACTGTCCGATTGGCCCTCGATGTGTATCTCGACCTGAGCCCGTGATAATGTTGGCCGGAAGGAGACGAGTGCTTCAACATGGACACTGGCGTGCGGAACTCACGACAGATGGGGGTTCCAACAGTTCCTTAGATTACGGGTCCCTGTATGCCATAGGTCCCTGTATACATTCCCCCCCTTTCGGGGAGCAGCAATTTAGGCCAAGTCCCAGAAAGCTGTTCTCAAGCTGGCTGCCACTCTTGCTGCTGTGGCGATGAGCTCATGCGTACTTCTAAACCGATCTTCCATTCTCATGCTACCGCGTGTGAGAGCAGCGTCATCACAGAAAATCGTGAGAGTTCACAATCTTTACAGACAGCTCTTGTATAATGCACCCGACACCCTAAAGTCAATCGACTCACAACTGCATCACATTGAACCCTAAGCCCTTTCTTGACTTTCTTTGCGAGGCCGGCTACCTGCGGCTCCCTTGCCGTACGGCTCGGTCCCAGCTGCACCATTTCTAATCTGGTCCAGGCCTTGTCAGGGTCCAGGGGTAATGGTTTTAGATTTAGGCTGTGCATGGTTCATAGTTTTCTTGGGCCTTAAGATCTGGGATTAGGAATACCTACATTTAGGGCCCAGTGGCGGGTCGCATTGAAAGGTTCCCGTAGATGTTCTGCCTGCTTTCACACTCCTGCATTCCCCAGCCCTGAGCCTTGCGTTGGCAGACCCAGAACGACTATTACACAGCAGTTGTTCTTGAGCGTTATTTCAGAATTGCCACTACTACCAGTACCATTATCATTATCAGTCTTCCCAAAGCCCTGAACCCGGAGCCCAAACCCTAAGCCCATGCTACTTGTAGCCAGGACACGGCGTACGTCTTCTCGGCCCGGGAGCTCTGTACGAACGGCGCGCCCTTGGCCTCACCTTGGGGATTGACTGAGGAGCACCCCTAGGGCCCTAGGGTTTAGGGTTCAGGCTTCTCCCTAGTACTACATGTACTCCCGATATTTACCTGGGCCACTACAGGAAATGCATCAATGTTCAGGGGTTGGATTGCAATACCACCAATTACGTTTGGCGGACCGAACATTCTGATTGTGGGGACCTTCGTGGCTGTGTGAGTTTGCCAGCACTTGTCTTTGTTGCCGGAGGAGGCTATCTGGACGGACTTGGTGCCAGCCGCAGCTGACCCAGCACATGCTGCCCAAAGACCCCAAAACCCCTCAATTAAGGAATATACCTTAAAGTATGATAGGAACCCTGGTAAGATTTACGGCGCATTCCTTAGTGAAGGGGTTTTGCAGTCTCTGGGTGGCTTGCAGACGATTCTGATGCAATACCTGTTCAAGTGCATGGTAGCGACTTCGAACTGCTCCAGGAGTCCCGGATCTGTCAACAATCCCTAAACCCTAAACCCCTAAACCCCTAAACCCTAAACCCTAAACCCTAAACCCTAAACCCTAAACCCTAAACCCTAAACCCTAAACCCTAAACCCTAAACCCTAAACCCTAAACCCTAAACCCAGTCAGCGTGTACGGAGAGGGGAGGTTTGAGCTTCTTTTCAGGTCCAGGCACCATCCTTCCTGGACCCCAATGGCTTCATCTCACCGTCAGAGCCGCCAACTAGGTGCAGCCCCCAAGACGGCGCAGAGACCTCCGGAGAACTTGCAGACTCCAGTGGTTTGTTTGTGATCTATCTAGGTTCCTGAGTAGTACCCTTTTGCCCTTCTTGTTTTAGGGTCCCCTTATTTAAACCCAATAGTATCAAAAAGGGTACTCTTATTATCAAGGGTCTACTCAGGAACCTAGATTCATGATTTGCTGCATTCGCCAGCCTTCGTAAGTGGGGCTTCAGGTCTTCCGCTTTGGGCCAATATGGGTCGGAAGCGGTTCAAGAAATTCCAGTCGCCATTGTTGAAATCCCAGAAGTCATTTCTACCATTGCCGCAGCGATATTATATGAAATTCCAGAGGGAAGGTTATGAAAGGCCAGAGGCAGTTTTTGAAAGATAGTTGCAAGCTGTCGAGCCGTGTCCGCTACTCATTGAATGGGTTCAAGATTCTACATACATCTCCCAAGAGTTTAAACACCTATAGAAGCTGGAGAATGTATTGATACATGAGTGCTTGCAGTTGCCACCCTCCACTGCCCTCTGCGAGTGCAATGCTGCGAATAATGCTGATCGTGATGACTTCTGTATTTGATGCAATAGTCCTATTTATAATAGCAATATACTCTCATAGCGACAAGAACTAGGAGTAATAATCATCACAGCAATGATCGCAACAATAGTCCAACCTGCAGCTGTGAGTTTCAGAGCTGGCAGGCTCATAGTCATCTTCGAGGTGGACCTATTGCTCGGGGATCCGAGCACCACGTGGCTCAAGCTGAAGGATTGTAACAAATTGTAACGGTTTAGGGTTTGTTTAAGATGTTCAGGATCGCAATGATCACGAAGAAGGGCTTACGTCTTCTGCCAGATGCAGAAAACCGACCATTTGCGCGCAAGCTCTCACTGGCAGCACTTTTACGCAACACCGAATGCGGGCTTCTGCCGATGATGGCACTGTCTGGGGTCTCCAAAGCACTGAATGTATAACTGGTGGGCTTATTGTTGCGACCTCTGTGAAAGCCCGAGGGTGAGCCATCGAGCACCGACGCATAGCTGACTCTGCACACTTTGCAATCACAGCTGATGCATCCGATGTGGAGTACATTCTGCAGGTTTAGTGTTTAGGGTTGTGAGGGCCTTGGCGTAATCATGCTTACTAGTACTGCAAAGCTCTCGGGCAAGGCAGGATAAAGGTTTGCAGAGCTGTGCGCACCTCAGGTTAAGTTTGTGTCCAATGCTGTTGCCAAGCGCAACGCCCGAAGATCCTGGCATCTGCAACTGCGCCCCTAGCCCGCATTGCGGCCTCGTAGGCTTATTTCTCGCAAGAACAGCTTGGGTTTGTTACATTTCTCACGATGGAGCTGCAAGACGCATCACCATGCATGTCCGCCCGACATCATTGTTTCAACTGGAGAGCAGAAAACACGCAGTCAAACGGAAGAGCGACTCACTCGATCCCGCAAATCCTTCTCCGTCTCCCGCTTCGCCTTGCTTCAGGGCTCTGCGGAAGATTGCGCCGCCCTATGCCTCACGCAAGTGAACATGCAAGCCCGCGACTCAAGGGGGACGGAGTTCTCTATGATAATAATCCCTATACCCAATGCCTTCGTTCCCTACCAGCAAAGCAGTAAGTAAGCTCTAATCCCCAGGGTAGATATGAAAACCGCCTTCAGGTGGAGCTCTTGAGCTCCCGAGTGCTCATGGCCCAGTTTGGATCCCTGCTCCGCCCGCTGACGGGGTGCCCCTACATGGCGCTCATGGAGGCGAGCTAACATGGACTCCAGGGTGGACTTTGAGGTTGCAGAGTCCGTTCAAAGCTGCAACCTCCCAACTTCTCTGGCTTTGCGTTGACGGACGTTGGGTCAGGGAATTTCGTTGGACTACTCTGTCTTGCTTTGGTCAGTCATTCAGCCAACCAGTCGCTTCTTCCCGCCATTCGCCATCCGGAGACCCCTTGATTGTTCCACTTCATGTCTGGAACAGGCAGGGTTTCTGCAGACGCAGCTGGCTCCCAGCCGTCCTTCGCCAAGGCCGGCTTCTTTTCAAAGGACGGTTTGCCGTGGAATAAATGCCTCGTTTGCCGCACCAGGACCGAGTGGAGCTTCATCTATTGGCCGCCCGTACCCAGCGGCACTCTGATGCTTTGGTCGCAAGGGGTTGGCTCAGCAGCTCGGGTGCTTTTTAGCCAGGAAACCAAGCCACACATTCCTTGCGGGGAAAAAAAGGAAATTGCAAGATCCTAAAATAATAGGGACCTTGTTCTAGAACCCTAATACTTGCAGTATCCCTAAAAGGAGCCCCTTATGCCATTCCTCTTTTGCCGCTCTGGAGCCGTCGCTCCCAAGTTGGGATGGCCTGGCTTTAACGCACGAGCTCTTGAAGAAAACTGGGCTTTGGGTTTAGGGTTTTGCTAGGGTTTAGGGTTTAGGGTTTGGGGTTTAGGGGTTTGGAGTTTAGGGGTTTAGGGGTTAGGGCGCACCTTACATCCCTGAAATTTGTGCGGTTCATACCCAAACCCCAGTATCACAGGCCCCGGGTTTGACAGTTTCAAAGGAGGGGCCGACAGGCGGCAACGGGGCCCGCGCCACACACCGAGCCGGCAGGCTCCTCCTCACCTGACGAGGCCGCCAACCACAATTCAGGGTCGCCCTGGAAGCCAGGGAAACGTGATTAGCAGAAATATTCCCCCCCATCTCTATCGCTTTCCATGGAGCCTCCCTTTCTCGGCGCATGTCGATGCAAATCGTCGATGCTGCCAGCGGGGCTTAGTGGCTCAGGCCGTACCGTGTAAGAGAAGCGCCGTCGCCTTTCTTCCAGGCGAACGGTCTTTTGCATCTTGGGCGTCGTCGTTCAACCGTTTGATGCGGCAGTAGGAAGTAAGCATCCCAGGCCAGTAGCTACTGGTAGTGCCATGCGGTGCCAAGCCCGCGAACCCAAGGAGCTTGTTCAGCAGCACGGTAACTTCGCTCACCGCCGCTGGGCTGTACAAAGAGTTCTGCTTTGTTATCGATGCGGAGTTGCGTAGGCAGAGTGCGGGACCGTCAAATCAAGCGAGGTTCGGGTCTCCTGGAGCGTTCCAATGACGACGACCTGCGGAGTTCTAGTTGGCTCCAGTTTCTTGGCAGATTTCTATGCAAGGAGGCGGGTATCAGTCCTAGATTTGCTGGGGCAAAATGGTAAACCGTGCAAAAAACTTTTCATTGTTCTTGTTTGCGCAGGGATGTTTGTGTCAGCCCCCGTGTGGAGCTTACAAACATACGCTATGAGGGGATGTTGTCGAATCTCAAGTGCCATTTCCTTTATGCAAAGGGCTCATGGACCCATGCTGCCTAGTGTTTCGGTACATCGTGGCCTTGCGTGAACACATACCTGGTCTGCAGCACCTGATATACTGACCGTCCGTGGCCAAGCAGACGAGGCGTTCAGAGTCCCTACATCAACTTGACTTTGTAGGAAGTTTGTTGAAAGTTGACTCTTTCCGGAAACGGCTTGGCAAGCTCAACCCTAAAACCCTAAAACCCTAAAACCCCTAAAACCCTAAAACCCTAGAAACCCTAAAACCCTAAAACCCTAAAAGGCACAATGCAGCAGACCGACCCTCTCGACTTTACGGGAAGTCGAGAGTTCCTCGAGGTCTCGGGCTGAGAAACTGTCACAGCGAAGCACATTCACCGCTTTGGTACCACAGTTTTTTTAGTATACTATAGTATATTATAGAATATTACAGTATATTACAGAATATTATAGTATATTATAGTATATTATAGTATATTATAGTATATTATAGTATATTATAGTATATCATAGTGTATTATAGTATGCTATGCTGCTATAGTATATTACAGTATATTTTAGTATATTATGGTATATTATAGTATATTATAGAATATTTGTATTATATTACAGTATATTATAGTATATTTTAGTATATTATAGTAATTAGGGTCCCTTATTTTGGGCACTACCAAGGTTCGAATCACTGGCCTCGTGCCTTTCACACAGTACACCGTCATTTGTACAGGCCGGGTGCTGCTGACTGTCCTGTGTCAAGGCGATTGGGTTTAGGGTTTAGGGTTTAGGGATTCAGGGTAGGGTTTAGGGTTCTGCGTTGGATGCCATTACGTTTATCATGGCAGCTGATATTTGTGTAGAGGCCCAGTTCGCAAGCTTGCTAAAGTGGGTTGCGAAGCGTGTCTGGAAATGGTGGAATAGCTCTGCAGGCAGTGCCATTGGCGACCCTGTGGTGACTGCCACTGCAGCTTGTCTTGCAACTGTGGAGTCATGAAGACTCAACATTGAAGTGCGCGTAGGACAACAGAGGAAGACTTAGCTCTCGCCTGACAGCCTAGTCCACACCTAAGCTCAATGTATGTGGCAGAGAAAGGGGCTTCAGCTCATGACTGTTCGCGAGCACACTAGTCCAAGTTCCAAATCTGCCTGATTTTGATCCTGCGTCTCAGAAACTTCCGAAGAGAGGCAGCTGTTGGTCTCAGAGTGTGCGTTGTGGGCCCACTCAGCTAATCTCACGTCATCTTTCAGGTGTCAGAAAGCGGGTTATCGACCGCGCCGGACACCAACGATCGACTCTCTAACATCATCGTCAGTGTCCAGGACACTGTCAAGTTGAGCATGGGGTGAAATATATCTGGAAGTCTTCGCAAGTACTGCTGTGTTGACAGGCCATATGCACTGTCGTCACCACCGTGAACAACTCCACGAATATTTCCGTCGCGAACGTTTCCCAAACGCTTGTTCCCGTCGTGGCTGCCTTTACCCCAGTGAATCTTGGCTGATCTTCAGCCTTGATGCGCCCTTGCTTGTACTTGTACAAGGTAAATCACGAAAGCTCTGCATAGGCAAAGTGCAGGCCTGCTTTGACCTTAAGTTCAGTGATCCAGGTTTGATCCTCTTGTTCGCCATTACCAGCTGGTCTTGGATGCTGCTCCTCGGCTGTGAGTATCCGTCAATTTTCTCAGGCTTAATGTGCCGCTGGACAAGCTTCATGAGAAGTTACGCTAGTCGCTCTGCATGTTGGGAAAACAGCTGCCACGCTCCGCAAACTAGGGTTCCCTTCAGGGCTCCGAAAAAAGGGAGCACAATTTGGTCAACCTCCCATGCGGTATGCGTGAAGGAGGATGTCCGCGACCTGTGCACCGAGCCCGAGGTTGAAGCCCTCTTCAGGATGGCAAGGGGGTTCTACAGGGTTCAGAGCGGGTCGCACTTGTTTGGCCTCAGACAAACCCGGTCACAAGCATGTCCGCCTCGTGGGTTCGGCTCGTGGCTCCGTACCTTGTCACACCTGAATAAGACTGATAAGTTACTGCACGCACACCCAACAAGCCATATTACTTCCGCATTCAGCCTACAAGCTGCAACCGCAGCTGCATACACTTGTCGAAGGTGCAGTATGGATTCACACAAGCAGCGTCAAACTTGCATTTGCCCAAGAAGTTAACGTACGTACATGGCTCCCCACACGCTCAGCAAAGTCCGTCTTTTCAGCTCAACACAATCTCCGGTGCAATCGAATCCTCATCCTAAACCCTAAACCCATCTAAACCCTACATGATCTGCTGTTGCGGCTCCCCATCTCCTGTGTGGCTCAACACCCCTCTGTCGGCATGCTGCAGCCATGCGATTCACATTAGCCCCTGCCTGATTTCGGGTTATGTCAGGGCCATACAGGAACTCTAGGGTCCGATGGAAGGACTATGTAGGGGCTTCCATTTCGGAGTAGTAAAGTATGACCTGACTCAGGGGCCCATCTCATCTGCCCCGGAGCCTGTATGCAGGATCGAGGTGGGTGCCGTCACGCAGAGCGCCTTTGCCACTGCATCTGTTGACCAACCTGCTTCCTGTCTTGGGAAAGGTGGGGAGTGGAGGGGGCGTAGGATCCGATTTGATCTAGTGTCTGAACTCCTTACAGAGGGGACCAATAGGCGTTAAGTGGGGAGACTATGAGAAGGCTTAATAAGGCGGAGATGAGGGTGTAGGCTACGCTCATTTCGAAATTGAAGAAGCTTCGGCGATTACCTCAACTGTGAGATGCAAGTGGGAGTGGATTGTTTTGTGTGCTTGGTCTGCATCTTGATCGAGAGTGAAGGAAACATGGACACCGCTAAGTACAGTCGTTTGCATTGCAGTTTCCAGTAGTACTGGCAATTGATGGAAGCTACTAGGTGCAGTTAAACTTTTCTTCTAATTCAAAGCCGTAAGCCATCATAACCGAGGTTCAAATCTTGGTCCAGCCACTTCCGGACGCGACCGGTTTCCTTCCACCTGAAGTGCCGCGGAGTCGCTTCAGCCAGGCCTTGATCCTCACAGGGGGTTTCCTAAAATAGGGGTACCCTATTTTGGGGGGGATTCGTTCGGCCGACATGCAAAAACGCTGGCCGACATGCAGGGTTGGCTGCCAGAGATGCAAAAAACTTGGCGGCCGATGTTCGGTTGGCTGCCCGAGATAGTACGTGGTAGTACGTGGTAGTACTTGATAGTATGGGGTAGTACGTGGTAGTATGTGGACTGGTTTTTGCATCTCGGACGGCCAAGCCCAAACATCGGCCGCGACAGTACGCATATCTGGTAAGGAGTTTACTACAGCTAGGCTGGAAGGCCCGACACTACTATGTGGAGTGAAAACAGTAAAATAGCAAATTAGTAAAATGGAAAATTAGTAAGCCGCATGTAAGGGTGGCTGTCCGAGATGCAAAGGCTAAGTTCTGCTTCTCGTAGTACGTGGTAGTACGTGGTAGTACGTGGTAGTACGTGGTAGTACGTGGAAGTATGTGGTAGTGCGTGGTAGTACGTGGGAGTACGTGGTAGTACGTGGTAGTACGTGGTAGTGCGTGGTAGTACGTGGTAGTACGTGGTAGTACGTTCCCCTCATTTTGGGGTCCTCAAAATAGGATTTTGAGGATCCCATTATTTACGGTAGTAAATTGGGTCCCCTACTTTCGGAAACCCCCACAGGGCACACTTTTCAGCCTCAGCCCAATGGTCTTCCGGTTTAGGCTTTGGGGTCCTAGAGGATATCTGGGGTGCCGCCATGCAACTGAAATGTAAGACTCAAAGATTCGGGCTTTGCCCAACCCTACTTACAGGATCATGGGACTTAGTAACTGAGGTTATTATTGGGGTAACCATACTTGTAGTTACTTATAGCCCCATTTCAGGCGCTGATAATCATACTTACGAAGTCCCATGATCCTCCAAGTACGTGCTAAACTCATTGGCTGTTGCCCGCTGTTTGGCAGGTGCGGCTCGTTGTGGAACCGCCACAGCAGGGAACCGTGGCTCAGGGTGAGACGTTTGTTGAAGGGCGGTAATCTCCTTGTGCTACTGACCATACCCCCCCACCGCCCGCCATTACATGTTCCCTATAGTTGCCAAATATGTTGGGGGATATATGTGGTATCAGGGGATGTGGTGTGTTCAACATGGAAGGGATTATGACGCACAGACTTAGAGTCTGGCAGCCACCTCAAGAAAGCTTTGGCTCCAGTTTTCGTAGCGCAAGCCCCAAACCCTAAACCCTGAAATCCTAAACTCTCAACTGTTGGGGAGCTGCAGACTTGGTGACGGTCCATGCATCAATCTGCTGCAACCACCTTGTCACCCTTCAGACTAGGACCTTTCCTTGTGTGGTCATAGCCCGTAGACTTTTGACATTTGGCACCACGTTGTGATTGAGATGTTTCATCTCTTTGGCTGGCTCGTTCGCTTGAAATCCAATCGCCGTCAGAATCCCGTCGCATCCGAATATCCCTTTGCCAGACATCGTCCTGCAGTAGATTGAATCTAGAAGCAGAAAGCATTACCGGCTGACCCGCCCAGGACAAACCTTGCCGCAAGACTACATCTTGGATGTGGTGGTAGGCAAGGTGGTCTAGCTGCCTTGGGGTTTAGTTCTGCATCCACTTGGCACTATTTGCCCCTCAACTTATACACTGGCGCAGGCGTTCTGGATGTCCGCTTGGAGTCGGCTGGCATACCGACACTCCTCTTAGCCGACGCGTCGTCTTCGGCGGAGTTTGTCATCTCAGCACCGCGTGGTCTGGAGGCCGAGTCCCCAGTTTACTCCAATCATCGAAGACGCTCGGTGCAAGGGCCCTAAACCCTAAACCTAAACCCTAAACCCTAAACCCTAAACCCTAAACCCTAAACCCTAAACCCTAAAACCCTAAACCCTAAACCCTACCCTAAACCCTAAACCCTAAACCCTAAACCCTAAACCCTAAACCCTAAACCCTAAACCCTAAACCCTAAACCCTAAACCCTGAACCCAAACCCTAAACCCTAGATCCTAAGCCCTAAGCTCTAAACCCTAATTGATCGAGGAGGCCCGAGGCCCTGGCCTTAACAGGACGATTAAACGCAGACGTTCATCTCCGATGGCGGCTTCCATGTTCTTGCAGGGTAATGGAAGGGTCAATCGACGGCGATCTTGTACAGTCGGTTGTTTTCAGTTGCTTTTTCATGAGCACACCCCTAAACCCTAAACCCTAAACCAATGGAAAGCCCGGCATGCAGGCTTCCAGCCTGGGGCTTCGCATCGGTCCTTTCCCGCAGCTTTTGGCCCTCGTGGCTGCGGAGAACTACACTGAGAATCTCCTTGAAAGGACCATGCCCATGCCCCTGATCCCAGATGACCGAGGTCTGGACAAAGTCTGCATGTGTCGCTGCCATGGCAGGACCCGCTACAACTTCAGCGCCGCCAACCTGGTTGGGCTGGGCAGTCAGCCGCTTCCTTGCAGTCTGAATTGCGCTCCGAAGCTCGGGCCTTCTAGGGCCTTGTTGCGCGGGGCAAAAGCTGAGGCTAACCATCATGATACTGGTGCAGCCACCACCTGGGAGCAACTTCCCGACACTTGAAGTGCGCACCATCTTCGTGGTGGCCTGGTCCGAACTTTGGGGCCTTTTTGGCATGCGAGAGAGAGAGCCGGTTTTTTAGTAGGAGTCATGGCGGAACAGCTGAGAAGCAACTCAGTACAAGGGTAGTTTGGATTTTCTGGTTTTGTCGAGCTGTTTTCCAGCAAGCCATCAGAAGGTCAGCTTTCAGCAGCCAGTGGTGACCTCGATTGATGCTCGGTGGGACGGTTCGCTGCGTTTGTTCTTCTTTACGCTTGGCATGATCTCATGACTTGGACTGGATTTGGAAGAGGTAGGCATGCCGCTCAGTGGTAATGGTGGTCACCATTGTTGAGTCGTCTACCTGTAGAGGAGAAGGAGGATGAGCAGGAGGAAGTAGGGTAAGTGCGTCCTCCTGTTGTGGTGGCAGTAGTAACCACAGCAGCAGCGGCAGAAACAGAACTGCAGCAGCAGCTAAAACAGCAGCAAGAGCAAGAGCCATTGCTGGTGACAGTGCCGATCCCAGAATCTGTCCAACATGCGCCGTCGCTACAGCAGCTAGCTAGAGCGGCAATTAGCACCGGCCGTAGTGGTGACAGGGCGTAGCAGCAGCAGAAGAAGGGAGCTGTTTGCCGCTAAGGCTAAGTCAGACCTGTCAAGCGAGTTAGCCAAGGAAACCAACATGATCAACAACAGCGTCTCCCTGGTGCAAACCACCGTGATCACTGTGGTGGGGAAGCTTGGGCTTCCTTCCGTAGAAGTTGACTCTGAGCAGGGTGATGCTTGAAGATGTGACAGACAACTCAAAGACCCTATGGCCCTGCGGTGTGCAGATGTGGGTGTTCGCAACACTTGTGTTCTAGCTTCCAAGCTTTGGATTTACATGGTGTTGTTAGTCCAGTACGGAGTGGCTCTTGATTGCACACAGCTCTCTCCATCATTGCTGAAGGCGATTGTAGCATCGTACACAGCTTTTTCAAACGCAAGGGTTGTGTGTCGTGCCCCAAGGACCCACCTGGCTGTCCCAGAGCAATTCACTACTGAACCTTTGAGCGTCGAGATCTTCGTAGCTGGTGTACCAGCAAACTGCACAACTTCCGCCCCTGCCACTGCAATTTGAGCTTTTGGGAGTCTGGCATGACTGTCTCTGGCTTCCGTTAGTTCCAGGGCAGCTCCTTGGGGTACTAGCCATTGCATACTTTGATGGCGGTGCGTCCCACAGAGCGACCCATCTCATCACTCCAAGAGTTCCTGGGAAGGCCAATGACCCACAGGTGACGGCTTAGGGTTTAGGGTTTAGGGTTTGGGGTTTAGGGTTTGGGGTGTAGGGTTTGGCGTTTAGGGTTTAGGGCTTACGTCAAGAGTAGGCGCAGCCACATCGGTGGCTTCAGGCTGCCTGCACGTTCCAAGGACTGCCAAGAGCCTGCGCTGCAAGCCCTTCTAGACGCCGGAGAGACGAGTCTCTGTTCGGACCTCGCGCCTCAGCGGGCATGATGTCAAAATCATACTGTATGGTACCGCGTGTGTGTGAGCCCATGCCGCCCTTCACGTTGTGGGAAGATGTGGGAAGAGAGCATAGCAAGTTTATGATGGAGGCCTGCTCTTTGTCGGTGGACATTCCTTTCTTCCGGGGGTGCCACTCATGATGATCCGTGCGCAGCGATTTAGAATTAATGTAGAAGCCTACATAATTACCAATACTATTGTTTCCAACCAGCAACCAGCGATGCAGTAGCCAACCATGCTGGGCTCCCCTGCAAGAACTCCAAGGGGGTGGTGTCCACGGGTACCTGTACCTGCAGCATGGAGCCCACAGGCCGGTGATCCCAAACCCTAAACCCTAAACCCTAAACCCCAAACCCTAAACCCTAAACCCTATGCTGCAAAGATTTTGCAACCTTTTTGCCCCACTGACTGAGTTTGCCATCTTGTGCCTGGCCCTTACTGGGGCACTGACTGCTAGCAAAGCGTGTAGGGACTGGGATCTGCTCCGATGCATCGGGTTTCGGGTTTAGGGTTTATTGTTCTCTACTTTTGAAAATCGTTCTGCCCCTGGCCAGCCCACGCACAGCTTGCCATTTGCCTCGTCCTTCGGACTGGTGGCCCAGCTGCAAAGCTCTGAGATCCGGGTAGACGCGCACATAGGTGCAGGGCTTTTGGTAATGACATACCGGGTTGCAATGTTCGACTCGTCTAGGGTAGGTGTAATTAAGGCGTTTGCAGTGTCACTGTGTGCTGCGCCTACCATACGCCTCGCTGCCTGCTGTGCTGAGCCAGACGGCGTCTTGCGAAGCTTAAGGCTTCTTCGCTGGCCGGTACTGCGCGGCCTTTGGGCCTCCGGGATCCCTTCAGCCCGGCCAGCCTGCGGTTGGAGGTTGGGCTCGGGGCCTCATGGCCTCATGTTGCAGCAGACTTGATGTAAGCAATGTAAGCTTGGCTCTGGAGCACAGCCCTTCGGGGTGGCAGCTTGCAAGCTGTCCGACTTGAGTTTTGCCTCAGGCCTGTCGCAGCCAGTCCAGGACATGTCGTCCTCGGAGCCCTTCATAGTGCTTGTGGGTTGGGGCCCAAGAATTGGTTTGCATTGTCAGGTGCATGATTGAATCCTGAAGATGACTTGTCGAAGGGCATGATCCTATCATAGCCTATCATTATACTTTTCTTGGTACCCTTAGAATCATATGAAGTGGTCAGGGTGTGTTCAAAGGTTGTGAAATGCTGCCTTCGAATGACAGCGAGCTTGACAGTGAAGGGACTTATGATTTTCGTTTTGGACGGATTGTCTGGAATACGGGGCCTCAGCCAGAGGCAATGCCGCAAAAGGGCTTAGGCTCAATCACTGCATGCTCTGCCTTGATGTCTGCGCTGATGTATGCTGCGCAGCGTCAGGCAGATACCGACAAAAATCGTATATGATTTTATGGATAGCTTGCAGAGTCAGGCTGCATGTTACACAAGCCCAAAGCCCTCAGAAGCCTTATGGGCAAATACGCGGGTGAATCCACGGAATCTCGCCCCGTGTAAACCTTCGTAGTTGCACCTGCATTCACTTCCCCCTCTGCCTCAAGCCACTGTCAAAGCTTGAACCTTGCGAGATGGTGACCTTCCCTGGGACAACGTGTCACAAGGATACCTCCAGGCCGGTTTTGCGTTCACGCCGGCAATCGTGTTGAATGACTGGATTGATGCTTAGGGCAGCTCAAGTTGCCAGGCAGCAAGCGGCTTCGCCTAACATCGAGCTGAATCAGAATGATCAGCCCTAAACCCCTAAACCCTGAATCCTAAACCCTGAATCCTAAACCCTAAACCCTAAATTTTAAACCCTAGACCTTAAATCTTAAACCCTAAGCCCTAAACCAGTCTCATCCCCAGACCCTCAATCCTTCCTGCGCCGCATGAAGGTGTGGGCGACGCCTTTGTCCGAAGTACCTGCGGATGTCTCAAATCCAGGCAGTGGCTATCAGCCGCTTTGCTCCCAGGCTGGACAATTTTCCGAATCCCCTCCCCCACAATATGATAGCTGGCAGAAGGAAGATTTAGTTGTAGAAAGGGTGCGGGGATTCTGAGAAGAAGGGCAGGGGGATTCGTGGAGATCGTGCCAGAACTGATCCCAACAGGCGGTCCGCACGGACAACAACACCATCCAATGCTTCCGAACTCAGAACTTCAACGTCTCGCAGCTCGGAAGTCAGTCGAACGTCTATGTGACTTGCCTACACCGGCTCAGAGGGCTGATTGGGTTTGGGGTTTAGGATGTTTAGGGTTTATGTCTGGAGCAAGGGCACTTGTCACCTGAGGTGCAGAGTGGGCCAGATGCCACCTCGACAAATCTTGTTCAGGGGGCGCTTCAAATCAATCAGCCTCGCATCTTCCAGTCGCTTGGACAATTCTGGCATCTATGTAGATGCTTGACGTGTTCCCCATGTTTGGGCACGACACCAAGAGCCAGAGCCAGGATCACTCGAAGCCATGAGTTCGAAGTGGGTGCTCTTGAAGTCACCATCCAGGGGGAGCACTTTGGCACTGAAGCGAATGGCAACATGGCGCCTTGCTTGCCTTTTGGTGTAGGAGGCACGGAATTCGCGCCTATGCTGCCGGCACAGGCCAGGGATACAGGACAATCAGCTAGACTGCCGAACTGCAGCATCTTTTTTCATTGAGTTGTATGTCCTGATCAGCTGTGCGACTCGACCATACAGAGTTCAAGGGCGCACCCACAAGCCGCCCTGGATCTTACCATCTCAGCATGTGAGCCCCTGACGAAGTCAGGGGAGCAGCGTGGCATCCTAATCTAGGTTCCTGAGTAGTGCCCTTTTGCCCTTTGTATTTTCGGGTCCCTTAATGGAAACCCAGTAGTATCAAAAAGGGTACCCTTATTAAAGTGGATCCACACAGGAACCTAGTACTAGGGGAGCATATACAGATGTCGTTTTTGGGGATACTGCCAACTTGGTCAGGGGTGCACGTGAACCTTGCGTTGGTGACTGCTGTCTGAGGTTGTGCAGCTGGAGACCTTTGGGTCAAACACACAGGCGGTGCCGGATCTGTGGCTCGCTTCAGACGGGGTAAGAGGAAGGCTTGCTCAGAAGTCACAGTCATGCGGGACTCTGTAAACGAGACCGTCTCAGAAACATGCGGAGACTAGCTGGAGACGATTTGGTTGAGAATTCCTTCAAAAGTGGGCTGCGACATAGGTAGGCCACTGAACGCTGTCAAGGACAACACGGTCGCTTAACCAACACAACAGAGGGAAGGTGTAACAGCGTCAGCAGCGGGGCATTTTCGGCAGATGAGCCTTTGCAGAGCTTCTGCCGATAGTCCACCTCGGGTCCTACTACGACAACCAGGTCGGCATTGCCCCAGCAACCTCGGAATGCTCAGGGCCAAAGGGCCCTGGCCCTGCGTTTAGCAACATCTCTGTAGTGTCTTTACACTGTTCGCATCTTCCCAGGTCCCTTGCCGAAGACCTCGGGCAGACGACTCATTTTGTGAATTGCCAGATCATCGACCACCAGGAGTTCGTTTCATTGTTTCGTCTTTTCCTGTCTTTGGCGATGGCACAGCAACAGGAAGAACAGTCCATGTTGAAGGCCGCACGCAACCTGTTGAATGCATACACATGGCCCTCAAGCTCACGGGACCCTGGAAGTGCCTGGCGCACGAGGACAAGGAGGTGCGTTGTCGCGTTGAGGATCAAAGTCTTTTCGGTGCCGAGGTTTCAGGTGGACGCCCGGCAGCATTTCGAGCATTTGTGAGGTCGTCACGGTTCATCCGCGTCCTTTCCGCCCTGCAAAAACTGCAAGTTTGAATGTTCTCACCCAAAGCCGGGCTTCAATGCGCTTACCCCGAAGCAGCTACAAGTCCGAACCCCGGCCCCAGTGCGGACCTCCAATCGCGCTACCGAGAATACTACAATGAGACCATTGAAGTGGACGAGGGCCGCCGTCTGCAGGAAGGACAGCCTTTGGACCTGGACAGGCAGGATTATATCATTGTAGTATAATATACTATAACATACTATATTCTACCAGACTGTACTATGATATACCATCATAAGAACTATACAATATCAGGCAGGATTCTTCGGGTTCAGGGCTTGGGGTTTCGAGTTTCAAGATCATGGCAGAGTCTTCCAGTATATTGCTTTGCTGTTAGGAGAACAAAACACATCTACTTTCCACGGACCTGGAAGCGCGAGGGAGGATGCTTTGGCAAAGCTGGGTTGCTGCTAGAGACCTCAGATGATGCTGTCATAGCAAGCAAATGTATGTAAACTGTAAAGTAACCTCATTGATTTCAGAGTGCATGGTCAGGTTGGCTCTGCAGCTGTCACAGCTGCCTGTGGCCTTTTCGGTGTTTTATGAGCTGCCCAGCTGCATCTAACATCCGCAGGATGTGCTTCCCAAGATCCAGGGTCCGGCTTTAACAGATCACCATCAACCCTAAACCCCAAACCCCAAACCCCAAACCCCAAACCCCAAACCCCAAACCCTAAACCCTAAACCCTAAACCCTGGTTTGTGTCGCTTTTTGGGTCAGCTGTGTCTTCGCTGTTTGTTCGCCGTCTTGAACGCCTCGCCCTGCTGGTGCGGATAAGGCTGGACTGCAGCATCCTGCAAAGGCCGACCTTGTAGGACCCTATACCACTAAACCCCTTAACCCTAACCCCTAAACCCTAAACCGGCTAAAACCTAAACCCTAAACCCTAAACCCTAAACCCTAAACCCTAAACCCTAAACCCTAAACCCTAAACCCTAAACCCTAAACCCTACACCCTAAACCCTAAACCCTAAACCCTAAACCCTAAACCCTAAACCCTAAACCCTAAACCCTAAACCCTAAACCCTAAACCCTAAACCCAAACCCTAAAGCCCAAACCGACACTCCGATGCTGGCGAGTTCTTAAGTTTCAGCACTTCAGGGGCCCGATGCTGAGAGGATCTCTTGCTTTGTGCATTAGCATGGGGGTCTTGCAGCTTTTAACATTGCAGGCTTGCTTCAGACTTGTGTGCAAGATGTTCTTCTGACCTGCTGGACTCATTGAGTCAAAACCTGTGTTGGTGACATCAGCATACTTCGGCAGAAGCAGTTTGGATAGCTTGCTTGTAGCAGCTTTGGGATGTGAGGGCTGGATGTTTCTCTGGCTGTGGCTGTAGCTAAATCCTCGACGCTGAATAGCCCGTAAACCCTAAACCCTAAACCCTCAACCCTAAACCCTAAACCCCAAACCCCAAACCCCGGATGGCCCGGCTGTCAAGCCTCTGCACGTAGAACAAAAGCGTTACAGCCTGAGCCCCCTAAACCGTGAAAGCCCTAAACCCTAAGCCCTAAACCCTAAGCCCTAACCCCGAAGCCCTAAACCCTAAACCCTAGACCCTGGACCCTAAGCCCCAAACCCTAAACCCTAAACCCTAGACCCTAGACCCTAAACCCGAAAAACACCCTAAACCCTAAAGCCAACCCGTCAGAGTGGTTCTTCGGCTGCTGTCCATCCTGCCAGGCTCAATGAGACATGCGGCAGCCGTCCTCAGAATTTATCTGCCCTGGCGAGGTGGGTGGAGGGCTTTAGGTTTAGGGTTTAGGGTTTAGGGTTTGGGGTTTAGGGTTTAGGTTTAGGGTGTCTAGGAGTTGTAGGGCTTGGAACCTTTAGGGCTTTCAGGCTTGGGGCTCTGGGCCTAGGTTCCAGGGTGTGGAGTCTCATGATCCTTAAGAAGTAGTTGCTGGGCACTTGATGGCATTCTATGCAGGCTCAAATCTATGCCATAATGAGTGGTTTCACTTTGAGGGCCACAGTGGTGCCGGGCTAATTTCAGCTGGTGTGTGTTTTCATGTACTGCAACATGTACGATCTGAAAGCTACTTGTTGAGAAGATTGGAAGGAATTCATCGTGAAAGGAGGAAAAGCCAAGATGGAGGTTGGGAGGACTTATTCTATGAATCTTCGTCATGCAACGGTATCTTTCCACAATTCAAACTCAGCGCTGCGCGATGCGCAGCTGCTTCCGCAAGACAAGGCGTGTTTCCGTGTCTTCCATAGTACTCAACATACTGCCTATGGGCCTATATGCGCCTCCTATCGACTTTGTGAGAACCAACAAGTTATGCACGAAGGGAATGGCAAGCCGTCCGACTGAAGCCTTGCCCCGCCGGGGAACGGCGAAGCAGCTACACGGGTAGCTTGAATGCAAGTTGGACTGCTCCCAAAATATTAGGGGTAGCTTCTTTTGGGCGACCGTCTATCATCTTGGCTTCGGGGTTTAGGGTATAGGGTTCCGGGGTATGTAATTACGACCCGTTTTCGGCAATTCTAAAGCCCGGAGCTCTGGTACATACCGCGAGGCCTGCGGGCTTCAGAACTTTAGCAATACGCCTTTCGATTTGTAGGGCAGGGCCCAAACGTGCGAGCTGCATGAGTTGTGCGAATCCTCCTAAGGCACCGATTGCATCCAATGTGTCCCGGGCAAGTTTAAAAGCAGCTTGGCGCCGAAGAGCAGGTCCTGCAAAATCCTGTAGACACAGCGTCTCTAGTGTGATGTTGTGGAGCATTAGCTTCAAGACCCCCGAGCTCCTACAGCATGAAGTAGGCTGAAGTGGCGTCCAGGTGGTGTGGGCCCGGCGTTGACGTGCAACACCTGTGAGATCGGCTTCTATATGGGTCTCTTTGGTGCAGGCGCCTTTGGTTCCGAGTTTTCCTGGTGAGGGTGACCAACTGGTTTGAGGCACAGGTCATTCCTTCAGGCAGAAGGTTTAGGGGTTTAGGGTTTAGGGGGTGGAGTTGCGCACAGACATTCCAAAGATACTCCCTTTTGCAAGCCAGGTGCATGCACGGTGTGTCCAGAGCATGAGACAACCAACATCACGGGTGCTACCAGCGTAAGCTCATGCGACTGTGTGCCTGGCTACTTCCGCACCAACAGCGGGGCCGCTGCTTGGTGAATGCAAGTATCACAAATTTGGGCTGTGGGTTTAGGGTTTAGGGTGGGGCTTTCTCACCTTGGTCCAGGGTGTTGGGCCTAGCGGGGCTAGCTGTTGATCTTTCCTCTGCGGGACGTGGATTTGAAGTTTCAAGCCACTTATTAGCGTTCTAAATTGAAATCCGTGACACTTGGCCCAATGCCTAGGATTGGGAGCTCGCAAGCAACCATGGCGTTTGTCGGGCCTGTCCAGCCGGGGCCATTTGCAACTTAGTCTCACCAGATCGCACCGGGAATTCGGCCTATCCTAATGCGCATGCAATCTGAAGAGCAAACTGCTGCTCAGATGGTGGCTATGGCACTAGGTGAGCTAAACTCTAAACTCTTCAAGGAGGGGCTCTATGGTTCACTAGCTGGGGCTCCTCTGCGGGCCCACTGGGGTGGAGTGTCAGGACTTTAGATCAGACTCAGAGAGCCCAATACCCCTTCATGAAGGAGTATGCCTTAAATAAGTAGGGGCTTCATATGATGATTTATTCTATATTCCTTAATTAAGGGGTATTGGGCTCTCAAGATGGCTCAGGTGAGGGTGGGCCGATGCTGCCATACTCCGCGTCTGGGTACTGGACACCGGACAGGCCATCCTTTCTGAACCCTAAACCCTGAACCCTAAACCCTAAACCCTAAACCCTAAACCCTAAACCCTAAACCTTTGGGTCAAAGCTCTTCAACATGGCTATGCCCGTGACTGGCCAGACGAAACAGCACTTTCACTACCGGTCGTCCTTGTCTGTCATGACGGTCGTTTTTTGGCTAGCATGTTTATCGTCACTTGTCAGTTGCTTCCCCCTTTCAAACTGGAAGCCCTGTGAGGCTCATCTTCTGGCCCTGCTTTCCGTACCACGCATGCCTTCAAGGTCGGGGAGGGATCGTGGTTTGCTGATGCATGTTTGTATACCCAGGTCTTATCAATCAGATACATTTCGTCCTCTTATTATTCGAACCCCTCCCCCCCCCCACCCACTCGCTTTCACATTAATCGGACTATAGTGGCAACTACAAGAAAAAATTAGCAGGGGAGGGGATTACACACACACAAGACGCTTCGCCATGAGTGGCAGAGTTTGAGATGTTGAGCTCAGAATGACTGTCGTGCATGCAATCATACGAGCCATAGTCTACACTCCTCACAGGGGTTCATATAGGGGATAATATGGGGGGACTCTTGTAGGGTTACTAAGGCTGCTTTGTTAGATAGATATTGTGTATGCAATAGCTTCCGTTCTGATCTTCAGAACTAGTTCATGTGCTTTGCTCCATGATGTGCACACAGCAAGTTGTTGCCCCTTGAGCAGCTCCACTTCCTTGTTCCGCTCCGTGAACTGTCGCAGGAGATGCGCTGGGCAGGGCGCCTAGGGGGATCCTACGGGTGATGGTCAAAATCCTGCATTACCCACAATAAGGAATGTACCATAATTTCCATAGTTTGGGGTCCTGAAGGCAAGGTAGGATTTTGACCAGTACTAGCAGATGTCACCATCCCATGGCTATTGGATCTAGGAACCTCGTAGGAAGCATAAGCATCAGGAGCTGTGTTGCGGATGCGAATCCGAACCCTCAATCCTGAATCCACTAAACCCTTCAAAACCTCAACCTTCCAAATCCTCAACCTCTACGCCATGAGATGGGCACCAGGAGAACTCCGCAGGTAGGAAGGACGCCAGGTTCTTCTTGGCACCTCTACCCTTCAGATGCTGTAGTCGAATCTGGAAACATGCCCTAGAACTAAGAACGCCATCTGAGTTGTTTAAAGGAATTCAGATTGCACCTTAAGCCCCAAACCCTGCACCCTACGAAAGCGCGACAAGATTCCCAGATCCGAACCGCTGCGAAGAATCTCGCGATCCCGCGTCCGTCCGGTGCGGGCAATGCCACGCCGATGCCTTTGCGCATCTAAGCCTCCAAGCTGCAGTGGGTTTAGGGTTTATCAGGATTCAGGGAAAAGGATTGGGATGCATGATTAAGGTTTAGGGTTCACGGATCTTAGGATTGAACAGGTTCAGGATTTCTGATTAAGTGAAGATGGAGCATGAAAGTACCTAGGCCTTAATGGTTTGAATCTCTCGGCGATGCGGACAGCGGTGGTAGCAGAGATGTTGTTGCAGAAGGTGGAGATTGATTGTATGGCAGAGCCTTAACAGTTGGAATATGTTGGAATGTTACCGAGCGTAGTCCCCAGAATGATAAAGTTCCCTGAAGCCAGAACCCGAAACCCTTGGCCCAACACCCCATACCCAAAACCCCAAACCCTGGTCCTTGGCCTAACCCTAACCCCTAAACCCTGAACCCTAAACCCTGAACCCTAAACCCTAAACCGTAGGTGAGTGCCACATGTGCGGCAACCTGGACCATGCGATCTCTTGGGCGGGACCCTTCCTGGGTGTCATATTTCTGGTCTTTGCCGCTGGGCAGCTCTTGCTTCTCTGAGGGATACTTGAGCAGAATCGGAGAATCCATTCTGGAACACAAGACAAAACAATCGAGCAACGTGCTGAAATTTTTCATGGGAGGATTCCCTCAAAAGCTTGTGGCTTGTATGTAGGCCAACATATCTCGACCAAGGTCTTGAGGATAGATCATGCCTTTGAGAACTAGGGGGGAGATAACGGATAGCATGACTTCTGGTGCTTGCAGCGGGGATTACTTGTTGTCTGATGAACCTGCAAGATGCAGCAGTCGGGATATGAAGTAAGTCTTGTATTACCGTTTTGGTGAGTGCAGATAGGGCTCCTTTTGAAGTTTGGTGAGTGTATATATTAAAAGGTTTATTGTGGGGATGCTAGTAATATAAACCATACTAAATATCGCACAATTCCTGCATGCGAGCAGGTTAGCAAGGTATCAGCTGTAGACTCCAACTTGTTTCAGCGGCCATGGCTAGGATGTAGAGATTTTGGAAGCTTTTTCCAACCCTAAGCCCCAAAACCTTAAACCCGAAACCCCAAACCCTGATTGAACAGTTGGTCTGAGGGCTTTTTGCCGGCCTTGATCCGCTCACTTCGTGACTTGGCTGAGGAGTTGTATCAGGATGCCTTCATATGAGCTACAGGCCAAACTCCTGAAGGGGGTTATATTGGGGGGACTCATAGGGGACTACTACAGGGGTTATTAAGGGGGATGCTAGGAGTTTAGACTATCGCTCATGTGAGCCCGGGACTTACTTCCCGAAAAGTGGGCCAGCGAGATTTCAAACAGGAAGCTGCGAAGGAACTCTACTGGCTTTTGGGGATACTTCAAGGATCAGGGGACTTAGTAACTGGGGGTATTCTTGGGGTAACCATACTTATAATTACTTATACCCCCAATTACGGCACTTAGAATCATACTGTTGATGGTCAAAAGCCTGCATTACCCTAAGGACCCTAAACTATGGGAATTCTGGTATATTCCTTGAGTAATGCAGGATTTTGACCATCAACCGTGCTTACTAAGTCCCATGATCCTCCAAGTGCTGGTAATTTCAGTTCAGCGGGCTCATGTCGCCACTTCAGAAATGGGTGTCTCGGGTTGGTACTGTTGATGGTCAAAATCCTGCACCTTAAGGACCCCTAAACTACGGGAACTATGGTCTATTCCTTATATAGGGGAATTTCAGGATTGTGACCATCAACCGTAGGGTTGCTGCAAGTTTGTTGGGAGCACGCTCCTTTGTTTCAGACTTGGGTGGGGGCGAGACTGAATACCAGGGAGTAGGTTGGGAAGGTCTGAAGAATCAGCCACCCTTCAACCTTTAGCTGCCAAAACTTGTGCGTGATTTTGCCCCCGAAACCGTGTCCTCTGAGTTATTGGACCCCAGCAATGCAAGCAACAGTCACTCCAACTCGATAAAATTTGAGACTCCAGTCTTGACTCCACAGCTAGGATTCTGAACCCTATATATATATATATGTATATATATATATATATACATGAGAAATCGAGGATCAATGGACATGGACCACACAAAGATCCAGCATCGACTGCTCGACTCGCACTCATCATGGCTAGGCAAGGCCAAAGTCCCCTCAAATAGAGTTTAGGGTTTAGGGTTTAGGGTTTAGGGTTTAGGGTTCATGTAAATTATGCTATGGGGTAGTGTCGTTTTTTCCAGGTTGGAAAGGCAACACGGGTGTTTGGTTGGTTTTGGGTTCGCATGTTTGAAGAAGCCGTGAATCCGCCTTACTCGTCGCCTTGTAGACTTGTATTGTGTTGAGGTGTGGTTGAAAAATTTCGGTGCGGGGGGTGGTGAAGAGTGCTTTACGGGTAGACGGAATTGTACCTGATTCTTCGTCTGGACTTGGGGGCATAAGAGGTAAGCTCATTCCTGCATCACACCCTGCAAGACAAGGCATTTCCGAGGCTGGGTGCATCACATGATCCTGTGAGTGGCTGCTAGGTCGCCTTGCAGAGTCTGATCATGGCGAGTTCCGCATGGTCATCGTCATGTTGACTTCTTTGCAGACGCCGCGGCCTCGACTTTGCCAGAGGGTTGAGGGGAGGTTCGTGATCCATGGCTGCGCGCCGTCTACGGATCCAAAAAAGCCTTCCGCCCATCCATGATGACACTCTACTGTAGGGGCCTTCATAATCACCAACACTATTTTGGGGGTTCCTTATTGTAAGTGTGCCATAATGGGCCCCGAAACCCTATGCTAATCATTAAGGCCCCTATGTTAGTGGGGAGGGTGGGTGCGGGATGTCACATCTCAGCCCTCCTTTCCTGAAAAGCACCGAAACCCTCTCTACATAGAACAATATAAACCTCAATGAAATTCATGGCAAGGGAAGGTGAAATTCATGGCAAGGGAAAGCCGAATCGTGGGCAAGGGAAAGTCGAATTCGTGGGCAAGGGACGGCGGGTTCGTGGACGAACCCTAAAATAGTAGTCCGAACCTTAAAATGATACTCTGCCCTCTAAAATAGTAGTCCACCCATAAAATGGTAGTCCGAAATCTAAAACTAAAAATAGTAGTTCGAACTCACAAATTGATAGTTCGAACCTCAAAATAGTAGTGCGAACCCAATAGTAGTCCGAACTCTAAAGTAGTTGTCCGAACTCCAAAATAGTAGTCCGAACCCTGAAATAGTAGTCCGTCCGAAACCCAAAACGCTAGTCCGAATCTTAAAATAGTAGTCCGAATCTTAAAACAATAGTCCGAAGCTGAAAACCATAGCCCGAACTTTTAAATAGTAGTGCGAACCCTAAAATAATAGTCCGAACTCTAAAACAATAGCCCGGACCCTAATATAGTTGTCCGAACCCTAAAGTAGTAGTCCGAACCTAAGATGGTAATCCGAACCAAAAGTAGTTGTCCGAACTCTAAAATAGTAGTCCGAACACCAAAATAGTAGTCTGAACTATAAAATTGTTGTGCGAAGTCTAAAATCGAAGTCCGAACTTTAAAGAAAAAGTCGGAGCTCTAGAATAGTAGTACGAATCCTAGAATAGTTGTCCTGATATAGTGTATGATGATTGAACTGTACTTGGTAGAAGTGAAACTCAAGCCGAGTTGGTATATAAGTAAACCTTGTATTTTCTCAACGTTATGGGATTCTAAGGGTGGGTGGGTGTTATTATGGCGAAACCGTATATTCAACTCTACTGTAAAACTGCTTGACCCGGTGCTGCTGAACCCTAACCCCAAACCCTCCTTCCCTGGAAGGCTGTGGACTGTCTCCCTGATGCCGCTTCCCTACACGCGACGCTTTGCAGCAGAGCTAGGGTCCGGAGTTTAGGGTTTCGGGTTGAGGGTTTAGGGTTTAGGGTGTGGGGTATAGGGATCGTCTCGAATCACGACAGAATACGAGGTCATCCAGAGGTTTGATGGTAGACTGTGCAGGATTTCCGCTAGGTGGCTATCAAGGTGTACCAGGAGCTTCGAGCTTAGACTATAGTCCATACGGCTACTTGAGCTGTTTTACAGTCATCGTGAAACATGACAGTAGATTTTGTTCTATGAGTCATGGAAGGCACCACAGATGATCAAAGCATTCCGTGCAGTCGGATGCCTTTGCAGAGCCACGGTGGGCGTTCGAAGCGCAAGCAACAGAAGCAGCGGATTCTTCCCTGGCACCTGGTTTCACGCACATTCAGGGCTTAGGGCTTTAGATTAGGGGTGTATAGAGTGTGGCACTAGGTCTGCACTTTGATGACTCCCCAGGATTCACGAAAGACTGGCTTTGGACGATGGGCCCGAAACCAAGAAGACTTCTGCAACTGCTTGATGCCATTGAATCGAGAGCTACATGGTTCAGGTACAGCTGCATCCGACGATAGGTGCTGTTGAACATCGCCAGAACTACAGAAATTCTTGGGGGCCTCAATGTCTGTCACCACAATTCTGAAAAGCTACCACAAGTGGGCGTCTGCAGTAGGTGGGAATGCAAGTAGAGGCTTGCTGCTGGAGGGGCGCGGGCTGTAAAAGCAAGGGTGATGCCCAGTAGCTTCCATCACCGACGTGGCAGTTTCCACGTTATTTTCCATGTGCCATGGACAAGACAACGGAAACTATTGCAGAACCATACTGCCCCAACCCAAAAGCCTGAATCGTGGGTCGTGGATTGTCAAGGCATTGTGGCAGCCGACATGTCCATCCTCCGGCCTCAATGTGCCTTCAGGCAGTTTACCAAAAAGAGCGGTATTGGCATTGCTCGCAGATGCGTAGTGCCTGCAACCCCCCAAAGAAACCTGGGAGACATTGGCGTGTGCGTTGAGATGAGGGACCGGATGCGCATGCAGAAGATGTGCGGCAGAGCCAGCTAGCAGGTCAGCGGTGGTAGAAATGGTAGTGGCAACAGTAATCTATGTAATACTAGTAACAATAGAATCAGAAGTGATAAAAGTAATAATGTGTCATCTAGTGCTCCAGGCTCTCCTACTTGGCGAAGTGGCTTCTGCAGTGGGCGACATTCTTCATAGTCGTGGTGCCTGCCCAAGCGAAGGGGCAATGCCAGCGGCCTCTGGGCCTTCGCGCTGTACTGTAGAAGCCTAAATAATTCAAATTACTGTTAGGGTCCCTTATTCTATTTATACTATTATGGTCCCCCAAAACCCTACTCTAATTGTTAAGCCCTACATTAGTTAGAATTGTGGTGGGACACCCACGACAAGCTTCCCAGAGAGCCCAATGCTCCTTGATGAAGGAAAAGACCTTGAACTATAAGGCTATAAGGGGCTTCACATCATGATTTAAGCCATATTCCTTAATTAAGGGGTATCGGGCTCTGTGGGCTCTTGTTTCTTCATTGAAGCTTTCAGCTCTACGTTCGCCAGAGGAGAATGGATTAGGCCGGTCCCAAATGTTTCCCTTCAATGTCGGGTTTCGGGTTTCGGGTTTAGGGTTTAGGGTTTCGGGTTTAGGGTTTAGGGTTTAGGTGACCAAGTCAGGACATGGCATCCCCCAGACAAGTCAGCCCAGCACACTTCAGGTGGTGCTGAGCTTCGGCATGCTGGTCTATTGCCAGTGCCATAAGCACCTTGGCAAACCCTAAACCCCTAAACCCCAAGCACCTTGGCGTACATCTACGGCAGACCTTTCAAGCTGTGACCTCACATCCTAAACCCTGACCCTCGATCTTCAAGGTGGGACCAAGACCCTAACCCAAAACCTAAACCTTGGCAACCTGATTCAGGAACCGGCTGAAAGACGTCGGATACATCAGCCCAAAGCGCGGCCTTCTGGGCGTAACATCTGTCACGATGATGTGGCTCGGATTGTCTGTTGCTATCAGGAGTTTAGAAGGATCCAAGTTCTTGGCCTGAGGCATTGGCTGATTGTCTTGGGAAGGGAGCGCAATGACGCAATAACCCTACACCCTAAACCCTAAATCCAAGTGCAGGTCTTGGAAGCCTGTTGAGTGAACCATCGGTTTCTGGGTTGTCAAAGCTGTTCTCCATCCTTCCGCCTGAATTCTCCGAGCAAGTAAGCCCTCCAGAGCTTGTCGAATGGGGATAGGGATAAAAACAGGATCAAGAAGCAAAAATCAAAAGGGAACATTTAGAACATAAACAGGGTCAAAAAGCAAAATAAAAGCTTAATCAAGGGCTAGGGGCTTATGGGCTTCCTGGTTCCCTGGTCCTTTGGTCCCCTGGTCCTCTGGGCCCATGGTGCCCCGGTACCCTACTGCAACGACAACTCCTACTCCTTGCAGGGGCGTTAAAAACGAATAAAATAAAATCAGTTATGAATGATCTGGGAATGATTTGGAAGGTTTGCACATGGGGGGGGGGGGCTGCCCAACCCCCCCGCTTGTTTTGAACAAGACTTCCCACTCTCTTAAGCTGCGAAGAAATGAACAAAAACGTATTCGCCAAACACATCCGAAACAGAAAGCCAGACGAAAACCCTTCAGGCGGGTTAAAGGCGAAGCAAACAGAATCAATCATAAGTTATTTGGAAGGTTTGCAAGGATTAAACCCATGTTCTACTACTACGACTATTGCTCGTACTACTTGTACTACTCTTCGTACTACTACTCCTGCTACTACCACTACTGCCACTACTACTTCTACCACTACCATTACTACTGCTACTGCTACTGCTACTGCTACTGCTACTGCTACTGCTACTGCTACTGCTACTGCTACTGCTATTACGACGACGACGACGACGACGACGACGACGACGACGACGACGACGACGACGACGACGACGACTACTACTACTACTACTACTACTACTACTACTACTACTACTACTACTACTACTCAACACGAACACTACTACCACAAATGAAGCCAGAAACACTAGTTGCAGGCATCGATCACCTTGAGCCCTGAGACGCAGTAGTACTTGGAGGATGGCAATTGTAACGCGCAGCAGCAGTTTTACAGCCGTGACAGCCCGGGTTCGCGATTTTTTATTGGCGTGACAGCCCGGGGTCGCTTCTCATTTTTTCTTGATCCTTTTTTATTTTGTTTTTGATCCTAAAGATTTCATTTTCTTTTTGATGCTGCTGTATTTATTTTTTCATCCGGCAACCTTCTGAATGTGCGAAAGGCTGTTTCTACTGGTTCATCTTCGTGATGATCTGGTCTTCCTTGGCTGTGTCCCGTGCGAGCATGACAAGTTCTGAATCTTGGTCGAGTTGAGATGGGCTCAGTCGGTCAACGTGAAGCCTGCGTAGCCAGAACTGTCATCAACCCATAGTCCTTTAAGTCATACAGTCATGTCCCCCAGACCCCTGTTCCAAGCGGACCCTCCATTCGGCCAAGCTGACGGTTCTACTTGCTCACATCTTTTTCTGGCGTCGCTCACGGCATAGGAAGCGTGGCAATGCGAACAGGGCTTTGGATCGCAATCATCAAAAGCCAGATTTCAAACACCCTAAACCTTGAACCCTAAACCCTAAACCCTAAGCCATAAACCCTACACCCTAAACCCTAAACCCTAAACCCTAAACCCTACACCCTACACCCTACACCCTAAACCCCAAGCCCTAAGCCCTAAGCCCTAAACCCTACACCCTAAACCCTTGCAGCTGGCCAATGTTTCGTTGACTTGAGGTCTTGCCTTCCAGCCTGTCATTGAGTGTGCCGGGACAAACTGGGCCCCTCGTCTGCAAAGCAAATCTTCGTTCTAGGGTTTAGGGTTTAGGGTTTAGGGTTTAGGGTCTAGGGTTTAGGGTTCAGGGTTTAGGTTTAGGGCAGGTGCTTTTCGTAGAGCTCTGGTCAACGGAAAATCGTGGATTGTCATATTGGGAGGCAACGTTGTTTTCTCATCTGCAATCAGTTCTTCTAGATCCGTTTTGCCATTTACATGACACGATCTTGTCTGACCTTGTTAGTCGAGGGGAGGTGACAGGACGTGGAGGGACGACGAGGGGAGACTGAAGGCATCGGAGGAGGGAAAGATGTTTCCAAGCGCCCGACGCTGGAGAGGCATTGACAATGCTAGATCAGGTCTCGTCTTCCTGTTGTCCCAAGACAAATCCTTTCTTGCCTCAACCCCAAAGAGTGTGACGTATGTCGAACATGCCATGAGAGATGCATAGCCCCTTATGCCCCTGACGCCCCTAACCCCTAACCCCTACCCCCAAAGCCCCCTAAGCCCCCTAAGCCCTAAGAACCCTCTGCCCCTGACCCTGGATCGCTCTCATGGGATCTGGCCTTTGGCTGTGCTGAGCTCAGGAGTGGGTGGCCTTGTCCTCAGAGCTGGGGAAGGATGTTGATCGGTTTTCTTTTTGGGGGGAGAGATGCCGGGTTTAGGGTATGTGGCCATGGAGGTTTTTTTTACGAGACTAGAACGAAATCTGCTGTTTGGTGCAATCGTCGTGCGTGTCCGGCTTCGACATCTCGGGAGCTATCCTTCAGTGGATGGTCGCTGTGTTTTGGCCAGCAAGAGCCCAGACCATGATGGTCCTGTCCATCTTGGACCTGATCTTCATTATCCTGCTCTCGGTGCCGGTGATAGCCCTCTGCATCTATGCCTCCTGGAAGTGGCAGCACGGGAATCTCGTGCTGAAGAAGTGAAAAACTTTCCCCGTTTCTCTTCTCCACCGAGACCAAGCCTAAGTCTGCGAGCTTTTGCAGAGAACGATGGCAAGATGCCAAGGAAATTTCGGGGCTTGGCGGACGACTTTAGTGCTCCTTGGTACGTGTTCTTTTCAGAGCCTTGGCAGCATGCTGCGCAGACTGGGCTCATAGACCCACTGTGCATCCCTACCGTAGAGCGCAGTTTGGAGACGCCAGCAGCTGCGCCGCACGCCTGGCTCAGGAGTTCTGGGTGAAGCGACACCGGGGCTACATCCAAGAAGTCCGAGAGGCGGATTGCTGAAATGTGGCATTGAGTGGTCTGTTGCGCAAGAGCCCTTGGGTCTAAGGCTGTGCCAGAGTTTCAGAAGCTCTTTCTGAATGACGACATGGCTGCGGCTTCATCCAAGGACTCTCTGCTGCTCTTTCTTCCCCGTCAACCTGAAAACCAACTCTTGCAAAGGACTTCTGCATGAGCAAGGAGCCTTTGACCTGGCCCGGGTTTAGGGTTTAGTGACGGACCAACTACGGTAAAGGACACACCAACACAGGAAACCCAACCCTGAAGTGAAGGACCTCCTCACAGGAGCGCGCTGTTTTCGAACTGCGGACCATAAGCCTGCGGTCAAGCGTCCTGAGCAGAGGGGGAGCTTTGGTTTGACCTCTGGGGTCCACACTACCTTAAACCCCTAAAACGGGTGTCTGGCCCAGGAGGTGTGGCACAGGGCCATCGACCTCATACTAGCGCAGGAGGCTGAAAAGGCCAGCGCCCCCCACAGAAATTCGTAGAAACCTGAGTCATCGCACATCTTGTGCCTTGATGCAAGGCAAGACTCTGGGTCTCAGGGGCTTGCATCCACCTCTGCAGCCCAAACCCTGCATGAAACTCACTTGGCGCGGCCGGCTGCTTCCTCCCCTAAACCCTAAACCCTAAACCCTAAACCCTAAACCCTAAACCCTAAACCCTAAACCCTAAACCCTAAACCCTAAACCCTAAACCCTAAACCCTAAACACTAAACCCTAAACCCTAAACCCTAAACCCTAAACCCTCCCTTTAAGTTTGCCTCGCCCAAGCCTTGAACTTAATGAGCGGCTCTCCACATGGAGTATGGGCTAAAAGGGGGCTCCCCGGCAAGGTAGGGCTGAGCGCACAACGAATGAATTTCCCAGGAAGAAAACCATGCAAATACGGTTGATGGCCAAAAATCCTGCATGACCCACAAAAAGGGATAGACCATAATTCCCACAGTTTAGGGTCCTTAAGGTAATGCAGGATTTTGGCCATCAACATTATGTCAATTATGTCTGCTTCCCATCATGTTGTCAGGCCGATGCATTGTTGCTGCGGGTCATCTCGCACATGCAGCTCGGCAAGCGAACAATTGTTGCGCAGAACGATTGCTTCTTAACATTACGGCTTCCCTGGACTGTAAAGGCAGATGGAATCGTCCCAGTTGCAAGGGTTCAGAGTCCATAGTTTTCAGAAATACTCAAATTAGCGCGTCTCCGCTTGGTGGAGGTGGCAAGGGCTTGTAAGGCTTTAAAGCTTGAGCAGAAGGGTCCGTCCAGCTTGCAGCGGTGCAGTTGACACTTGAGACCTTCTCCCAACACGGTTTCTTCAGGTCAAGGGGGTTAGGATATGGGGTAGATTAAGGGTTTTTAGGGTTTTTAGGGTTTAGGGCTTAAAAAGAGCCTTAAATACAGCGTGCAGCTTGCAGGAACAAGAGCTCCCAATGCAACTGGGATGATGCGTAGGTCAGGGGCTTTGTAGTAAGGTCCAAGCCTCCGGCTGATGCAAGGTCAAATTTGCAGGAGTCAAAAAGCGAACCCAGAAAGGCACAGGGAAGCCACCCCTCGGCCCTGGCTCCTGAATGCTGCTAGGCCTTAAGCCCTAAGCCCTAAGCCCTAAGCCCGAAGCCCCAAGCCCCAAACCCTATCCTAAACCGCTACATGCTCGCCTTCTGCTTGAAGCTCTGTTAAGCCGCGATGAGGTACACGCACAGCGAGCGCTTCAAGATGATTGATGAAGATGAAGGCATGTAGCAGTCAGTTAGGGCTGGGTCACGCTCGGAAGCAGCGAGCTCAGGCACCAACATTCTTGCACTTCGTGCTTCCACGCCTGTAGCGGGACAGTGTTGCCTGCCTCTGGCTAGTTTCCTCACACTCAGAGTTGTAGGATGCGAGGGCATGCGAAACGGGAAGCCTACTCGTAGCTCCACCTCGAAGAGGTTTAAAGCCTTCTGGAGAGCTTGCTAGTGGTTCGCGGACCAAGATACTAAGATGTTGCAAGGAACTTCACGCCTTGAACATCTGCGAGTGGGCTGTGGTACGGTTGATGGTCAAAATCCTTCATTACCTTAAGGACCCTAGACTATGGGAATTATGGTAGATCTTTTCTTATGGGTAATGCAGGATTTTGACCATCAAACGTAGCACTTGGCAAGCGCCACTGCAGGTCCTGCCTGGGAAATCATCCGCTCCATCAGGCGGGTGCTGAGAGTTGTGGCAGCCTATCGGTTGGAGGGTGCCATGACGTTGAGATTGCATTGGTCAGCATGTCCTGTTCGGCCTCAGCTGTAGTCTATCCCAAGCCCCTAAGCCCTAAACGGTTTATGATCAAAGGCCGAACCGCCCTAGCCTTAAGCCCTGCCCGACACCTCAAATCCTTGACGGCTGCGGCCTGTTCAGGGGTGCCATCCGGGACAGAGCGACACGCAGTACAATGCTCAAGGTCCGCGCAGCACCTCGGAGGGAAAGGGGTCTCACAAGCAAGCCTTAGGTGCTTGCAGACCACGGTCATTGTCTTCAGCCTTTTGCTTGCGACCACCAGGAATTCTTCACCTGTTCTTATGACAGCTATGGCTATTGTTCTCAGTAATGAATGAGACTACTGTGAGCACTGAGTTTCATCAAGCCTTTGCCCGGCCATATTCCTGCTGCTAAGAAGTTCTCTTTCTTGGTGGTCCATACCTGCTGTAAGGAGACTTCTTCTCGCAGCGGTGTGACCTCCGAGGCACCGTCTAGTCTTGTTTCGTGGGTTCGGCTTGGGAGTGCTTGGCTATGTGTGTAGGAAATCTGCCATGCTAACTTCTCCTACAAAGCTTGGTCATGTCAAAACATGCGGTGATTACATGACTTTGCAATGAAGCCAAGTTGAAGCAAGTGAACTTCTAAGTTATCGGTATCTTCAATCTGCGGCGAAGAAGCCTTTCAATGTCAGATGTGCGCTCTAAATTCCCCATCACAGCCTGGGTCTGGAAATTCTGCGGGTGTTAGTGCTTCTGCCTAGATGCTCTGCTGCTGCAGGAAGCCTGCATCAGATGTTCTGAGATAAGTGTACACCAAAGGACTCCTTCATTGGGGGTAAGGGGGAGGGGGGGAAAGGGTTTATAATTCCTTAAATAGGTCTTATGAAGCCCTTATCCAGCCCCCCTCCCCCTTACCCCCCTCTTACCCCCCTAAGGGTCCCTATGATTCATGGGGGTCTCACATGCAGCCCAGGGTCCTAAAGTCCCTCTTGCGAGAATCGCAGGTGCGCGCTGACCGCCCTGTGCCCCCTGAGACAGAAGCTGCTATGGCACAAGTGGCGACGGACCGGCTGAACCCCATGGAGGCCTTTGGGTTTGGGGTTTGGGGTTTACAGAGGTTGTAGACTCACCTTTGGACGAAGCAAGCCATGAGGAACTGTTGCCTCCACGCTTTTGTGTCTTGCTTCAATGATCTGGTCTGCGATCTGCATTTGCTGCAATGCAAGTTTGAGGGCTTGACTTTTAAACACCCTGGCCCTGGAACAGCTGAAGCTGGAATAGCTCAGGTCAACCACAGTTTCCTCTCTTTAAAACTGATTTCTTCTCCGGTGGGTCTTGAGTTGCTGCTTTCCTGCCAGGGTGCAGGACACAAGAAAACCCAAGATTCGTCAAAGCCGAGCCAACTTTGAGGGCGCAAGTTTGAGCCTAAGACATGTCAGCAGTGTTAGACTTGCCGGGCCGGTTCAAAGTGAGTGCAGTCAGAGGTGCTGCAAACCTTAAGCCATAAACTGAGAGGGAGCAGCGCGATCGAGTAGGGCGAATATTGCTGAAGCCGGCAGGGCAAGGCAACTCCGGAGACAGTAGCCTTTTTTTGCATGGCGGTGTGGACTCAAAATGCAGAAGGAAAGTTGCCACCTGAGCTTGCAGTCACTCACACCGGGCACAGGGCGCACTCGTGAGTTCCATGGCCTGGGGCACCAAACCCCTGATGAATTGCGTTTTGCTTTGGGGACAAGTTTGCCACAAACGAAAACCCAGGAGCCCACCCAGGAGCCCAGAGCCCCCCAACCTCAACGAAACACCCTGAGACCCTGATAACCTTTGCCTCACGTCCCCCACAAAAGGCAAGAAAAAGACCACTGCTCCTGGGCCAGAACCTTTGAAATAAGATCCTCGGCCCGAAAACTCCCTGGCCTCAGGAGGCTGCACAGGTTCAACAAGTATGCCCTGATGAGCCAGTTGATGCGCCCGACGTGGACAAGTTGAAGGTTGGGTTTAGGGTTTAGGTTTTAGGGTTTAGGTTTTAGGGTTTAGGTTTTAGGGTTTAGGGGTTTGGGGTTTAGGGTTTAGGGTTTAGGGGCTAGGGTTTAGGGTTTAGGGTTGTCTGGAGTGTGGGGCTCTTTTGGCTCTTGGCTCTCAGGCGGGCTGGGTCCCCTTCAACCTTAGACTTTAAACCCAAAGCGCAAGATGGATCTTGCAGACATCAAAAAGGCCCTCAAGAAATAAATAACCTAAACGCAGGTTTACGCGGCTCGGGGGTTGAGGGTTTGTCCGCCGCGGACTCACTCAAAATTCAGGTTGTTTCAGAGGTCACAGGGCTGGGACAATTTTGTATACTATTGGGGCCTACATAACTACCACTACTATTTTGGGCATTTACGGCCCCATATTTACAGCATTACTGTTTTTTTCCTGTTGTTCGTTTGTTTCAGATTTTAACCAACATCAGATGTGATGACGCTCTCTAAGTATAGCGAGCTTCTTCAGGTCTTTTCTCCTGCAGTTCAATGAACCATGACTGTCCAACGTCCAGGCTTCTAAAGACTGTCTGGTCCAGTGACTGCTTGGACTAAGAAAGAGGGCAATGTACCACTGCATCATCAAGGCTCTTGAGCAACATGACATCATCTGGTCATGCTAAGACCTGGCTTGCGGGATTTTCAGTGCCTTGGAGGCGCTGTGGCTCATGTGCGCAGCATCTGGACCACCTCTGTGCATTGGGATCCAGTTTCTGTCTGTACGCCCGCCTTGCAGGTGTCAGATGTTCACCATGTGAAGTTGCTTGGCGGCATTATTTTCAGTACGTCTTAGTCGCAATGATTAGCAATCATAGATGAGTCGAACCGCCTCGCTGTAACTTGGAAGGAGTAGCCCGCAGCGTATCTTCTTTGATTTTGTCCCGCCATGCTGCGAGAACTAGCTTTTGGTTCCGGAAGCCTACCCTGAAGCTGATCCCATTAGTACTACGTTATTACGATTATTGTTCTTATTACTACAGTTATTCTTGCCATTGTTTCTTTTTTGGACTCTCGATTGCAAGGCTCACGCTCGACAACCTGCTCGACTATGCGAGGTGCGAAGTTGTAAGCGCTTCGGCATGTCTTGTCGTAGATTGCAATGGCCCTATTGCAGTGGAGCTCGATGTTCCTTGTCAACCAATCATGGACAAGAAAAATTGAAGGCGCTGGGATGTGGAAAGGTAAAACCCGGTAATTTTCGGAGACCTGCAGAATTCGCCAAGTTCGTTTTAGACATGCAGTACTTGTACAGGTATCGTTGAGGGCGTATGGTTCGGAACTTGCTTGTAAGCAGGCAGAGATTTGAGCAGTGATTTGAGCAAAGGGGTGAGAGGTTCACATCAGCACTGGCCTCCAGCATGTGCGCAGGCATGAGATCATCAGGGTGAAGTTTGCTAAGCCCTAAACCCTAAACCCTAAACCCTTTTGCCCTCCTGGAAGTAGCCTACATAGGTGGTCGGTACCTGGTGCCCGCGCCATCAAGCAACCAGACTGCAGCTACGTGTAGTGAAGCGCTTGGAGAGAAGCAACATTCGGAAAACAGGGGCAACAGTCAGCAAAACAGGCGTCGAAAACAGGGACGCAACAGTCGCAAACGAACACGGCCGGAGTCAACAACACCCAGGCAACAATTCAAAAACACCAGCGCAACAGTCAGCAAACCCAGAGCAGACCAGAACCGCTGGTAAACACGAGCCCGTGCGTCAGAAAGCACGAAACAGCGCAGAGTCGCAAACACGAAAGCTTCAAGTCAACAAACATGGCTTGTTCTTTCAGTCAGTCAATCTCAGTATTACTCTGCATAGCTGAGTGAAGTCTACACTCATAAGAATCCAGCCTCGCAAACATGGCTTGTTCTTTCAGTGAGTCAGTCTACTTTCTCTGCTTAGCTGAGTCAAGTCTGCACCCATAAGAATCCAGCCTCGCATGCAGGGAACGAAGTCGGACCAGACCGGGACCCTAAGGCTCTATGCTCTGTACACCCTCTTAAACCTCTAGCTCAAAACCCGAAATCTCGTATCTCTGCGCCCGCAAGCTTGTAGCCGCGACGGCCTTGCGAATGCGACGCCATACTTGAGGGGCTTCAGGCTATATTGTGGCTGTCCGCTTGCTGACTGCAACTTCGTTGTTTGCTGACCTGTGGCTTGTTCTAATGGTGACTTTTCTAATGGGTGGAGTTTTTTTGGGGGGTGATTTTTTTGTTTCTGGTCTTTTTTTGAGGGGGTCGATTTTCTTGGTTTTCTCTAGGAAAAGCCCTACTTTCCTTACATTTTGGACAGATTTTCTGTCATTCCCTTAGGTTTTCGTTGGTTTTTCATAGGGAAAACCATATTTTCTTTACATTTTGGACGGATTTCCTGTCATTTCCCTTAGGTTTTCCTTGGTTTTTCCTAGGGAAAACCCTATTTTTCTTACATTTTGGACAGATATCCTGTCATTTCCTTGAGGTTTTCGTTGGTTTTTCCTAAGGAAACCCTATTCTGCTTACATTTTGGACGGATTTCGTCAAACCTAAAAGCCACCCTGCTCACATGATGGGTGTCAACAAGTTTCTTGCGCTTTGAAGCACGCTCTGCACGGCGTAAAAAAGCAGGGGGGTTGGGGGGGGCGCAGCCCCCCCATTTGCAAACACAATGCTCACACGATGTTTTCAACTAGTTTCTTGGGCTTTGAAGCACGCTTGGCACGGCTTAAAAGAGGGCGCAGCCTCCCCCCACTTGCAAACTCCCTGCTCACATGATGGGTGTCAACAAGTTTCTTGGGCTTTGAAGCACGCTCTGCACGGCTTCAAAAAACAGCGAGGGGGTTGGGGGGGGCGCAGCCCCCCCCCCATTTGCAAACACAATGCTCACACGATGTTTTTCAACTAGTTTCTTGGGCTTTGAAGCACGCTTGGTACGGCTCAAAAGAAGCAGGGGGGTGGGGGGGGGGGCGCAGCCCCCCCCATTTGCAAACACCCTGCTCACATGATGGGTGTCAACAAGTTTCTTGGGCTTTGCAGCACGCTCTGCACGGCTTAAAAAAAAGCGGGGGGGTTGGGGGGGGGGGCAGCCCTCCCCATTTGCAAACACAATGCTCACACGATGTTTTTCCCCAAACAGGAACCGTTTGGGGTCCTCTCCTCAGAAAAAAAAAAGTGTCACGCGCTTGGCCAGATGGGTGTCACGCGCTTCGGGCCTGTGGTCTCCCATGGTCTCCGATCATGAACACAATTGGGCCATTGGGGCCGGGCGGGTGTCATGCGCTCGCGCCTGCGGTCTCCCATGGTCTCCGATCATGAGCACAATTGGGGCCAATTGGGGCTGGGTGAGTGTCACGCGCTTCGGGGCCTGTGGTCTCCCATGGTCTCCGATCATGAGCCAGGCGGGTGTCATGCGCTCGGGCCTGTGGTGTCACGTGTTTCGGGCCTGCGGTCTCCCACGGTCTCCGATCATGAGCACAATTGCGGCCAACATGAGCCGGGTGGGTGTCACGCGCTCGGGCCTTTGGTCCTCACGCGCTTCGGGCCTGTGGTTTTTCCCCAAAAGGAACTGTTTGGGGCGCTCTCCTCAGAAAAAAGTGCCACGCGATTAGCTAGACGGGTGGCACGCGCTTGGGTCCGTGGACGCATGGAGCGCAATGGGGCCGGGTGGGTGTCACGCGGTCCATGGTTTTCATGGTTTTGGAAGTGACAGGGGTTTGGGAGGGTGTCACTGTGCGAAAGTTGCTGACCCCACACCACTTTCTAGGTAAAGCATGTACCTTGTACAGTTGTATAGAGGTGTCTTTACCGAAGCCCTTTATTGGCACAAGCAAGAGTGGGAGAAAATAGGTTTCCGCTCGTTTCGCATGGTAGCGGAGCTCCTGGTTCAGAAGCCAGTCGACCGGAGCTCGTGAACAACGGGTGATACCGTTAGCTGCGTGTGAAGCAGCAGCGGGTGACACCGCAGGCAGGGCGACAAAGCCTGCCGGACTCGAGGGAGTCTTGCCAAAACCCTCGTTAAAGAAGCAAGACAGAAGCGAACTGCGCCAGTAGCAGTCGCGAAGAAGGCACCACGGGAAAAGGTGGAGCAAAAGGAAAGGGGTCTGGAAAGACCAAGAAGGGTGTTAGAAAAGGGAGAGAAGCCGACGCACCTCGCAGTCGTCATCGTAGTGCAGAAGCAGAGGAGCGAAGGATCCTACGAGGCTTTGCCAGACGAGCAGAGCGAGCGCTGAACAGGTCGGAGTCCAGGGACAGGGAACCGCAAGAGGCTCCTGTGCCTGGAGACTTGTCTGCAGAGGACGCGCTCAGACTACAAGCCAGGCCCAGCGAAGGCAGCAACCTTGGGTTTGGTGAGTGGTTAGACGAGGACGCCTGGGTTCCTGAAGAGTTACCTCCCACCAGTGACAGTGGACAGTGGGAGCGCTTGAGGGCCCAGTACCCAGGGCTGGCTACAATCGCAGCGCAGAACCCTGGACGACAAGCTAGAAGGAGCTACTTGCAGAAGGTAGCTGGTCAGAGGGTGCAAGAAGGGCTTGGGCGGCTGGCAAGGACCAGCAGGCGCGGCACAGCAGCTTCCTCGGACGAGGCAGAGGCCAGCGAGGAGCGAGAAGAACCCAGCAGTGCTGCGCGGGTGATACCGCCTACAGAGGCGGGACACACCGAGCCAGCAAGAAGCGGGGCTTCAGTGGTTACGCTCACACACCAGCCAACATCGGTGTGGGACTCCGAAAGTGAAGGCGAGATCAAGCAGGAGGTCAAGAAAGAGGAGCAGTCCGGAAACACCTCGGATTGGGAAAGTGAAAGCTCAGAGGAGCGCAGCACTGACCCGGAGGATCCGAACGGTGTGCAGTCTGCCTTGAAGAAGGCCGACAGGGCACGTGAAAGGCGGGAACAAGCAAAGCGGCACAAGCAGCCGCCGCCGGAGCCATCTGAGCCTCCGCGTGCCAAAGCCCGCCCATCGGTGGGGCACTCGAGTGCGGGGGCCGCCTCGAGCTGGGACCTCGAAAGTCGGGCCTCCTCTGTGGGCTGGCGACGGCAGGTGACGCCGAGCTTTGACAACAGAGTCACAGAGGAGGACACAGAGAACGAAGAGAGGAGTGACGAGCCGTGGAGCCGCCAAGATCGGGAGCGAGATCGGCTTTGGAACGAGTGGTACAGAGCGAGAGGAACGGGAGGCTGGCACCAGTGGCAAGGCTCTTGGTACCAGTCCTCAGGAGCGGGTTGGAACCGCTGAAGTGCGGGTGACACCGCCGAGTGTGAGGGAGCAGCTCAAGCAGGCTGCTGCCGAACTCGGCACCGCTTCTGTGTTCGTGAAGCCTGTACAGTTTGTGTGTGTTTGAGTTTTTTTTTTGGTAGTTTCAATGGCAACTCTAGAAGAGTTAGCCCGTAGAGTGCAGGACCTAACACTTGGTATGCAACGAGCCAACGCTGCCTTTGAAGAGCAACAAAAGAAGACAGCAGAGGCCGAAGCTAGACTTGATGTAGCAGAACGAGCACTTCAAGCACAGTCAGCAGCAGCAGCAGCAGACAAGCCACAGGGAGCGCCGAAAGAAAAGAGAAAGAACTGATACACCCCAGTCATGTTCCAAAACCGCACACGTTTAACGGCAAGAAAGAAGAATGGGAAAAGTTCAAACATGTTTTCATGGCATGGTCAAGCACAGTGCATGAGCGTTACCCAGAGTTGTTGGAAAAGCATGGAGCCAGTAAGAACCCGATTGATGAAGCCAAATTTAGCCTCGAAGAAAGTAGACTGTCGAAAGCCATGTACACGTTTCTGATACAGTACTGTCCCGAGCCAACGATGAACGTCATAGGACAAGGGTTGCGTGATGCCAACGGTTTTGAGGTTTGGAGAAGATTGGTGCTTCTGAGCGAGCCAGCGCATCGGACTAAGGCCTGGGTGTGGCGCAGGCACTTAGCAAATCCCTCGTTTCCGAGTGACATTGCACAGTGGAGCACAGCGCTTCACCAGTGGGAAGCTGAACTTCGAGAGTTTGAGCGTACGTACAACACAGCGTTTTCAGAAGATGAGAAAGTGTCCATTTTGGCTCATATTGCACCGAAAGAGTTGCAGCAAAGCATCTTCATGCACAGTGATGTGTTGAACGGATACGACAAGATAAGAGAGTACATCGAACAGTATCTGATCAACAGAAACCTGTGGAAAAGGCCTCAAGGTTCACAGTTCGGGATGCCCAAAGCCTCAAACAAAACTGCTGAGCATGATGATGGGGGAGTGAGGCCTATGGACATCGGCGGAGTAAAAGGAGACAAAGGCAAAGGGAAAGGAGAATGGAAGAAAGGAAAGGACCACTGGGGCGACAAAGGAAAGGACAACTGGAGCAACAAAGGAAAGGACAAATGGAAGGAGAAGTGGAACAACAACAGGTGGGACAACAACGGCAAAGGAAAAGGTAAGGACGGAAAGAAAGGCAAAACCGACAAGGGAAAAGGAGCAGGCAACAACAACAAAGGAGGCAAAGGAAAGCAAAACGATGGGAAAGGAAAGAACAACAAT